GCATCTCAGCACGCTCCTGCGCTTCCTCCTCGGCACGTTCAGCATCGACGACTGCCAGCCGCTGAAGTGCCTCTTTCACAATCCCAGCCACCTGCCAAAAGGAGAAAGCTCTTGCGTATGACGAGCAGGCAATCTGGTGTGTTGAAATCAAGGCCCGATATTTAAGTACATGGCCAGATTCGGATCCATGGCCACACCATAATCGAGATAGGAAGTTGCTGATCATCCTACCTGCTCCAGTTCATTACACAGTTGAGGACGTAAAAAAACAACCACAACAAAGTAACCCAAAGATTGATTGATGCGTAGCCAGGACTGTGAGATACACAGGAAAAACAAGAAAGAAACGTCTCCCACGTCATCCCTTCATGTTCTGAGGAGATGTCGCGTTCATAGGCCGATAAGGAAAGCAATCAAAATGCCAGCAAGTCAGCCAATTGTCAATAAGACATGCAGGATGCCAACCAAAGGAGCGACAAAACCCCTGATAGCTGCAGCGAGCAACAAGTTCACCCGAGCAAAAAGGGGACTCCTTTGTCCACATCAAGCGGCAGTGTTCCCTTTGTTGGCAAGTTTCCAGTCAGACACACTTTGAGCATAGCGCCCCAGGTTAACATTTGGATAGCTCGGGAAAGACTCCTTGTGTACCAAAACAAACCCCCCTCATCAGGAGACCTTAGCATCCAATCTGCAGCATGTCCTTCAGTCAAATCACTGGACATCGCTCTTCTGATGCTGACCAAATGGCCCCAACAACGATCTTGATCCAATTCATCTGGTCAGACTCCAGCTATCCTGCAGCCAGTATGTGGTGGACGCATAATGCTTCAACTTCAATCCCAAGTTAATGCCCTGCATTGCTGCCTCCAAGACAAACTTCAACAATGGCTAATTGACCTTGATGACGTCAAGGGTTGCAGAAAAGGACAGCTTTGGTATGCCTTACCTCAGGCCATGTTGGCATCACAAGGGGCGTCTCCAGGCTGCCGAACGACGCATTCACCGCACCCTCCACCGACTCCCTCAGTCGCGGCATTGCGAGCGTTCTCAGCGCAGCCAGGCCATCACCCTCCAGCGCGCACCCATCTCCGAGCCCCTGAGGAACCCCTAGCGCGTCCAGCAGGACCTGCTTCCTGACGCCCCGCATGTCTGCCAGCTGGCACTCCTCGAAAGGCTTCTCCAACACCTCCGCAAGCCAGAGCACGTCCGCCACCGTTCGGACCTCAAGCCACTCAGAACCGCCCCCATCTTTCCCGGCTGAAGCCAGAACCGAACTGAGGATCCGCATGTTGGTCAAACCGTCGTTCCAGCTAACCGCAACTTGCGGCCCTGCAACAGCAAGACTTGCTTCGTGGAGCTCAAAAACGACGGGCCTCCCCACCCCCTGCTTGGCCTCAATGCTCCGGTGCAGAAGCGCGTACTGCGACAGAATGGGAGCAACGTCCACGGCGAGGGCGTAAGGGGAGGACGCATGAGTGTCGAGAAGCGCTCGCGCCTCCATCTCCACTTCATGCGCGAGAGTCGCCAACTTCTGCACACAGAGCGGCCTCTGTCTGCTCTGCACTGTCACCGGGCCCTCCTGAGCATTGGCACCCAATTTCAGCATCTCCCCAAGAACCCGAGCATCTACCTCAGCAACGAGCGCATACACTTGGGCCACCATAAAGGGCGCACGCCGGAGGTCTCCCGGCGCATACCGCCTCAAACGAGGTAACGTCCAGGCCGCCAATTTCTTGGCTTCCCTTTGAAGCTCCTGGCACTCGACTGACCCGCACCCCCCGGACTGCAGCTGGAACAGCACGTCCCGATAGAGGTCTGCAACTAGGGTGATGCTTGTTTGGAACTCTTCGTGCTCTGCACTCTTGTGCAAAGCATGGAGGCCCCTGACTCCCTCTTGCAGCTCCGCTAGTTGCTGCGAAAGTGCACCTTGCTTCTCTGCAAGTTTTGTCACCATTTTCCCAACCCAGCCCATAGCCAGGTCCACCCGATCCAACCGCAGATCCAGTTGCGCCTTCATCTCCTCAAGTGCGACCCTGGTTTGCTTGCCCTCGGCAATCACAAGGCCCCCCAGCTGTGATGACAGTTTGCTGATGTCAGCAGAGAGCCCCGCCCCTACCCTGCGGACCTCTGCTGCGTTCTTCTCCAGCCCTTCGAGCGTCTTGACCCCAATGCTCGCTGTCTGGATCTGCAGCAACCCCAGGTCCTTTTTCACCTTGAGGACCTGATAGGCATTGAATATGCCCACTCCAAGGCCGGTTGCCCCAACGGCCAGATTAACTATCCCCAGGCCCATGTTGAACAGCCCCAGGGGGGTGAGCTGGCAGCCAGCCTCGGCCGCATCGCCCAGTAGACGCAAAGGCTGCTCCACAGCAGCCTCAAACGCCAGCTTTCCGCCCTCGTTGGCGGCCCTCTTTGCGGCCTCGAGAGCGATCTGCTTCGCAGCTGCCTTCATCGTTGAGAGGGGCTGCAAAGCTCAGGCGCTTGCGCAATGCTTCAACAAGTGCGCCTCCTTACGCTGCTCTTACCCTCTGCCTGATGGCTAGATAGTAGGTGCAGATATGGTAGCAGTTCAGTGCCAGTGCCGCCATAAGACCTCAAGTTGAAGCCAGCATCGTTGTTCACTTCAATATGCCCCAGAGGCGTATGCTAGTCTGCGTGCTCCACCTGACGAGCCGCACGTGCAAGACGGTAATTTCCACAAAAAAAAAATGTGACCGGTGGCGGAACGCCACGTATGCTCGGTTTTCAAGGGGGTCCAAAATATTGAATGAAAAGTAGGCGTTGCGAATTTGACGGTAGGGTCACGGAGACTCTCGGTGCTTGAAAAAGTGATCGGTAATTGTGAACCGCCAGCTGAAAAACCTGATGTTAGTCAAAATGCAAATTCGGATCTAGAAAGCTAGATAAGAGAAGAGCAATCCGGGACCCCGGGCACTTTCCCCGGGCGAAATTGAGCTCATGGAGCCCGGTGTTCGTGATACGCAGCGCCCCTGCTTACCGACTTTGCGTACGGAATAACCTCAGCTGCACGTGTTGAAAGTTACTTCAAGCGTGCAAAAATGAAATTCATTTGGACCGGCGGACGGGCCACGGCCTCACCGTGTCTCAAGGTTCGAGTCCGCACTAAGACGAGCCTCAGCCTGGCATGTCCGCAGAATGAACAAATGAACGCGCTCGAAAAGAGCCTTACACGTGCGAAAAAAAGAAATTTGAACAGCAGTTTGCATCGAACCATCGAAAGTTCGGGTCGATCATTCAAAGGGATAGTATGGGGCGAAAGTGTCCTTCGACGCATAAATTTGGCTTAACTGAGTGATCCAGTCTAAGGTGCTCACGTTCGGGGTTTTCAAAAAACCGAAAACGATAGCTGGTTTTTTGTAAACCAAAAAAACCGAGCTAAAAAATCGTTGTTCACTTCAAACCTCAAGAACGTGAATTAAGTCAGTCCCAGCACTCCCCCAATCCGCAATTGTTACAGTACCTATTTTCGCAACAGTTACTGTATTATGTCGACGATTTTAGGGCCATGTTGACAAAGGAAAGAGCCCGGGGGACGGGTGGGGTTGGTGTGGGAGTTAGGGTGGGTACGGGTACGGAGCTTGTCATTTCTACGGTTTAGGTTTTTAGGTTTGTTTTCTCCCCCGAGCATAGTATAACTTGAACATGCCTTCGTGAATCGTCAACATGACATAATGTCAGAGATTGAAATCGAGAATCGTTGACTTTGCCGCCCGAGTCCGTACTGTCCGAGGCGCCGCAGTACGTACGGTACCGGCCGCTCCGATGTCGTTAAACCTCAGAATCCAGAAACCTCCCGCGCGCGGCAACTGGCGACCGTTAGCTAGACCGCGCGCACGCGTGCGTACGTACGTATACGTATATACGCGCGGTCGTCGAGTTATAACTTCTAGCTGTCATGCCAGTATGGATCGAGTCCTATTTGAGCCGAGGCCGATGCAAACAAGCCATGTTGTCTAAGAATGTCTTGCAACGAACAAACAATTAGGGATGTCTCTGCAAACTTATGCACCTAACCCCCCTCAACTTACGGCACCTTATGCGCCAGGCTGATCGTCGATGCTATGCAAGTTATGCATGAAGTAACCAATTACAAGTTATAACTGTTGATGCCGGTGTAACCACGCCTGCCATAGTGCCATGGTCTGAATCTGTTATTCTCGCTGCGACGCTGCTTTGTCCGTTCATAATCATCATATATCGAATCTACAATCCATGTGCACTGAGCCAGCTCGTCGCCGTGAAGCCGAGAACGTCTAGTATGTGTCCGACGCCAGCCGTTGAGCCGTTATTGCGTACAGATGGTCCAACCATCTCATATGCGTGCAGCCAGTCGCATACGCGGGCCAGTCGCGGTATGCGTGCCATCAATTGCAGTGCTAGACGTTGCAGTTACAAAGGCATAGCAGAGCGGCCGAGCCACGCTTGGGCCCAGGGTCCAAGGCAATATTGATGATTCGAATCAGAAAGAGATGTGTTGATCGACGGCCCTAGTGCCCGCCAGTTGGGAAGTGCCACCTGCCAAATGGGACATCGATCGATCAGAGGCATTTTAAGAATCATGGGTAATGTACTTTCGTCACTTGATCACTTTCGGCGACCTATCTGAATGCCAAACACGGTGCGAGCACGCCGAACACAGTTGCATGTACAGATCCATATGCTTCTTGCATTGTTTTCGAGGCATGAGAGGACTCAAATCAATTTGATATAGCAGGATCTCACTCTTCGGAAATAATTTGTTGATTGCGTCAGAGCATGCAAGATCCACATAGATTGTCGTTTGATCCACAGATGTCCAAGCTTGATGGTTGGACCATGTGAGCTTCTGAGCTGAATATCTTGCATGTGCCAGTCCTTTGCTCACATCTGTCCCCTTGAAATCTGAGCCACAACAGTTGTATCGTCATGCTTTCTTCATTACTTGAAGTCACGAGTAGGCCGACTGAGACCCGTCTCCACATACGGTGCCGCCCCCGACAGGCCAACATGAGAAACCATTCAACGTTGCCACCAGACGACTTGATGGTCATATGAAGAACTTGGGGAGGACCCTGTCAAAACAATGTGATGACATGTTGACAATGTGAGCGCACACATACGTCTTCTTGTGCAGGTGCCGTTTGCATATATACGCATTGAGTAAGTGCGATCAGTTCTTTCGTAGCAACGCTGTTAATTTTAGAGGAGCGAATCAACCATGTCAATTATCGTACGTTTGCACAACTTGTGAAGGTTCATGCGGGCTTTGCGACACCCGGCTCGTCGGCCTCCTCTTAGAATGCGCCCGTGGCTAGCGCCTGCTTCATCCTCGTTATCTCCTCGTTGGCCGCTTCGCGCTCCTCTGGCGCCAGCTGGTAGTACGTCTTCCCGCTCACAGCCTCCCACTGCAAGGGCAGAAGCGTCTGCGCGTTCATATTTTTCGCGCTGCCTTCAAAATGCTCGGTCAAGCCTTGGAGCGACTGCTGAGCGGCAAGGGGCAGCTGAACAGCTGGCATAATTCAAGGCGACCAACAGGCTGAAGCTCCGCGCCTGGGCGTCGCCAGCGGACGTGAACGTTCTGCTGCCAAGGGTTTTCCGCAAAATCCCATCTGATGCTACCGGAAACTTTACGTGGGCACTTTGCGGCCGCTACTTAGACACTAGTTCTGGCCGTGCCTTGGAGCAACGGGTACCTCACCTGCTTGGTGTCGCGCACGGAGTGCATCCGAGGCTCGTATGCGGGCTTGGCTTTGAACCTCCGGTTGTGCTGCACACAAGAAGAATTTGTTCTGCTGCATCCATTTCTGAGGGTACAACAGATGAGACATGATTCCTTCGATTGTGATAATACACACCCGATGGAAAGTAACAAGAGGCCCCGAATCAGCACGATGCATACCGGGTCGTGACCCGGAAACAGGGGCTCCTTTCGTGCGCCCATGCGACGCCAGAAGGCACCCCTCACGTAGATTGACGCAAAATCACAGAATCCAGTAGATCAAATTCCTGCAGACGTCAACGCTGGCCAAAGCCCCTGTACACGGCTCGACCAGTCTGCTGCTTGGAATAGCTCAGGCAGTCGGTTCCAAATTGAAGGTTCGCACAAGCAACCTTCCTGACATCTCCCAGGTTTGAAAGTAACAATTATCGGGATACGAAAGAGTCAAAAAGCCCTAACCTCACATGTTATCCACATCCTGTCCCACGCCATCAACTTACAGCCAATCATTGCTGATGACCTTGTTATCCATAAGCCTTGATGTTCCGTAAGTCAAGACCGAACAAGTTCCCGGCCCAAACTTTTGGTCTGGCACTTGCCTGCGCAAGTAGGGCGGCCAAGTCAGCATCTTCCCCCGGGGGGCGGCTCTGCGCGCGCGTGACGTCAGCAGGGGACGGGCCGGGCCTTGTTGCAGAACTCATATGGCCGTCAGCGGTGTCAAGAGCCTGCGAAAGAAACATGAGAGGATCTAGCAAGCTGCAGAGGACTCGATAACCAGCCGAAAATGATCAGACAAAAGCGGACAGTTTTGCAAGCGGCAACTTGCCTTTCAGGCTGCCACAGTGTCTTGTAAACAACCCGGGGACTGACATCCGGCACTCCTTAAGACAGCCAGTCTCGATTCATAGGGCCATCAACATTGGTTGATCTTACTTTGTGATATCCGGCTTAGGGTGCATTAACCACCGACACGGACGGTGCTTTGTAAACCAATTTCGAAACTTCGGGAAAGAATAGAATTAACTCTGCTGTGCAGCTTTATGCTTCGTTTCGGGGCGCCAGGCAGAGTCGGCTCATGCTGACAGACGGCTGCAGAAGCCCAAGAATCACGGCATTCTGCACTCTATCCTCGTCGTCAAGATTCTATGGTACCGTATGCTTCCTTATCTGCGTCTCAATTGAACAAGCCATCCAAAACCCATTTACATCAAAACACAAAAAAAGTTCATGCCAGAGCCCCATGCGTTGGCCCGTACCTGAGCTGATCGTCTCTCCCCAGTCCGCCTTTTGCTCGTTTCACCTGCGGCGACCTGAGGAGCAGGCGTAAACCCAACCGCGGCATGCGTCAGGCGCGGACCCGCAACCCGCTGCGCGTGCTGCCCCCCAGTTCCCTTTGCCGCCACTTTCCGTGTTTGCGCCTCAGGAACGCTGCCCGTGTTGCCCGTGGCTAACGTCACCAAAGGGGCCCTCCCGCCGGCTCGCCCGTTCCCGCTGTCCGTTCTCGCCGCCACCTGTCGCCCTGCTTTGACGATTGCTTTGCTAGCGATCCCTTTGCTTGCGGCGCCATTTGCGCGCCCGGATCCTAGCGGGCCTCTCTGCGCCCCCGGCAAGGAACATGACACGTGTCCTTCCAACATAGGCCGACTGTGCAGCCCCGCTCCCGAGTGCTCGCCTTGGGGGATCGTTTTCCTGGTCCGGGGATCCCCTTCCGGCTGCTCGATGCGCCTGCCGAACGCCAGCTTCACCCCTTCCGTGTTGTCCCCGCCGCTCTCCGCTGACTTGCGCGGCCGCGCCACAAGTGGCGGCGTCCGCTTCTTGGGACCCAACTCCAACCCGGGGGGAGTGCCCTCCCCTTCCGCAGGCCGTCGAAGAGCGTCACCAAGAGACCTCCGGCCGGCATGCCGGCCCACCCCGCCACTCAGCCCCACCGCCGGTTCCCGTCCTCCGCCGGCTTGTCTGCTAGCAGCCGCAACCGGAAGCTGCATACCGCGCCCGCCGTTCCGCCGGTCCCCACTTTCACCCAACTCGGCAGCCTCGCCAGATGAAGACTCCCGTTCCCTTGGCAGCTCCGCCGGCCCTGCCTCCTCATGATTCCCCTCAGGGGGCCTGCTGCTAGATGGGCGCTCGGGAGGGGTTGCCGCAGCCTGCGAAGTTGTTTCCTTGTGTGGTGTTACGGCCCCCGTTGCAAGTCTTGCATGGTGCCAGGGCTTGTGGGGAGAGCTTGCGGGGCTTACAGAGGGAGCATGTGCCTCTTTCGGGTGCGCGAGCGAGCGAGACGCTTCTTGGACTGGGATTTCAGCCTCAGGAGAGGCGCTGCGGCGAGGAAACAGGGTGTCAGCAAGTGACTTAGGGTGGGCATTCACTATTGACGGATCCCACACACAATCACAAAAGGCGTTCGACGATAAGGCAGTAGACAGCAGTTGGACTTGAGGGTCTCAGCACCGTATAATGTGGGCTTATGTTTGGTCCTGACACTTGTCTGTTGCTTAAGATCATTCCAGGAAAGCCCTTGATTGCCTCCTGCGCTTGCCTCCCCCCCGTATCCGCTCACCTGCTGCGCGGTGCTTCTCCTGGGGCCACTCTCAAAGCCCGCGCAGTGAGCCGCTGCGCTCCGCCCCCCAACCGACGCAGGTCCACTCGGTGCAAGCTGTCGACCAATGCGGCACTCAAGCCCTTCTCTCCTAACAATGGCTTGAAGCCTTGTGGCGCCTCTGTCGCTTCCTGAGAGTGGCCGCCAGCAGGGCTTCCAGTCGGGGAGTGTGAAAAGGGCCCAGTTTCATGAAGCAGCGGCAGCGGAAGTGTCCCGGTCTCCTCTGCCAGCTCGTCAAGCGACTTCTCATGGTTCCTGAGGAAGGCGAAAGATATGTCCAGATCATTCAAAAGCTGCAGATTGCAATGCAGAAACAAGTTGAGAAACTGAATGAGGCTAGGACTGGAGGGGAAAGCAACATGTCAACCAGCAGCATTGACCAGCAGAAATGCATTGGTGAAACTCTGGCAGGACACAGCTATGTAAAACTTCACAGCACATTTCAATGAAACTGCTGCAGGCTGCCACAAGAATGAACATTTAGGAGCAACGTCACAACAGACATCGAGATGGTGTTCCTTCCTTCTTCTTATTACCTAGCAAATTGACATGTACCGCATCTTCGCAAAGGCTAAAGACCATTACACACACATTTGTTGCTCAATATCTGCACCTTCAAGTACAATGTCGGGAATTGTGCCAGCATTCTGGATCGCTCCACTCCTCCTTTCCTGCACATCACGTCAATTGCAAGAGGGAGGCTTGGTCAAAAGCAACTCACTCATGCGAGGAGTGGAACCAGGGGTCGTCGCCTTCCAGTCCTGCTGCAGCCAACACGGCTTCCTCATGCAAGTCCACCCACTTGGGGGCATCAATTTCGTCCAGGAACTGCCAGATATCGTTATTGGGGCTGGTAGCTGTAAAGCTTTGAGGAGACAGGAGGGGACCAGGGGAACCCATCTGCGACACCTTTTGGCGCTGTCCTAAATTACATTGTACTGATCAGCGGGCGGCCAAAAACATCATTTGAAACAAAGTCTTATGTTATTGCCAGTGAGTGAGTGCTCAAGTACTCGGGGCCGTCTTTGCTCAGCTGATATTTAGGACAGGTTTTGTTATTTGGACATACTCAAATGCAGCGAGAGAGGCTGAGATGCAGGCTACTGCAAGAATGCCCGAGAGATCAACAATGAGTTCCACGCCACAAAAATCTACATTGGTGGCAAAACTCTGGGCAGCTGGTTAGTAATGCGCTTTAACTTTATATATTGCACAGTATCTTCCATATTCACTGTATGCCATTGCCTGCTGCTGATCAACATCAGAAGACCACTAGCATCTCTGAATCAAGATCAGAACAGTGCTTTAACTGCTGCTGCCAAGGCCCGAACGCAAGATTGCTCATCTAAAGAGCTTCCCCGGGAAGTTCTTTTAACAATATCTGTGCGGGGACCTCATGAGTCATGCTCCTCCACAGGCTCCAGCCTCCATTTGGCTCTCTCTCCATTTGCAGATGAGTCTGCAGACTGCACTTCAAACGGATCATGCTGCAGAGGGGAGTGAACTTCGAAAGTGCTGGCGGGAAAATCGTTCCAGTTGCATGCGACATCTTCTCCGGAATAGCAAGTTCGACGCCAAACCGTTGATCAGGATTAAAATCACAGTAGCAGCTTACGAATATCGAATATCCTCAATATTATCAAACTACGATATTAGGAGCAGATATAGAGGGTTTGAACCTCCCCTCCTGGATGTTGAGACGGCATCGAAGCAGTGGATTGATCAAGAAGGACGCTGCTCCAAGTGCAAAGAAGAGATGTTTTGGTGGGGTCTGGGTCACGGTATCTTCAACCGTCCTCAGTTGGACCGAGATGTCGGTACGGGAACTTATGTGCAGAATTTTGTTTGGTTGTGCCGCTTCTGTAACAGTAAGAAGGGGCGAGTTTGATAATGCGGTTCGAACGTTCCGATTCCAACTTGGCGTGCCTATTCACACCAGGTTGAACGCCGTCCAACCTGAAGGGATCCCCAAACTTCATCATCATGACACAAGCTGTGAAGAGAAATGCAAAAATGGCGGCCGCCAAGGAGAGGTGGCGCCTTCTCGCCAAGGCCTGCACGGGCAAGCGAAGTGGCACGGCCAGTCCCGAGAACAATGAGATTCAGCACTCAATATCCAGAGTTGCTGCAGGGAGCTTTGGTTTTGTAAAGTCCACAGCAATTCAGCGAGCATCTGTCACAGATCAGTCTGGGAGACCTGGTGAAGCGTTGCTTGCAACGGACCCCTTGCATCAACACGTGTCTTACGAGGTGGTCAAGCCAGGTGGCCAGACGGTGGAGATTATTTTGAGGTGAGACACTCATTAGCTTCTTACTTTGAAGCGGACATTTGTGGTGCAGTGCACGGTGTGTCAAGTTGATTCAGAAACAATTTGGATCCATTCCAGTTTGACCAATGAGAGAGATTGGCATTCTTTTCTGCTGTCCAGGTTCATGGAAGACACGTTTTATGTAATCATATTGTGGCGTCCTGCAGCATCCTTGGATATTGTTGAAGCAGCTCCTTGTACCGTCCAGGGGGCTTGTAAGTAAGCGATAGGTCAAGAGTGTGTAACTTGAGGTTTGACTTGAATCAGAGAAGCCGACAATCTGCGTCATCAGTTTAAAGGGACTGTCTGGTGCCCCTCTTTGCCCCATGATTCACTCAGGCCAAGTGTGCAAAGCCGTACCGGGAAGTCTTGAAAGGAGAAGGAAAAGAAGGAGCGCTTGCAAAGAGTCCACGTCAAGAAGCAGTGTCTATCTCCAGATAGTGCAAGGTAGGAAGAGAGGGGACAGGAGAAGGGAAAGGAAGCAACTTCTGCCTCCTGTCCAACTGATCCCAAGCTGGTTCGTGCTTCTGTGTAGGCAACGAAGAGCAGGATGCATATCGTTAGCCGACCACAGGCTTTCCCAGGCGTGCGGAGTTGACAGCACTGGCATCGTTTGTAAGTATTAGAGCAAGGAGCCAAAGTTCCCTCAATTTGCATTGCGTTTGTGGGAAGCTCACTTCTTACCAGGTGATATTGCTTGGAGTCTTCTTGTCATATTGTAAGCGAGCATGCGTGGTTATACTTGTAATCGAGCATAATGAGTTGAAAGAACGGGCTAGCAGATTCGGTTTTAACTTCTGAGGTTGAGTCCCCTTTCCCGCTCAGCTAATTACAAGTCTGACTGCACAATCTGAATGACATTCAAAATGATACGCCGTAGCTGAACGCTCTGAGCTTTCGTTGATCCTTGAAGAGCGTTCGATTTGGAGTTTAGGAGATTCTGGCGGCATGTTCGCTCTTCAAGATGGAGTTTGGCTGGCATGTTTGACAACGAGTGACAACGCTCTTAGATTGGTGCTGCTAGTCAGGTACTACATTCTCTGAATGAAAACGCGTGCATGAAATCTGCTTGACCTTAAGGGTATCAAAGTTTTGGAGACACGGGATTGTTTTTGCATGAAATTCCCTTCTAATTGAGCAGGGTCCTTAGAGCCTTGTCCTTGAACTCGGACTGAATGTTTCATGCGTCTTGCGGTTTCTGTGTAAGAGCAGATCGCATCCCCTTTTGGGTCACTTGGGACATTCTGCAACTTGTGTTGACCGGTGAAACTGCCTTATTGCAAATCTCCCTCAGCAACAGTCAGCAAGAGGTTCAAAGCTTTGCACCTAGTTTCGAAGCAGCTTTCTCGGAGCGCTTAAGTCTGCCTTTCTTCATTCTCCTTGACAGGTCTTTGGCCTGCCGAGGAAGTATTGACGCACTATTGCTCCCAGCACCCTGAACTCTTCCAGTGAGTCTTTCTCTTCTGGCTTCTCTGTTTCTCACAACAGGGGGAGGGAATCGTTAGAGTCTATCAGCGCAGGAAAAGCCAAATTTCCGGGAGCTACAGTTTGTGCAAAACTTAATCATACCTGTGTCAGAAGAATGCCAACAGTGTGCCTCGCTTCCACTACGGCTGATACGGATCAGCTTTGGATGATCTGTCCTCATGGCAGCGGCACGCGTATGCTTTCTCATGACCGATCCCGCAAGCTCGCAGAGTAGCCGGTAAAAGCGATTGTTATGGCCTTTGGATTAAGCCTACAGACCTTCGGTCTCCAGATGCCCGCTCACCTGCTGCTGCGTGTGCTTCGTAACAGCAGCCAAAAGTGCTATGTCCATCCATGCTGAGAGACATCCGCCTTCCGTTTGCTGCCATCCTTCTGAAAGCGTGTCTTCCCGAACCTGTTGCTACTCTTCTGCCTGCGGTTACTTCTGGACCGACATAGGCGATTGCTCAGAATCCAATCGCTTTTGATTCTCCAGAGGACGGCGGGACTATCAATGAGAGCCAGCTGACCACCATCCTTCGTTGCGTTTCCATGTATCGTGTGTCCAGTTCATCGACTCCAGAACAGCCGACGACTCTTGTCAACCCCTCTCAAAGCTCCTCCTCCTTTGAACTTGGTCCTCATATGTCGGACATCCTTCACTCCTTCGGATTCTGCTCATTGTCGAGCAGGTGCCCTGGTTAGTCAAGTTACGAATGTTGCACTCGCACGTCAAGCGAAGCTGCGCCCATTGACCTGTAGTGACTACCCCAAAAACCAATCTTGACTACCCCAAGAGCCAACATGAAGCCCCGCAAAATGTACCGGCGTTTGCAGGGGCCGTCGGGTACTCGAGCTGGGCGCGGGGTACGGGCTCGCGGGGCTGGCCGTGGCTGCGTGCACCGAAGCGGGCGAGGTGGTGATTACGGACGGGAACCCCCAGGTTGTGAATGGTGAGATGTACCATCTTCTGCTGAGTCGATATGTATCGTTGAGCATAGGTACCTGGCTGGAAATCTTAGGGCCCCTATGTGGTTCTGTATTCGGGACAGTATGAGTATTGATGTCGAGTATATCACCTTCAAAACTTGTGCGCAAATCGTTTGGAGCAGGCGTGCACACGCATACAATGGTACCGGACATGAGAGGCTGGCCTTTGGAGGGTATTTTATGTTGTCAGGTGCCCCCCCGAATCACACGGGAAACAAAAAACTTCATGCCTGGTAAATATACTGCACGACACTCGGTCGCAGCGAGCAACTTCGTGGGTCGACAATGTCGCGTCTGCTAAGCAACTTTTTGTCAATATCAGAATTAACCTCTCTACTCCTGGTTAGGATAAGGCCAGATTTTTTGACTGCTGGCAACAAGCAACTAATATCGCAAACTCCGACTAACTTGTGAATGTATTGATTACCGGGCCATGTGCAGTCGGGGATAGTACGTTTGGTTTGGACCGTCAACCACTGTCCCTCCTTTTTGCAGCGATCCAACACAACATCCGGATCAATGCGCACCTGTTTGGCGAGACGGCTGTTCGCGCGGAACCGTTGACGTGGGGCGATGACGCTTCCGCACGGGCTGCGGGCGGGCCGTTTGACGTCATCATCGCTGCAGACTGGTGAGGGCTGATGTCACCACATGTTCCTCTTGCGTCGGCAGTACCCTTGCGTGGGTGCGACTCAGTCCGGTAAGTATAGGGCCGAGCAAGAGTGAGCCTGGGGCGAATGAGGATAACGCAGATTTCTTTGGACGGGTGCAAAGCTATGCTTCGATGACACAATCAATCCTCTCTCATGGAGGCAAACCAAGAGCCAAAAAGAAGGAAGAGGGATACGGGGCAGCATACTCCGTGCGTCTGAGTTGGACCACAAGAGCGACCAAAGGCACGGCCGTCAGAGCAAAGCTTGTATTGAAGGCTCCAGATTCGGCTGTCGACTGTAAAGGCTGTGGGAGATCAGGCCAGAATGGCAGCTGATTGTAGGTGTTAGTGTTGATCTAGATCCTTACCCTGCTTGAAAGCGAGACTACACACCGCCTCGGAGAAGCGCATGGGAGGTTCCAGGTTCGGCCGAAGTCGAGCCTTTGCTTGTCGACCAAACGAGGCAATAGCTCGGCAGGCTATGACCACTTTGAGCAGATCCGTATCCCAGGATTCATGACTGGCTGTCTCTGCAACCCGTCTGCGGCCATCATGAGCGCCAATCAACCATCCAATCTGTTGGCGACCTTTATCGGGAGCGCACCAGCTTGGCCTTGCGTTTCCGTTTTGCCTTGTTCCCTTTGGAGAGGATCCAACTCTGCTGCCCGGCTTTCGCTTCAAGGCCTGCAGTGATGCTTCTTTGTGATTCCCTGTCGAGCGCTTGTTTTCTCCTTAATGCCGCGCTCTTGCAACCGTTTTCCCGTTTCGATTTCGATTCGGGCGCTTGTAGAACCCTTGCTGCATTTCCGTGCTCGCTCAACTCTGTCCTCCTGCAACACGTCTGGAGCACTTGTCGATCAGTTGTAAAGCCCCAAAAAGCTGCGCTTCCTGAAGTGCTTTTTCGTTTCGATCTCGTGTCCGGGGTTGGTAGAACCCTTGCTGTGCTTCCGTGCTGGCTAACTCTGCTTTGCTTCACACGTCTGGAGCACGTGTCGTTCTCTTGTAGAACCTCCAAAAGCTGCGCTTTCGCAAGAGTGCTTTCGCTTTCGGATTTTGTTTCGGGCGCTTGTAGAACCCTGGCTGCACTTCCGTGCTTGCCATCTCTGATTCCCTGCAGCATGTCTGCAGCATGCGTCGAGCGCTTGTAGAACCCCCAAAAAGTGCGTTTTTTCAACTGCATTTTCGTTTCGATTTCAAGTCGGGCGTTGGTAGAACCCTGGCTGCACTTCTGTGCTGGCTAATGCTGCTTTTCTTCAAAACGTCTGCAGCACGTTCTTCAAGGACTTCCATGCCCAATTGGCGGGCACCATCAAGTTGCTTCTCAACCATGCATCTGCCCCGGGCACGTCTCGGACGTCAACGGACGGGGCTGAGGACCCGGTTGAGCCGAAACCGGTTCCTTCGACCTCTTATGCCAGCATTCTTGTAGCAGACGCCGGACTTGCACGAGATTTGGTGGCTTCGTCAATGAGTGAGGCCAGAGAGGATTCATTGTTGCAATCAGACGGACTGAAGGCGACTAGAGCATCGCAGTCCGAGGGGGAAAGTGCGAAGTGGCGGCTATGGGAAGAGAGCGACGGTTCTAGAACAACGGCTGGGAACAGATCAGAGGTCACGTGCGAGATAGGTGAGGCAAAAACGCCCGAAGAGCAGGTCAGGAGCGAGGACATCAATGCGTACCATGCATTGAATCCCACCTTCGAAGTAAATGAGAAGAGCCTGTCTACTTTCCGGACAGATGACATGAAAGACGACGGGCTGGAGCCGAACGAGCCCATTGCTTTGCTGTTCAATCCGCGACGAGGGGGGACGTTAGACAAATTCGTTGACATAGCTACTCGAGTAGGTCTTCGTGCAGAGTTGAGCGAGAGCTTTGATAAGGACTTGGACAGGAAGATTGAACGCTTGAGAGGAGGAGAGTGCGCAGAGTGGCCTGGATTTGATGAAGAGCACTGTCGCCCGATCATGTTGATCCTCAGACATTGTGAATTTGAGTAAGTGTCTCTTAAACGATTCCTCGTCTACCTTCCGGCAACTCCGCTAGAAGCGCTTGGTACAAATGCATAGGCACCGTTTGCACACATAAGGTCGAATTATTTCTACCTATGTGAGGCTTCTTCTAGTCGTCACCAAGAAAAACTAGCCGGCCGCCCGTTTGTCACAAGGAGAACTCCCCATGTTCAGATCTGCAAAGCTGCACCAAACACTGAATGCTTCAATGCTCTCAGAACTGCCCTCAACATATCCCGTTAGAAATGGTGAATATTAAGTGGGTTTTACCGACTACATATCACAAATTGGTGGAGCCCCATAAAACCTGCTTAATAAAGCCAATCGTGAACAACGGGTCTCTTGAGAAGCTTTGTAAGTGTTGACTACACAATCTCCACAATATTTGATACCACAGTGCAATTGTGTCATCATTGGTTTCGATGATGGCAGCTCGGACTTTTACCAATTTCACGTTTCTTCTCGTTCAAGAATGACAATCTACAACAATCCCTAAAAGGGTCGGATAAAGAGATCCTAAAAAGGGCCGATCGAGCCTCTCAGTAAAGGTGGCGGCCATTTCAGATTCAGGGCAGATTTGATCGGCTACGCGTTGTGGAGGCCCTGCTCCGCGCGCGCTTAGTTCCTAGCTCGAGTCGACCAATTAGCTAGGTATTTAGGAGACTCGATCATCGACGGTCGGCAAGGCCTGAAGAGGTGATCATGCCGATCGGACTGCAAATCGACGGTCGACAGCTGCGGCCGGGCAGGGATCATCCTGGTGACGTAGCGTCTCCGGATGCATGCTCTTCGTAAACTGGCGACGTTATGTAGATTGTAATGCTGCGAGGTACCTTGCATGACAGCTTTGGCTCTGCCCTCAACTTATCTTTCTCCATTGGCTGTACATAGTGCAAAGGCAGGTTTCTGGCAACTGGCCGCTCTCAAGCTTTCAGTAGCTACACAACACGTTCCCGACACGTTCCCTGTAAAGCAGCTATTCATACGGACTGATCTGAAAGAAAGCGCGCATGCAGTCTGAGTAAAGAAAGAGAGGAGCGACTGCAATGGGATGATGCTGGTATCAGCGCTTTGACGAGAATCGGTTTGCTTTTGGGTTTGGAGCAGCAAACCGGCCATCATATTCAATAACTGCTCTAAATCAGTGGCCTGGAATATCTAGTGGCGCCACGCTTGGAGCAGGCTACAAGTCAGCTATCCAATAAGATAGAGCTGACGATTTCTAGCACCGTCAGCTTATGCCCATCCGGTGAGTGAGTCTTCAATCCTAATGTATACAGAGTGGCTGGCTAAGTTGCGTGTCTTCCTACCAGGTGACTTTGAGAAGAATCTGGTTCGATGTTTTGTATCTTCTCCTGATTGATCAAAACACAGAAGCTCACACAAGAATTTTCTCCTTTGCTTCTGGCTTTGATTGAGTGCGCAGCCCTTAGCAACAACCCTTCCATCATCTTTAGTCCACTTTGTGGGCCTCCTCTCTTGGCCTCCTCTCTTGGATCTTCAACCCAGTTTGAATACGTGGTCCGTTGATATTGACCCTGAAACCTAGTATTTTGTGATCAATGTACAGGCTGTCTGAGCTCCTCTTGTAACATTTTCTCAAAGATGCTGGGGCCTATGCGCTGAACTGGGGGGAAGGTTGTCGATCCTACTGCAGAGTCTCCCTCTTTCAGCGGCACGCTGTGTGCTGGGCTGAGGGAGTGCTGAAGTTTCCACCCCCCTTTGAAGCTTCAACCCTCTCCTGAAACTCCTGTACCTACTTTTGACTGTGCAAACCCGTTTAAAAATGTCAGGAACGAACATTGTCAAATTTGAGCCCCGTTCTCCAGACATGTGACCTCCTACTTAGAGCTTCAGCATGCCTTGAGACGATACGATGCAATTTGGCATTATTAGATTTTTTCGTTGAATGTGACCCTCTTCAATTTTGAAATTCCAAGTCCCTCACTTGACAACTAAACCCCTTCGTATGCACCTGCCACTTCAAAACCCATGGCCAAGACCTCAGCATGTGCAGAGTGTCAATGTTGCCTCTCTGCTGGACCCTTTAGGAGCATGGACGATGTCTAAGACCCTCTGTCATCCTTTGCTAAAGAGTGCAGGTATTCTGTTGGGTGCGTTCAGGGTTAAAGCAAGGCGTGGGCCCGTTCACTTCAGGTTCATACATCTATTCTTAGGGGCATTTGTGAGGAGCAGAGATCCTCTTTGGAGAATCTTAGGTCCAGGAACGTGTATGCGTTTGAGCACTCAAGTGAGCAGAAGTGGGCCCTCATGAAACTTTGGCAGCCAGCAACAAGAATTCATACTGGCATTCACCCTGCCCTCACCCTGCTCAGTCCATCAGCAATTTTAAAAGCATTACTCAGCTTGATGGGGCTTCGAGCAACTTGTCCTTGTGCAGTGGTGCGGGTCTCTCAATTTTCTTCTTGGCGCCTTCACAAATGGCTTCCACTGGATGAAGCAACAACCGCTGTAATCTGCCCAATGAACTGCACACATGCTTCCCGACGTTCACCAATTTGACCTGGAAATCGTGCTTTCCTTGCAGAGAGTCGAAGGATGCCCCCTCTCCGAACCCCCTCGTGCAACTGGCGTCGCCATCTCATATCCGTTTCAAGCGCACTGGGAGGGTTTAAGATGTCCTCATTCCAATCGACAGCCGTCTTCCTTATCGTGCTGACCAGTTTAATATCAGCAACCGCACAGCTTGATGGGGGGGAAGGTTTTGAGAAAGTCCCTACATTCGCCAACTTCAATCTCAGTTCTACTACCGTTCTCAACCTGCGGGGCGTGCCCCTTGGGCAAGACTTCTCCAGCTTCCTTAAACACAACATTGCTGATGGTATCAGTGACGTCAGCAAGTTCCCAGGCGTGCCAACTTTCAGCAGACTTCTGGTGTTGGATCTGTCCGGCACCAACATCTCGGGCGGGATCCCCCCGAAGCTCGGGAACTTGACGAGCCTGGTTTACCTTAACCTTTCCTCTAACCGACTGTCTGGTCCCATTCCCCCCGAGCTTTCCAGGCTCTCAAAACTTCGTTATTTAGACCTCTCTGCAAACGAGCTGTCAGGTCCCTTGAGCCCGCAGCTGAATATCCTCTTCTTCCGAAGGTTGAAATCTTTGAACCTCTCTTCACACAAGCTTTCTGGCCCACTGTCTACCCTAATCAAGCCATGGCGACCCTGTGAGGTGCCCGAGAATACTAACCCTTGGAGCATCGTAAGCGTGCCGGACAACGGGACACATAAGAGCAAGTATTTCTTCGAGGACTCTTTAACCCGTCCAATGATCCACCTAGACCTGTCCTCCAACGCTTTCTCGGGCATAATTCCAAATCTCGTTACTCTCGCACGGCTCAAGTACCTCAACCTCTCGTTCAATCATCTCTCGGGCGGCATCGGCAGTGGCACCTTGAGCAGTAAAGCTTGCCTGCAAACCGTGGACTTGTCGTTCAACCCCGACCTTATTGGTCCCCTCTCCCCTGCCCACTTTTTCGTCGATACTTCTCGTTATTCCTCGCTGGTGACTTTGAGCCTCCAGGGCACGAAGTTGAGACTCATACATGAGGTAGAGAAGCTGATCTGCAACGGGACGTATCCCTTCAACCTGCTAACAAACGGTGGGCTCTATCCAGCCGGGGGTGCCCAAATACCGGACACTGGTCATAGGAATCGGTGTCCTAAAGCTACGTCCGGCGGCTTTTCCGGAGGGGGATGGCAAGTTGGGCGTTCTATTCGTCGCCCAATTGATTACGGGTCCGTTCTCTTATTTGTGTATTTGCCGCAATGGCTTGTGATACTAGGCCTTGTAATCGTTTTTTATCGGCTGGGGTGCCCGAGCAAAAGCGATTCTACAAAGAACTGTTTACCATCGAGTCCCCGGGCTACAGTTGGCTTCAAGGGAAAGTCTTGATTTAGACGTCACAACGTAACCTTAGCTTTTGTTGGTAACATGAAGCATGTGCAAGCCTCCACAGATTTAGAACGGTCAGAAGTATGCCAACCGATCCTGGCCACTACCTAATTTGAATCACAAACTAACCGTGCACAAAGACCATTGAATTGACGGTTTCTCTACTAGTCTAGGATTCGATCTGTACGTCCATCAAAAGTCACACGTACATATCGCCCATTGCATGCAACTACCTACATCATTGTGCAGGCGGCCGCCCTGGCTTTATACTGCAATTCAGATGCCTTGTTATCTTTATATATGAGTGCATGACTGCGTGGCACTGGTTTTGCATTGCACATGTACACATGCATGCAACGTTGAACATTGTGCCGCAATTAATGGATCGAATTGTGCCAGCCAAGCACGTCATATGCGAGGCGGACTCACACTGCGATTATAATCAGCTGTATGCAGAGCTATCCCATAGCGCTCTTTTATGTGCCGAATATCAGATGCAAGGACGACTGATCGCCAAAATCACCATGCCGTGGTGATTGATGTATTCACAACCTATGCTTTCTTCTAATTTACATGCGTGGAACGGCTTGATCGTAAGCAGGTAGCAAAAGGGTCGACCTGGCGTGATCTTACACGCAACTTGCTACGACGCAATACATTGTATCAAATACATCTGCGGAATCCATCGTGATTCTGGCAGCCTGCCGCCAAGGCTCCGAGTCGGCGCCCGGAGCGTGCATCATATGGGAGGGGCAAAGATGGGCCAATGGACGGACCTCGAGCAGACCACAGCAGAATAGCAGACGGTCGAGACTTCTTCTATCTCTGAGCAGCAAGAACAACGTAATGCTCGTCAAGGCACCACTCGTAACGGAAGGAAGTACAGTAGGCCGGAGTCACTCACGTCCGATGCTTGGTCTTCACAATCTCAATCTCAAAGAGCAACGGCTCATTGGTGTGCCGGAGCAATCTCCTCTCAGCGGCTCCAGACGTCGGCCTGGGCAAAACTCCGTCATTAATCCAGCCTAATTTTGGAGGGACAAGTATCCGCCGCCTCCCACCTATGCACATACCCAACACGCCTTGCTCTACGCCCTGAGGCACTTGTCCCGCACCTAGTTCGAATGTGAATGCGTCCCCCACGTCATCCTTTCCTTCTTTACCGTAACCCACAGAATCAATGTACAACCTGTACAGGCAGAGAAGTTGGCACAGGGTGTCAGCACCTTGAGTTAAGGGCTCAGTTTGACGACTCGTGTCATTGGATGCTCTATCAGGCCGCCTCTACAATGAACGCCAGTAAAAACAAGAAGCAGTGAGTAGCTCCGCAGGGCTCTCGACTGTCCGGCATGCCTCTGAAATTCCACTGGAATGCTTTCGAAAGACAATTGCAGGCAAACGAAAAGGACTGAACGGCGCCTGTGAAGAAATGAACAGAAGCCTACTCAGGAACAGAAGCCAGAGTAGGACAAAGTATGGCCATTCAGTTGGTTGTAGCCGCCCTAGATTTCTTGAGCAATTTCAACCTTGCATCGACTCGGTCTCAAGAGCAATCAGAGATTTAATCTACACCACAAATGCAGAAACACTTGGTAAGACGCGCGAGATGCAGGACACGTCAGTGAGCCTGAGCTTCGAAGGGGGGGACCTGTTGCTGGGTATGTAAGACTTTGCTGACCCGCTCAGGCGGTAGATCGTGTAGTACACAGACACAAGGTCGCCGGGGCGCAACGCTTCTCCGGTTCCAACAGCCAGCTCACGATACCTGGAGGGTACGAGACATCACTCAAGCAACATCATATACCCAGTTGGGGCGCATGTTTGCGAAAGGGGATTGCGGACATACGAATCGAAGCCTGTGCTGCTGGGGAAACGTCAGGGTTCATGATCTCGAGGTGGAATTCGGCAGTGCTCACGAAGAGTCCACTTGTTCTGCTAGATTGCTCTAACAAAAATTGGGGAGAGTCCAAATGTCAGGACATGAATTCGCATGATTTGTTCCGATAGAGCCTTGACCCTGATTCAACTTCTCTGAAGATAAAGTATGGTCATAACGCAGGCCAAACGTCCAGCCAGAGGATAAAGTTTGGTGATAACTCAGGCCTTACGTCAAGTCGAGCCAGATGCGACCACCAGAAGCATGACGCTGTCAAGGAAACAGAGTCCAGACCACTTCAAATCACTGCAACAGACTCCGTCCTTTCTCGGATCATTGAGTATTGGTAAGAAACGAAGTTTTGAAGAGCGCGAAATGATTTTTTAAGCAGGGACTTACTTGACGCCCGACGGCAGCTTCACAATGGGCCCTTCAGCCCGCTCCTTCTCCTCCCGCCTCCTCTCCCCTTCCTCTCTGGCGTCGTCAATATTTGTCCGGAACTGTTTCGCAGGTGGCGCACTGCAGAGGACAAGAGAGGGCCCTGAGATAGTGCATCTTTACGAAGAAGAGGCAGATTGAGCTGCCGGCCAGTGGATACACCAAAATAGCAACAACAGTGGCTCCGCCAGTGCCAGTTTCCCACTTCCCTTTTTGGCCCATTCGCAGGATCACACGCGCCTGGATATCAGAACACCACTACCCAATGGAGTAATCATGTTCAAAGCGTTCTGGTAACTGCATATCGGCTTTCTGTTGAGCCTCTACTGCCTTGGCCATTGTCTTTACATGGCCAAGCAAAGCTGTTTTTCTTCTAACAAGAGACCTTGCACTGTGCAGTTCTCATGACGCTGAAGTCAACTAGCATCCTTTCAATGTCTTCATACTACCAAGCTCACACAATGATGTCTCACCCCAGCGCAGCTCGTCCCTGCGAGCAGTGCAACGACGTCATCAGCAAGGCAATGCTGAACGCCCTTCTGCAACTGCCCCGGTCCGTGGCTTGCCGCTCAGACTGACTATATTTTTCACCAGCATGATTCGTCTTTGGGCGCTGCATTGCACCACCAGCTAAAGTCTCTCTACTCCGAAGTGACTGCATTTTCGGAGGTGACTCTGCAAGGTTGAATGATGCTGGTTTTTCTGAAGGGCGACATTTTGGCTCAGCTTTTGACGAGCTCTCTAAAGAGCTACTTTGACTGAGCGCCTGAGCACTTGAGGCCAGTCTCTCGACAACAAAACTCCTGCTCGAGGCGCAACAGTGCGGCCCCATGGACCTTGACTGGCTATCCCACAGCTGCAAGCTTCTATTGAAGTGCAGGCAGATTGAAACTTGAGGTAGAGAAACCAGATTGAACACCCTCCTAAGGAAAGCGCGGCAGTTCTACTTTGCTCAAGCGGCAGATATTGCTGGCCATCCAAGAAGGAAACGCTGCAATGGGTGCAAGGAGCAGAGAATTGTAGGGCGACCATGGTCCATGCCGTCTGGAGATCAGAACCAGCTAGCAAAGCACTATCGGTACATGAGTCAGCCGGCTATGCCATCTGGACGTACAAAGCAATGCGAAGCTGAAAAGAGAAATTAGAATGCCGCAATCAGAAGTCAAGCTGAAATTCAAATGCAGCGAGTTTGTGGTCCTGGATTTCAGGGGGATTTCAATTCAATGCGATCAAAAATCATCAAATAGGTTACCTAATTTGGGGTCAAATGGTCACATCAATGTACTGGTACCAGTACTAGAGTTACCAGTACTGGTACCTACCAGTACCTACTGTAGAGTCTAGACTCTAGATTGTGTCAACAGGAGACAACATATTGAAGCGCCGGGCACTCCTGTTAAAACCCCAACCTAATAATTTAACGGGGCTGCGTTCTCGCACCCACCCTAACTCCCACCCTAACCCAATCCGTCCCCCGGGTGCCTACACCAACACAAACGATACCTAATCGAGGGTGTCACATCACAGGCACTCGGAGCTACCATACTACGTACGGTAGGTGCTCCGAGTCAGTACATACAGTAACATACCTATGCTAGCAGTTGCTCAATTCAATCAACACGAGATACAATGTTCTGAGCCGTCAGATGAGAGCGCTAGGCTCTGAACCTCAAACTCCAGTTGCTCCGTTGGATAAGCAAGCGGCCGTCAGGTGGCACCTATTAGGCTTGACCGAATTGATACGGCTTGCATGAGTTGCAGCTTGGGGAATGAATGATTTGAGCCTTTGCCGGAGGAGTGCTCACAAAGAAAGGTTCACAAATTTCGATCGGTCTTCTATCCCCTTCTTTGGAAGCTTTCAGCCGAGCCGCAGCTCAGCAGCAAGGGCTGGATCCTGCTGCAGTCAGCTTGCTATTGCTTGGATTGTGTCATTTTTGCTAATCCAAGTAGCGACTGGACAAGTGTAAACCCCTTGCGAGAGAGTAGCCATGATGGTGAAGCGGCGGAAAGGGGTAAAGCTATCATGCCTTAAGTGCGCATGACTCTACATGAAGACTGTTGTTTGAAGATTGGGCTTGTTTGAGTTGAGGCAAAGTGGATCCAGGTAGCAGAGAGGCAGCATGCTTTGAGCTGTCGTGCACAATAGGGTTTGACACCTTTGGACCGTGTCAAAGATGTGGACCAACCACTTGAACACGTTCCGCTCAGGCTCTGCTGTGGCAATCAACGCGGCTTCTGTCGTGTTGCTTGTATACCTTATGCTACCGTCAATAGGATTCAGGTCTGACGTTCGCAGAGCTGACGAGGGGATGCTCAGATGGAACAAGGGGATAAGCGACACGGACCGCCCGCTAGCGGAAGCGGTGGCGGCGATTGCTGTGGACAACACGATCATTGTGTCACTTGTGAACTCGGGATATCTGGACTTTGCTGAGAACTGGATGATCAGCATCAGGTGAGGCTTGGCTCTAGAATCATCAGATTTTGACGACTTTGGTGGTGGCGGCAAGTTTGAGCTCGCTCCAAAAGTGTAACTGTTCTTAAGAATTGTTGGAGAGAGTTAGTGGCATGCTCTCCTTTCAGAATCTGATTGAGAGCTTTCAGGTGAAGAGCCCTAGCTCTGGACTGCAGCTGATAGGCGCCTGATAAGGCCAAACCTCGTAATGTGGCCAATAAGGATCGATGTATCTGTGGATCATCGTCGCGCTGAGCTCCTGCTACACCGATTCGTTTTAAACCACCTATTGACCAGAACACAGTGAAGGTGTTGACCCATAGACTCAGTTGTGGTGCACTATGTGGCACCATCCTCCGGGTTAGTAGCAACTTTGAATTTCTGGAGAAGCACCTATGCAATATCTCTGAGGCGAGCAAATGCAAGCATTCCAGCTCTGGTATGCAATTCAAGGACTATTTTGTTGATCTGCTATATAGAGAGTTATTTTGCACACACATATGCTTGGATTGACTACATGAGGGAGTGAGCAGTTCACCGATTGGAATCAATCGCAAAGCTCTGCTTCTGCAGATGACTCTGCAAAAAACTGAAAAACTGATTAGATTGGCTGATCCCGTTGCCGTTGGGATGCTAGCAGTAATGTGGCACGCCTTGGCAATAGCGTCCCCTTTCTGATGCGGCCTGCACTGTGTGACGGTTGGAGCCTTATTTTGTCAGATTTCAACGCTTTTTTTTGTGTTAGACGCAGTGCTCTTCAAAAGCACCCGTCTTCGGAAAGGGAACGGAAAATGGAACTATAGCAAGACCCGTTAAAACTCAAGTTTTTCTTTTGCTGAGCACCAACCCCCACTTTGTGCAGCTGGCGACTGTTGACTTTCCCCATCTGGGCAATACCCTCTTTCTGGACTCATCCAAACTTGTTGTTCTTCCTTATGATCAATCCTCACGCTTTGGTGCTGACGGCAATGTTTTGACACCTAAGCGCTTTCCCAATATTTCCTGAGCTGATCGTGCTTCTTTCTCTGATAGTCCGGTATCTTTTGTCAGGCTCAGATTCCGCCCCTTCCTCTGATCAGCTCGCACCCTGTCCTTGCAGCCGGAAAGCCTTTCGCAGTTTCTGCACTTGTCATGCCTACTGAAGCTTCTTTTCTCTTCATAACCGGTCAAACATCTGTTCTTTAGTCCAAAATTTTTCTTCGTATATTCAGCCCACAGTGTCCGTATGCAGCCTCAACGTGTTTGGCATCGTGCGCCCGTCTTTCCATGTCAAAGCGCATCCCTTCCTTTTCATAAAGTCGAATGTTGGTTTGCGAGTTTGCTCAGTCCCAAATTCCATCCGTATGCAGCCGGCAAGGGTTTGGAGACCGCGTGCTCCTCTTCGCCGAGGACCAAGAAGCCTTTGACCACATCGACGCGCGCTGGCCGGGCCACGTCATTATGTACAACTACAGCTCGATCCCGCGCGCCGGCGAGTCCGCGCATGACTTCGGCTCGCTCGGCTTCTTCCTCATGACCGAGCGCCGGCCGGACTATTTGCGCGCGGTGCTCCGACTCGGCGTAAACGTGCTGTATAACGACCTGGATATGGTGTGGTTGAAGAACCCGTTTACGGCGTTCACGGGGGATTTCGATGTGTGGGTGAACGACGATTGGACGGACGACACGGGGCTCGAGGCGGTGCACCCGCTGCAGAAGGACCGGCGGTTCCCGTCGCATTACCATCCCAACATCTGCAGGTGAGGGCGGTGTGAAACTTCTTTTCATTTTAGGTTGATGTCGGAAAGTTTGCACGTCTGCTTCCACGATACGGGATTCTTGGCTGTATTTGATGTTCGAAAAAGCTCCTCCTGGATCGCGTCTCTCGCGCGGTCCTTGAACATCTACAGGTGAAGGCGTTGTACTGTGCTCATGTCGTCCCTTGGACATCTGAAATGAGTTGTCAGAACCCATGGAAGGGGAACGTGGACTCCAGTTTTCATTCTGGACCCCCAAACTGCTTGGTACCCCGTGCGTGCGCGACTGTAATGATCGGTTACAATCAACATCACCCGGTCTCTTGGTCCCATGCCCGGGGACGCGGAACTATGTCTATGTACCTTCTATTTGAACCCTCGGTTCGGATCCAATCGGCCGGTCGAGAGCAGGTAAACAAGGTTACGTTACCATCGGTTGCGCTTGAGTCACAACTCATGTGGCAAGTGCCGCGGCGGCCTAGCCTCCCGCTGCTCGCGCATAGGGATACCAACCAGTGTGGGGGTCGAGCATAGAAACTGGAGCCCACGTTCTCCTTCCACGGGTTCTGTCAGCTTCAAGAATCTCGTGTTATGGAGGCCGGTGGGGTGCCTCGAGCAACACCAGCTCGTGTACGTCGTTTCTCTTTGATGCTCCATTGGGCGTCTAATCTTGTACACTAACTTGACGGGTCCGACTTGCAAGCGCTGTAAGGTGCGGCTTGGTTATCTGCTATCGTTGCCTACCACGTTAAATTACCTGTACCTAGGCAATTCAGGTGCAGTTTAAATTGCCTGCACCTGTCAAATTTGACGCAACAGGGTTATTGTGGGATTGCCTAAGCTACGTAATCAGAGACGTCTTCCCCTGCTTTACACGGTGGAAACAACCTCCCCGTTGTTACGGACCCTTGTGAACGTTTCTCGTACTGTATCCTGCAGCTGTCTCCTCTACATGCGACCGACGGCACAGTCGTACCAGCTGTTAGATACGTGGGCAGGGCTAATGAGCCTCAAGGATTGGAAGCCTCCCATCCAGGTGGGCAACGCTTGACTGAGCTGGTTTACAGGTTATCGTGCGCAGACCCTCGGTGACGGAGAATATGAAGGCTTGGCTCTAATCGTTCGTCTGGCCTTCCGTTAGATAGCCTCGAGAGAGGGCGGACGTTGAACGGCCGAGAAGTAGCAGTTACCGCGTTTTGCCTTTTCCTTTGACGAAGTGCGCATTGGTGCGCTCTCCTATAAGGAACTTGGCATAGCTTCTCTATTGTTCCCCTGCGGTCGGTCTAGACGGCCAGCCCCACACATGCCACTTCTTAGTGAGCGGCTGTCTGCCGACCAGGCTCTCAAAGTTGCCTATCCTAACGTCCTCAGGATTTCTCTTTCTTCCAGAAGGTCTACAAACGTAAGAACCGAACACTTTGGGGGTATGTGTTTGCGATACTCGACCGACGTGGGGTTTGGGACCGAGATTGCGCTTTGTTGCACATGACCAACCTTGTCTTACATACGGACACAGAGCTATCAAAGGACAATCACGTGTGACATCAGTCATAAATTGCTGAGTCCTTCTTTAAGTTGATTCCCCACCGCAGGACCAACCGTTCTTCAACAAGGCCCTCAACATGCTGAAGGACCTCAAGGTGGGCATCTTGCCGCAGCGGCAGTTCCCCGCCGGCTGCCTTTACTTTGCGGACGACTACTGGCGGGACGCGTTCGGGGACGAGGCCGCGCTGGTGCACAACAACTGGATCGTCGGGCACGATGTCAAGCGGCAACGGTTCCAGAACTTGGGGATCTGGTTCGTCAAGCAGTTGTAAAAGCACGGGCTGTGAAGAAGTAGCCGCGTTGAGCTGTGCTGGAGTTGAGATGTTGGGGCTAAGCATTGTATTGGGGGTTGTTAAGGGAAAGGGGACCCTTCAACGGAAGTTGAGAGGCGGGCAGAAATGGGCGTTTTGATCTCCAGTAACTGGGGTAACGGCATGGGTGGATGCGTTTGGCGGACTTTGTCCGGACATGGCCAGGTTGGCGCTGGTCAGTCGAGATCGTCAAAGGGTGCGCAGCAAAGATCCTATTTATCTCGTCAGGTCGTAAGTAGAGGCCTTCGCGGTTTGCTGCGCAGTCGACCTTCCATGTACACTACGTAGCTTAGATCCGTAAACGCCTCTGTAAGCCAGGCAGATGACTCAACACACAGGATAGTGCTGCTGGCGAGAGTATGATCTAGCTAGGTCGCTTCAGCAATGTCGCAGCGCCTTGAGCTCAGTAGAACGCAGCGCAGACGGTCTTTCGTCACAGCAATTCGACCGTGCTTCTTTGTTCGCCTCGAAATAGGGGTGCCACAGGATTCAGCCGCTGCATAAGGACCATATAGAAAACCATTAGACCCTCAACGCCTAGTCGTCTAAATTTACACGTGCCGTGCAGCTGCAGTTGGACAGAGGCGAATGCCTGAGGCCATAAGATTCATATGCATCACGTAGTGTAGGTACGTCCTGGCACCGCGTTTGGGGCCCATAGCATGTTAGGTTAGTGCACGATTGCCCCACAAAGTATCTATCACATACCGCTCGCTAAGTACGTTGTTATCGACCCGAATCATGAATGATCGCGTGACGCCGAATTGTTGCATCGAACAACGTATACGGAAATGCAGTTCTGCAATGATAGGATAGTCGGATGTCCGGAATGGTCAATCCTGTATAAGATCGATGATGCCAGGCTCAATGATTTGGATGCTTTCATGGCACGGCGGCTAGCTAGCTCGTTAAGTGTACATGCAACGTGGCCGCCGGGCCGGGCCGGTCACAGTGCCCGGCGAGGCTGATCTTATAGCGGTCTGAGATCTATCATAGACAATCTGACATGCCCGTCACAATCAGGTGCGCCGCGTGGCGCGAGGCGGCCGCGGACCTGTCGGTTTTAGAGAGGAAAAAGCGATCTACGGACAATTGCGTACTTCAACTTATGTTCGATCTGGGGCAGAATTCATGCGGGCCGCCAGCTAGTGAGTGCGGCACCAAACCTTATATGTACGTACGTACGTCTCAATTCTTTCGAGTTTAACGCGCCGCGAACCAGGTGCAGGCTTGCATAGGACTGCATGGTCAATGCCAGGTGGCACATGACATGCCATCATTGCCGCGGCTGCGCTAGCTGAGCGCCGGTGCACGGTTCACTTGCATCATATACGAATGTATACAACTTAGACTGCTTACGATCTTACTGATCAACATGAGTGGACGGTTGCTTATACTCATCCAGAGTGACAATTGTCATATGGCTTCTACACGCGTACTGAGTAGCTACCATGCATCAGCTGTAGTATCAGTAGTTGTTCATCATTAAATTGAATGAAATTAAAAGCATCTGCTTCAGGATTGAACATACGAAGGCACTGAGTGATCAGATGCATACGTATAAGCGCTAGCCGTGCCCCGGCCTGGTCGGGGCCGGCTGCCCGGGCCATGCCGCCCGGCCTGCAATTCGAAGCAGCGCGGCGGCACGTACATGATGCGTAATTCGCCGCGAGCCTACTGTTGCGGGCACTGGATTCTCACCTTTTGTCGACATTGGCAATACCAGGCCTTTGAGGCTCGGCTTAGTCAGACAGCTGGCAAAACGATGGAATTTCGGTCACTCTGCTCGGGGCCAACTGGTCTCTGTGCACAAAATATGGTTTATGAAACTCACTCACTGTTCCGCTTAGCCAAATCCCTCCACGCTCAGACATCGGCGAACTTTATGATTACGAAAAGCGACCTGGTTATGCCCGGTCGTTCTTATCTCTCCCGCCTAACTTCGGAGGTATCTACTTGTGCTCACTCGTGAAACGCTAAACAAGAAAGCCTACTTTTGCCCGGCCGCCAACATGTAGCTGGAGTCACGGCTGCCTACATCTTCTTGAACCTGTTGAAGTCCCTGATCCTACACTAAGGCAACGCAGATTCTCCTAACGCCTATGCGCGAGGCTCACAACCCCTTGTTCTTGACCAAGACCTCGACCACACTTGGGTCCGCCAGCGTGCTGATGTCACCTGCAGTAAGGCACGAGCAATCAACACAGGTTACTGTGGCAACTAACCCTTCCCTTAGACCTTAATTTGTCTGACGGCTTTCCGAACCGAAGAACCGTTCGTTTGTCGTTGTCAAAGGCCATCTTCTGAGTGGTCAGGCATTGGTCATGCGTCAACGAATTCTCATTCTCAGTCGCCAGGGACACCGGTGGGCTCAGATGAGATGCAAAAGAGGATGAAAACGAAAAGCAAAAGAGAAGAAGCAGTGTCAGGAGTGGGAAAGCGTAGACGAATCGACGAGATAGCTCACCCAAAGCGTCCAGCTCCCCGGACGCAATCTTGCGTAGGATGCGCCGCATGATCTTGCCAGACCGCTGCAGCGCAGACAAGCGAGGGGCGTCAAAACCGCCAAAGCTGCTCAGATGAAGTTATACAACTGACGTTGTAAACATTACCAAAATTTTGGGTGACTGGACGAGTATGTGAGTTCCACTGTACGCGTAAGCTGGATCGTCGGCGCCTTCCAGAAGCCTTTGAGACGGAGCGTACTGTGTGGGTCTTTTCTTCCTTCCTTCTAAGATCGTCCTCTCCAGTTGTACAGAAAGTCGGCGTTGGAAATTGAATCCCGTTTTCAAAGTCAGTCTGATTATACGCGTCAGGTATGTTGGGGTAAAAGCTCAACAGAGCGCAGCTCAGACACACACTGTACATGTCAACAAAGATATTGGCGACAGCTTCGAACGCATCTTTGTTATAATCTGGACGGCTCTCGTGGTAACGTGACAGACAGCGTCCTAAAATAAAGTAAGTTCCTGCTTTCAAAACAGCTTATAAAGCGAGCCGCTCCTACCTTGGCAGACGTTTCTGCTCGACTCGAAGGCCAGATGAGTCACACGAGCGGAGATGGATAAGGAGCAAAACGCATACCAAGCGCATCGCAGAACAGAGCCGGAATCTAATTCAAGCGTAATAAGTCTTCGAACAGGAGAGGAACATGGATGCTGACAAAATGAATGAAACGATCGGAACAGTTCAAGCGGCAAAAGGTCGATTGCCAGCGGATGGCGGGATGACGTACCGTCTTGGGCAGGCCGGGCGCCCAGTGGATGACGTCAGGCGTCGCGAACGCGCCGATGTGCTGCCGGACGGCGGCCTTTAGTGCCGTCCGAACCTGCTCGGACGGCTGTACGCTGTCCACGTGGCACCAGAACGAAGGGTTCAGGTTGGCTGAGATTTGATGCCGCCAGAAACAAGCGGCCAGGCAGTGTTTGAATAACGGTTCGAAGAATGAGGCGGAAGACTCGGAGAGGACGTGCAGTTTATGAAAAGGCAAAACGCTGGGGACGTAAGCGAATGTCTGATATAAAGATGTTACGGAAGTAAGTGAAATGAATCAAGGTGGGTTGCGGCTGGTAAGCAGCGGGAGAGAAAGGATTTACCACTTGCTTTGCTTAAAGAAAGCTGCATCATATTCGATTCACAGTGGGTAACCTTACAGATAAGGAAAGGATTTAACGAGTGAAGCAAGCTTACCCTTCCATCAGGCTGACAAAAGCGTAGATCCCTTGCCCCTTGATAGGGTGCTCGTAACCAACCACGGCAGCCTGCGCAACGGACACGAGGTTTTGGTTCCACTCAAGAGAGCAATTCTGGAAACCAAAGGACATTTTAAAGCCAGTTTGGATGCATCAGGGGAGAAGTCCGGCACATCGCTCTTCAAATCAAGACAAGCTTGACAAAGGCAGAGCGAACCAAAGAGGAGGAGTGAGGTAAGCGTAATATCTACGCTTTATAATCTGGGAATGAGAAATCAAATTTGAGGCGATATGCAAAACATTTCACCTCGGCACAGATGTCATGTGCTACCAGCGCGCTCTCTACCTCTGCCGTCCCAATCCGGTGCCCACTGCAAACGAAGACGGTGTAAATAGGCTGTAAGCAATTCTTTTGCTTCAGGAGGGCGTTCACACCATTCAATACCTTGCTTGTGAGACCGCACAAGCCACTTGGACTTTAATAAGGTTTGACAATGCCGGGAGAGGGCGCGAACTCCAGAATTGCTCGGACTCTGATACTTGGTTTCAGTTGCCGTCTATCCGAATGGGGCCGCCACGTCAGCAGATGCGACCCAATTCAGAACGTCGTCCGGGAATCAATCACTCGATGACAACAAAACAACCTTTTTCTCCACTTGCGGCTACTCGGCTGTCAAGCACGCTTGTAGAGTGTATCCCGCTGCTCGTCGCTTTCCGACTCTCTTGACACCGATCCCAAAGACGCATTCCGTTCCGTCCCCGGCTGTTCTTTGCTGAGGGAGAAAAGGCAACAGAACGATCAGTCACGACCAGGGAGTCACCTGACGTTGATGACGTCATCGACCCGGCCCGTGAGCCAGTAGTAGCCGTCCTCGTCTCGCCGACAGCCGTCACCTGTGAAATAGTAACCCTGCGAACCGATGCGCACCGTCAGGTCCTTCAGCGCTCTCGTATTGTATGCTCATTATCGAGCGCGTATGGCATTCGACCAATGTGGCTTCGTGGTTTGCGGAACGAGAGGGGAGAAAAGCGAATGGATGACAAGAGAAAAACCCCGAGCTGTAAGCTCGCAGAACCGGTGGAAGAGAACGAGGACTGCAGTTTGCACTCCGGGACCCCCACACCGCTTGGTACTCTGTGCGCGAGCAAAAGAGGTCTTGTAACGTCACCACCTGTGAGTTTTGAGATGGCGGCTTGCTGGCGACCAAGCATAGCGGCCTTCAGCCTGTACAAAGGTCGCGGTAATCGCACTGACGGCCAGACTGCCGTGAGTCATTGACATAGTACTGCACACCCGTCACGCGCGCATCAAGTACCAAGCGGTGGGGGTGTCTGGGACTGGAAACCGCAGTCCGGGGTCTCCTTCCACCGGTTCTCACAGAGACAATGGTCCACAAAACGGTCGGACGCAAAGGTCCGTGTGCTAGCCAACCGTTAGTCCCGGACCCAAAGAAACCGTTGCTTCCGGTACAAAACAAAGACTTCTGGCTAGGCGACCTCCGCACCTTGTACGCCTGGAAGTAGGTCGCCTCAAACCGCGCGTGGTCGTTTCGGACGGTCCGCATGCAGCTGGGCCACGCGCGCTTGATGCACAGGTAGCCGTTGCACACGCCCTGCGGACACAAATGGACGGCTCTGATGGAGTGATGGCGCCACGTGTCGTCTATAAAGCTTTCGTGGACGAATCGGTTGTTCAGGCCCCAACTCCAGGACAGGACCGAAGAGCATGTCGCGAGACGTCTTAAATTTTCCAACCTTCTAAGGCTATCAAAAGGCGTTGACTCCTCAATCGAAGTTTGAAGGTTGACTCTACCAGAGATCGAGGCGTCCGGTTCTCAAAGATTGAGAGTTGCAGTCAATCGGTCGAGCTTTACCGCTAGGTCAATCTTGATACTTTCTATCAAAAAGCTCGCGAAGCAGACAAATCACAAACCTGGTGAAAGCTTCGCCGCTTCTTACCTCTAGCTCGTTCCCGTGCTCGTCGACAATAGCAGGCTGCACTCCAAAGAAGGGGAGCGTTGCGGAACCGGGCTTGAGCGGCCAGGCACCGGGCAGCGGCGTAATCTGCGAGACACGTGGCACAACTGCATGCGTCAAGCGTGCCACAGCATAATTCTCGATGTTTCGCAGTTGCCTTTCTGAACAGCCCCAGCAGCAACCTCAGGGCCATTGCGCACAAACAGAAAAGGCGTTTCAAAGTCGATGGATTGGGCTCTACCTTCTGAACGACAAGCAGCAACTGTTGGTGGCGCCACCTTTCTGAGCACCGCACGACCCAACCGACGCTGACAACGTTCCTGCACCAATGCGACTCCGCAGCGCAGCCGAGCAGGAGCGAGCCCCCATCGAGATCAAACTCAAAAACGCATCCGACCCCTCTACAAAAGTAGACAGAAGCACTTCCCTAGATTGATGGCACGAGAAAAGACGGCTCACCATGATGCCTCCCGTCTCAGTCTGCCACCACGTGTCGACGATCGGGCACTTGCCGTGGCCAATTGCGGAGTGATACCAGCGCCAGGCCTCGGGGTTGATGGGCTCACCCACACTGCCCAGCAACCGGAGCGACGCCAGGCTGTGCTTCTCTGGGAACTGCACGAGAGAGACAAGACGGATGTTAGCTTCTCGTGCATTACTCCGGTGATCCTGGATTTCCGAATGGTAACTTTCCTGCTTTTAGAATGCCTAACAAGTTGCCTGAATCAAGGGCAGGTTGCAGTGAACTAAGCACCCGTAGCTGGGAGGTAAAAGTGGTGCGGGTGCGGAGCGAGTCATGCCTTGTGTTAGAGTTTCTGGTTGAAGTGCCCAGGACTGTTTGATTGAACGCAATCTGCTGTCGATGATTCAAGAAGAGCGGCTTTCTCCTCTCGATTCTGAAAGTGTTTCAGCAGGAGGTGCCGAAGGCTGTGGGTGGAGAGAGTGCAGAGACATAGTGCGCTCTTCTTCTTAAAATGACCCAATCAATGATGCATAATTTAAACGGCCCTGCTGCGCAGAAGCCCAAAGCATCTGGCGCTTTGTAGGACAGTACAATCCCAGCTGTCACGTATAATGACGAAAATGCTCGAAGGGCGGATCCTTGTGTGGAATCCAACCAGCCAGTCAACTTTAGCGAATGTTCATACGTTGGCTGGTGTCTTGCATTCTCTTGAGTAGAGTTTGTGCTAGTAGACCTGGGGAGCTGAACAGGACGCGCCTCCGTCTATTTTAAAGTACGACCAAGTCAGCGGCTCCTCGTGGGCTTTGACTCGAAAGTAGGCCTCTCGTGAACAAAACGTCAAACCGCAGAAGAGTGCACGCAGAAAACCAAAGTTTCGTTCTTTGACCGGACGGACTTCGGTTGCAAACGGCTGAGCGTCGGAAAGGCTTTTCAAGAACCTCACCTCATCGCCGCATCTCATGAGCGCTCTGATGGCAGTCGGGGCTGTGTAGAAGACTGTCACTTTGTACCTGTAAATAGGAGTTGTGAATCTTCAGGACTTTCAAACCGACAACTGCGCGCGACATTAGCAACGCTGAGAGCGTTCCTATCCGATCCCGGTCGTTCCAGGCAGACAAGCAAACCTCTTTCCATGAACAGGCTGAGGCCGAAGTCCCAGCGCCTGCAGGTACAAGTAATCGCAGATATCGGACACCAAAGTCGCGACTAGCGTGACGCGTTCTAAATAAGTGTGAACAGGCACTCACGCCGATATTCTTGACTTTATATTGAGATGGTCGATGCACAGTGTACCATACAGAATCAGTCGACCGGCTTGGACCTCACTTGTCAACGATCTCCCAGGATCGCCCAGCATCCGGGTGCGTGGGAATGCCCTCAAACACGACACACGTGGCGCCATTCAGGAGCGGCCCGTAGGTCATGTACGAGTGGCCGGTGATCCAGCCGCAGTCGGCAGTGCACCTGGACACGTGGCAAAGACAGTAGGTGAGAGGTGGCAGCGCTAAGGGCTGGCAACTGATCAGAGATTCTGCGGATGAAGATGGAGGGGTGGGCAAAGAACGAAATCCAATCAGCAGAAACCAGCAACCTGGAAAGTAGGTTTGAAAAGGAAAATTGTAGCGTATTGTAATCAGAACCGATGCGTAGCAGCGGGGAGAGAGGGGCCGAACGATAGACGATGAGTTAGCCTTTCATGCAGGCCGACGGTCGCGCCGCACCCATTGGAACAGGTGGACAATGGGGGCGACTGGACGCGCAGCATGTGACTACTAACAACAGGGATACGATAGAAGAAAGAGACTGCGAAAGTTTCATAATCATCTTGTGGCGCAAAGAGTGGTCCCTCTCACCAGTAGACGTCGTCGTCATGATAGTCGAAGATGTACTTGAACGTGGTCGCTGCGCCAACCATGTACCCCGCCGTCGTGTGCTGCACGCCCTTCGGCGTGCCCGTGCTCCCACTCGTGTACAGCATGAACAGCGGTGCCTCCGCATCCATCCAAACAACCTGAAGAAAACGAAAAATTAGGGTTTCCACAGGACATCTTTTCCAACAATTTTTTATTCCCCGTGCTCCCGCTCGTGTACAGCATGACAGCGGCGCCTCCGCGTCCATCCAAACGACCTGGAACGGTTTGTTTGAGGAGGGTCGAGGGCTTCTCCAAATGAATTCTTGGACGATTCGGGGTTCCCTTTTTCTGGAAAAGCAAGGGCTCCTTTGTGCTGCCGCTCGTGTACAGCGGCGCCTCCGCGTCCATCCAAAGCGACTTGAGGGGAATTCAACGATTTAGGATTCTATAGCTGAACGTATCGGGGTTTAGGGTTTTGATTTTCTCCAATTGAAGGTTTCACGATGCTGCCGCATGAACAGCACCGCTTCTGCGTTTATCCAAACGACCTGGAACGGGTTAACATTAGAAATTAGGGCTCTCTAAAACTTGAGTGCCTCGACGGAGTCGGACGGACTAGGTTTCTCCGTGCTGCCGCTCGTGTGCAGCACGAACAGCGGCGCCTGGGCGTTCATGCAAACGACCTGAACCAAATTCACCGGTTCGGGATCTCTGGATATAGGCGTTGGGGTTTCAAAGTTAGTCCGAGATGCTAGGAATTCTTGTGCTGCCGCTTGTGCCCAGCGTCAAGCGTGGCGCCTTTTTGTCCATGCAAACGACCAACGAGGGATTCGGATCTTGGTACTCTATAACCAAACGTGCAAAAGTCTGGTCGCTTACGTATCTTTGAACCAGTTTTTTTCACATTTCGATTCGTGGGTCTAAAAAGAGGGCTGACATTATGTCAGATCGCACACACAGTCCAACAGGTGAATCTTGTTTAGAGAAGCTGACGTCACCTCAGCTTTCCCGTTTGAATCTTGTCAAGGGAAGCCGACGTCACCTCACCTCGCACTCGTCCTCCTGCTTCTCGACCGCGTCCTGCCACCAGACGTCCCGCCCTTCGACCATCTGCACGTCCTCCCTCTGCGGATAAGTACAAACCAGCGGAGCACAGTGTCAATGATTGCAAGGCTGATCAAATCATTCGATGCACAAATGCTCACCAACAACTCGGCAAGAGTTGTTGAACGATGCAGCATTTGTCAAGGCGCGCTTACACCGCTCGTTCCATAAGCCTCAAAGTGTGCTGATTAAGCTGTGTGTTGTGTTGGAGCTTTACAAGCCGGGGCGACACTGACTAATATTTGAACCCAAACTAGACACGTTTCATACTCGTGTTCACCCTGAAGAGTCCATTTAAGCCACAGTCTATCTGGGCAGTGTCTATCTCGATCTAGCTATTCCAACAGAAAAACTCGAATTGCCTCCTCATCTTCCAACAGCGAAAACCTCAGAAACCCCCAATCTCTCTCTGTAGTTCGATCATACTCACCTTCATGGCCGTTGCGTTATCATAAACCACCACTTTTTCGACCGTGTGACCGCCTTTGGCAGACCGTTCGCAGGCTTCGTCGACCTGCGATGAACCCCGCCACGTGTCATGATGTTTTTCCAGAGTCTTGCTGTTTCGACTTGTCCTGTCCCGGTTTCCGTGCTGGGAAAAGGCCTTTCCAGGTTGATGTAGGTGCATCCGGATGCTTTCTTGAATCCAAATTGATTCGAGCTGCCTTCTTTGCAGATGCTGCGTGGCGGAACATTGTAAGCCCTTCAGCACACGCAGAGTCAGAACCTTAAACTGAACTGTTGTCATACAATTTTGCACCTCCCAGGGCTTGAGCTCTTCGCAAGTCTTCGCCTCGACAGAAAAAACTTCTAAGAACAACACACTCCAAAATGGTGAACCCGACAACCTCCTGCTCCGCCCCCACGTCTACTCTACACTCACTGACTATCCCCCGTCTGCCTAAGGCGCTTATATACTGACTCTCGGAGCTTCTGATCTTACACTGGGGATTGTTATCCGCCCAACTTTTCCATCGAGGTGTGCTTTCCAACCGTTCATTCTAATGTAGCCTCCCCATCCCCATCCTGTGACAACCTTTCGGTCCGTACCTGCGATCTGACCCAAAAATTTTGCCCTGCCCTCTGAAGGTTAAGTCAAGAAAGAGGTTCTCTAAAAGGTGCGCGCTTAAAAGGGGGGCTTACAATCTGCTTGAGGCCGACCAGCTTGGTGCCTCGGAGCACCCCCGTGGCGGTCAGGAGCACTCGGGACCGGGAGTCGATCAACCGGTCGCCCAAAGACTCCGCAGAGAACCCAGCGAAAACTACCGAGTGAACCGCACCTGTCAGGAGATCGGAAAGGTCATGCGTTTCAGGTGTTGTCTCGCATTACCAGTCAATAGTACTTACTTCCAATAATCAAATCTAGTAAGAACGAGATTCGGCTTCTTCACGGTGAATTGACGAGTCCTGCCATTGCAAGCTTCGGCAACAGATTCTTTCCATGCGTTCTCCAACTTTAGAACGAAGAACAGGAGCTGGCTTTACTTCGGGTATATTCTCGTTTATGTCGTCTACTGCTTGTCTGCATCATTGAGCACTGTGGAAGAGTCTCTTTCCAATTCACGAGATAGCCCGAAGCATCTGTATACAGGGTGACCAAGTCCTCGAATCGTTATTATGCATCCTGACAGGTCACGACGAGCTTTACGGAATGATGAGAACCCCGGATGCAGTTCTTACGAAATAACAAAAACTCAGCTTTTTGATCCTTACTTTTTAGTCGATATCAGCCGCTGCCTCCTACTAAAACTCACAGTTCTGCTCAAATCGTATCAAAGAGACCGAAACGTATCACGAGGGCTAGAAATCCACAAACGCAGCCGCAGTGCCAATGTCAATGGACCTGTCACAGCTGAAGCAGCCTCTCTTACATCGAACTGTCGGCAGGCGTTTGGGCACGACTTGAAATACTGACGTGAAGTGCACGAGAAGAAGGGTAACAGAGCGTACCAATCCGAGCACAGGCCAGCATGGCCGCAGGCAGTTCGGTGATCATTGGAAGGTAGATGCTCACAGTGTCGCCAGCCTTGACTCCCTCGCTCTTGAGGAAGTTCGCGATCTTACACACCTGCCAAAACGGTGTCAAGTTATTGGCTGCGTTGGCATAGATCAAAACGAATCTTGTTTGCACATTCAGGTTGATCTGGTATGACACCCTTCTCTGGTCAGGAAAGCTAGTGGGGCTTTCTGGGCTTGACACTGAGTCTTGGAAAGGCCCACTTGAAATCGTGATTACCCAAAGTGCATGCGCACAATTATTTTCATAGTCTCATCCTCTGGCGGACAATACTATCCTGGCATTTTGATAGTTTTAGAACAGAAGTTTTCCTTAGCATACAACATCGACCGGCCCTGTTCCATCAGATTGAAGGAAAGGACACAGATCACTTTTCTCCCCTTCCTTGTGAAAGAGAGTATGTGAAACAAGTCCCTGACCTTTGTCAGAAGGTCCTTGTAAGTTAGCGTGTTGCTTATGCCGACATCATTTCCCTCCCAGTAGAACGCCACCTTGTCCCCCCGCCCCGCTTTCACGTGGCGGTCCAGAGCATTATATGACACGTTTGTTTGGGCCCCAGTGAACCAGTTCACAACGATGGGGCCCTTGCGCATGTCAAAGTTGTACTCGCAGAAAGGGGCCTGCAAAAGAGATTGAGAACCATCATTACTAAGCGGCTTTGACTCGGCACATATAATTTCTCTGGAGTCGCATATAGTTTTCAGAGTTACGGTATGAGAACTTTTCAGAATCACTGTTCTGTCAAACACCTCTAGAGAATTGAGGGCCACGAGCTTATCTAAGTTGACACACAAAGAGTGACCACTCATTCTTGAAAAGTTAAGGGTTAAAGCCCTTTAAGACGTCAGGACTTCAGATGTAGAAAGGTGAATGTTGACAATTGTATCAAGCATTCACCAATCGGATGCTGCTAATCACCGGGCGCAGATCCCTCCTTGTTTTTCTTACTTAAGTATGGCAGAATGAGGCTTCGTGGAAGGGCACAGCACCATTAAATCTCACACACAAAAGGACAAGATGAAATAATGATGAAAGCTTTTGAAAGCCCTCCGAATGTTGGGCATGCAGACAGGAATCATTGAAAGAAAAAGTAGGGATGAAAGTAGGGATGAGATTCTTGCATAGCTTTGAAACACCGAACTGATTTTTGGAGCTTTCTATGCACGTCGTTCTTGAGGGAGAGGCGCCGACAAAGGAGGGCACGAAATGGAGCACCGCATGGGGGCCGTCTGTCAATGAAGGTACAAGCAATTGTACTTAAGAAAGAACACCTTTTTGAAAAAGTGGTGGGTAGGATTATGTGCACAAGTTTAAACCTGGACCAAATGGACATCCTTCAAGCCCCCCCAAGGATGGGTGCCAGTGTCTGAATGTGGTCAAGGGGAGTTCCAAAGCTGCTAAGACTTTGTGCAAACAAGTTCGGAGACAAATTCAGCCCACTCAAAAAGCACCGCACAAAAGCTGGACGGGCCACCAGAACTTGAGTTGAATCTGTCTTGCCACAAATTGCTGATTTCCACTGTTCACCTCAGAAGCTCTTTCTGAAGTAATTCTAAAACCTTTGTCTACATGCCAAAAGTTTGTGTTCTGGTCAAGAAGCTCCGTCATTCAGGAGCTCCTTCTAGAGAAGCTGGTCGAATTCAATCAATTCCAGGTTGCTTTTGAGACTTACCGTCCACTTTCTCTCCCAGTGGAATGGCTCCGCCTGCTTGCTCCAAAAGTTCTCAGGGTCCTCGATGGACTCCCTATACAATGCATCATATTCCTCTCTCGACCTAATCAGCGCCCGTTCTCTGAAGCCCTTCGGCGGGTGGTACAATTCTTCAGGGACAGCATCTGCTGCTGCAGACTCAAAATCCATGGCGGAAGCAGACTTGTGAAGCTACTTTCTCCCTTCCCCTTACAGAGCTGAATGCAGCATAGCTTTGGAGCTCCCCGAATGCGCATGCACTGCAATGAGCAATGAGCAATGCTGCGACCACTGCATTCACATGCGGGAAATGTCTGCTAGTCCAATTGGAGCCTGGTTAAAATTTGAGGACGTTTTTGAAAAGGCAACAGCTGAGGTTTCCGTTCGACAAGCGCCGGGCGGAGTGATGGAGCTCTAACCGCGCTAACGGGAACCCTCCGGTACCAGGTTTGGTGTGAGTCTGTTAGCGCAGACAGTTAGGCGGAACCACATGCGGAACCCTTGTCAACACATCCACATATCGAAAGTCAGCAACAACGCGTTAACCTAGGTATTATGGTAGCCAGGCCCATGGCAGAGACCCTCCATTTGGTGCTTCTTGCAACTTCATGCAAGAAGTTCTTGTCTGGTCCAGGACACTTCTTGTATCACGTTCAACTTCAAGCCCCTGCGCTCTGAGCCTCTGAAAGTTTAGATACTGGTGGCACCTACGCCCTGGGCCCCATCTTCTGAAAACATAGATTCTCAAAAAGTGAAGGGTTCCAGCACAACCATACTCGAGCAGAAGAGCAAAGGACGGTCCATCTCAAGAAAGTGCGAGTTCAGTGGAGCTGATTGCTGAAGAACTCGCTTCTTGCACAGGGGTGACTGCGTCATCACCTTAATGGGCCAAGCGTCCCAGCTCCAGGGCACTCGGGGGCTGCTGCGCAACCCGCAGTAGTTGGATAGGAGCTGGTCTTAGAGCACACGAGCTGGTCCAGAGCATAGACGATCGTTCCAGGATCCAAGAAAGTCCAGCCACGGCAGCTGGGAGCCCGCTGTTGCTGAATGGCTTGCCTTCTAGCGCTGCTACTTGCTCTCGCTGCAATCGCAGCAACTGCTGGGGCGGCCAGCGCGCCAAACATTTGCGTGTCTGGAAGCGTTCCTCCGTTGCTTCAGGCGCTGTATGCCCCAGGCCTGGTCACAGTGGATGGGAACAGCGATGATTGGAAGTCCATCCCGGGCATGCGGGTGCGCCTCCGGCAGGTGGTGGGAGGGGGCTCGTCTTATCTGTACGGTGATGGAGAGGCGACGATCAAGGCAAGTGCTTGGAATACAAGCTTAGAACTAGCTGCAATCAGGAGTCTACTTTGATGAAATTGGGCAGATGGATTCTCCAAAAACGAAAAGTCGCTGGCTTGAGATGGCTAGTGTATGCTTGAGGCAGTCCGTACTGCTCTACCCCAGGCAGAGTTATGATGGTTGCAAGGTACATTTTCAAAGGTTCTCTCCTCGTTTGATACTAAATCCCGAAGGGCGTGATTCCCTTCAAAGAGTAGAGGGTTTGAGTGAGGGTAAGGAGGGGACAATCTGTAATCCATATTATAGATTGTGGTTTCCGCACCAGACTATCCTTTGAAATTACAGAATTGGATCAATGCGCTCCTGCTCAAAAAGTAAGTGTTGCCGAAGAAAATTCATTTTCCCGGGTGAGATCCTGGTTTCAAAAAGAAGTGTGCACCCTCACTCTGTTTTCGTGTTTTTCTTTGGGCTCCGCTTACTTTCTTCCTGTCTTTATGTAGGCGGTGCATGATGGAAGAGATCTGTTCGTTCTCATGCAAGTTACGGGCCCCTACGTCTTCAGTTCACTGTAAGATTTCCCAATTCTCCTGCTTCTAAACATTGTTCCTTTGCTTTACAGCTTAGAAGAAGCTGCAATAAAGTACGGTGTCGTATTCAGATCATAAATGTCCCCGTTTGTCCGAACCACTCAATCTGAATGACAGATGTCAAGCGTGTGTCTTGAACTGATTGTCTCAATCAAATCGATGCAGATCTCAAGCCCGTCATTCTGCCTTGCAGACAAGTCGGATTGAATCCCGCCATGGCCCTCATGTTCTCGATTGGGGCCAACGCTACCTTTCTTGACGTAAGTCCCGCCCCGCTCCGGAGCTTTGTGACAACTCCATATCTTTCAAAGGAAATAAGGAAGCATGCCACGGCCTATAGCATAATGCTCAAGAATGAGCAGAAGCCAGTCGAACTCCACAACGAACTTCATGTGGAAAGATTCTCTTGAGAAGTGCTCTTGGGAACAGCCTATCAGTCTTTGCCTTCATGACGTCGAATCCCTTTTTGTGCCCGTACCAAAAGTTCTGTGTCGCCTCCACCGCTCATCTCATGTCGCGAGTGCTCGACGTACCTTCTGAGCTCAAATTCAGAGGCGTTCCTATTCGAAGTAGTTGCTCACCCAGTTTCCGCCTTTTACTCTTTCCTGCGATCAAGGGGGGCTGGTTATTCTGAACGACCGACCACATTTCCTTTGTCGTCCTTTTATAGCTTCTCCTTCTGCAGATGGGGGGACAACTGCAAGAAGCAGGATATCTATAAAGATACAACATAAGCTCCTTTGCAGAAGTGGAACACAACAGGCCGGTCCAATCTTCCAATAAGGAAGAAACAAAGGTCTTCTGTAATGCCTTTTCACCGGATTTTGTCTTTCTCCGTGAATGGGGCCTGTTTGCAGGAGGCAGATTGCAGACAAAGACCATAGATTATTTGACTTGAAGAGGTCATCTGGATGACAGACAAAACTCATGTCTGGCTTTTCAAACAAGAGTAATTGGAAAATTATTTTCTGTAAGCGCGTTTTTCTTCCTCCACAGATATTTGCAGGAGGGAGGTTGCAGACAAAGCCGATAGATCCATTTGCTCAAAGAGAACATCCGGATGACAGACAAAGTTTGTGTCTGGCTGTTCAAGGAAAATCGGAAGATCATCTACTACGAGCGAGTTTTCCTTCCTCCGCAGATGGGGGGCTGTTTGCAGGAGGCGGGCTCGTGCACCGCCGCCACGTGCAGCGGTCACGAAGTCGACATCATGCAGTTTCAGCCTAGGCTGGACGCCGTTCCGGGGCGGTTGTACGGGACGAACATCCGAGACATAGCCATCTTCAGCGGAGACGATCGGTAAGCCCCGGAGCGTTCCAGCGCCATTCGTCGAACGATTGGCCGAAAAGGCGCAAGTTTTGGGGTGGGGCAAAATGGACCCTCAGAATTGTAATCTGGTCATACTTCCTGTTGGGAGTGATAGCGAAGATTGGAGCGAGCGCGCGGGATCTGAATGTCTGTAAACGTAGTGACGTCATCCATACGTTTGCTGACGTCAGCCAATGTTTCGCGCAGGTACGGCCACCTGACGGACATGTATGCCTTCAACCCCCACTGCAAGTGGGCCGACGGCCCTATCGCCACACCAGGTATTTACACCGCCCCTCGCTGCTGCTACCTGAAAAGGATGGCCGGAATCGCACGTGCTTGCAAGAGGCACAGCGTCATTGAACGATCTTCGAGATGATCCCGTTTGTCTATCAGCTTTTGGCGCATATGGCGCTGTGGTTCTTGCGGTCGTTGGACTGCGCTCGCTTCTCGCGTTCTTTCTTCGAAGCTTGTTAGCAGTGGTTGACGAGCGCCTTGAAATCTAGCGCATCGCATGAAATCTAGAGAAATTTGAGGATTGCCTCGGTCCTCTGTCTGAAAACGGCAACCTTTCCAGAGCGCCGCCCCACTGTGTGAGTTAACCGTTGATCAAGCTCAAAGTGGGTCCCACTCAGCGAACAATGGCCCAGAAGTCCACCTCTGCGAATTCCTATGCAAAGTTACGTGTTTCGAATTCGCAGCGACAACTTATGTGGTTACTTGTGTGTCGACGCAAGCCACTGAAGCGGAAGCGCCGGTGCATGACACCGAAGTACGTCTTCGGGTTGCCTGTAGCGGCATCAAACTATCAGTGCTTCAATGGAAGTTTTCCGATGTGATGCTTTTGCAGATTTTAACATCGGGAGCCATGGCTGGGGGGCGGGAGGCTCACATGCATGACACCGAAGTACGTCTTCAGGTTGCCTGTAGCGGCATCAAACTGTCAGTGCTTCAATGGAAGTTTTCCGATGTGATGCTTTTGCAGACTTCAACATCGGGAGCCATGGCTGGGGCGCGGGCGGCGCGCAGAACGACTGGCTGGGAGCCTGGCAGCACACGAGCATGGGGATAGTGGGTGAGCCCCGACCCCCAACGTTGAGTGCTTTACGGTCTTGATCCTTCGCGGATTGCCAACGGTATTGATCAGCATTCACGGTAACATCGAGATGGGAGTTTGCCGTTCTTCATTCCGGGTAGTGATTGAAGCTCTCGCACTGTATTCACACATGTAAAGACGGAGGTCCGGAGGAGAGCGCGACATCGTCGCACAGGATTGTAGTAAACCGGGTGGCCTTGACATGAAGAAGCGCTCAGCTCCAAAGCAAGACCACGCTGGGAGTGGAATGTTGGAACAAGTGTGTGAAGACTTTTCAAGCCGCTTCACCACTAAGTTTTGACAGACCTGTCTCAAAAAGCCGTCCCGTCCCTGTTTGCAGGTCAGAGTCCCTTCGCGTGGGGCGACGCCGTGTTTGGCGTGAACGGCAGCCTGGGTAATTACGTGTACGAGTTCTCCCGCTAACTTTGACAAACCAGTCTCAAAAAGCCGTCCCGTTCCTGTTTGCAGGTCAGAGTCCGTTCGCGTGGGGCGACCAAGTGTTCGGCGTGAACGGCAGCCTGGGTGACTACGTGTACGAGTTCTCCCGACCGCTCGTGACGCAGGACAGGCTGCAACAAGACGTGCAGCTCGCGATAGGGAGAGTCCAACGGTTTGGGGCGGCCTTCTGGTAAGGCAAAGGGTTGCTTCGCTTCCGATACTTTTCGATTCTTTTCACGTAATTCGATGATGACCCTGAGTAGCGAGTGTTCCCCTCGGGCAGTCCACCGGATTGGGGCGGCCTTCTGGTGAGCCAAAGGATTGCTTTCGCTTTGAGCCCTCTTTTTCTTCCACGTCCCCCGTTGATGTCCTCAGTAGCGAGTGATGCCCTCTGGCAGTAGTTCACCGGATTGGGGCGGCCTTCTGGTGAGCTAAAGGTTTGCTTTTGCTTTGCATTGATTGTCTTTTCGTTTCACGTCATTCGTTGATGACCCTGAGTAGCGAGTGTTGCCCTCTGGCAGTAGTCCACCGGTTTGGGGCGGCCTTCTGGTGAGGCAAAGGATTGCTTTTGTGTTGGTTCACTTTTCGTTTCTTGTCGCTCGTTGACAAAGTCTTGGTAGCGAGTGTTGCCCTCCGGCGATTAGTAGGGCCGTTACTGGTCGGCTTGCAGGTTCTTGTTCACTATTTTCCGGCCACTCAAGCGCCGTCAATGTCGATATCGTTGGTGTTCTTTCCTGGTTTCGACGGCGAACAGCGACGAATTTGGAAATGTGAACCTTCAATCCGGGGGGAGCAGCACACATTGACTGATGAACGAGAACGGACGAAGTCAATGGAATCTCTGAAAAACCTCTGAAATGTATCAGACCTTTCAATGAATATCAAGTTTCACAGCCTCGGTGTACACTCATTCAGAAACAGCTGCCCGTGTCCCCTGATCGCTGGTCTGCTGCTTTCCGCTGTCTGCTTGCTTCTTTCGCGTACTCCTTCCTGCACTTGATCGACTATCAGTTCCACATTTGACACTGCCGCCGCAGCTAGCATGCTGCTGCTTACTACTTCCTTCTGAACTCAACGTTCTCGCCTTTACAGGTACCCTATAAGCGGTCAACCTTGGAACGGGTACGAGCATTTCTTGGCCCACTGCGATTGGATGGACTTGGAGCTCCTCCCTGGAACCGGCGCCGGCGCGGCAGCGGTTGGCGCTACAGGGGCCACTGTGCTCGGGTCCGTATCAGTTGTGATGTCACTCGGCGCGGTCGTGGCCGCAGCATATGCCGGATGCTTGTTACGGCGTCATCATGGCTTTGAGGGCCTTGCACGCTTGACATGATAGAAACGATTAGAGTCAGTTCCGATGGTTGGCAGCATATGTCGTCAGATTGGTTTCTCAGCTGAGAGCCCGGGACGTTGTGCATCTGCAACTCCTCGAGAGTTATGTAAGCTGAACACTCTCGGCATCAAGCTAGCATACTTTGCCAGCACATAACGGAGTGGCCCTTCTGAATGCCGATAAGAATCGGGTATCGTTCATTCAGACTTGGCGCTCGCGGTGCTGCTTCGGCTGCTGAAATCGACTTGAGCAAGTCAAGAATAATCTACAAAGTGATTCCAGACTTGCGGCCGTGAGACATGCCGGCTCATAAAACTGCCTTTAAGATCTATAATCTTGCCCCACTCCAATTCCCCCTCCTAGCTTGTGAAATGCCTTATCTCACGCCAAGTAACATCGACCTCGTGAGAAGAATCAAAACCCGTGGTAAAAGGGCGCTCAGCGCTCTGACCTGTTCCTATACTGTAGCGCATATGTGCTCTGAGGAGCTCTGGGCGAGCCTGCTTGACAGAGAGTTTGGCCGGCCCCGCGGCCGCATGCATTGCTGCGCGGCAATTGTAAGTTGCGCGGCTAGGTTACCAGTCTAGGGTTTAAGGGTAGACTTTAAGTGTACCGGTTTACCTATTTATCCCTCTACTGGTTCCTTATGGGCATTACCAGCTGTTTCGTTCTCTACCGGTAGAAACGGCAGGTGCATGCGACCATAACGCTCCGAGCTCCATCCGGCCGGCATATGACCGCCCACCTAGTGTGGCAATAATATGCTAGCGACTCGCGAGCCTCGGAGTCGTAGCTAGGTACAGTATAGAGGATCTCAGGCTCTGCGAATCACAGTGTAGAGGGCCTGAGGTGCCAAGACTGGCAGCCACTCAAAAGGACGGAGATCAGATCTAATCTTTCTTACGCTTCCGGCGCTTCTTGTTAGAGATGACAATGGCTGCCACCATGCCAAAAGCAGCCTGCCTGTGCCTTCTCCTTGCTTTGGCCACCCTTTGGCCCATCAGCGTAGGCGCTCAGTCCAACACCATAACATATACCACTGCAGACGAGAAGGGCTTGTTCTACGTATTTGCGGATGGAGAGGTGAGCTGCTTTGGTAGATGATGATATTGTTCGATTAGCTGGTCATGTGAGAAGTGTTTCTGCGTGCCGTTAAAAGTACTCTAAGCACTCGTGCATGCTGCCACCTTGCGAAACTTCAGTGACTTCCAAAGCCTGCTTTTTGGTACTACTAGTACTGTCCACAAGACTGGGAGCCAGCTTACCAGAGCAGCTGCCGTGCTTTCCTTCTTTCAACTTAAACAGCGGGCAGGGTGTGCGATAGTGAAGCACGGTTTTTTGGCTGAATTCTCGCATTGGCACTGGTTCAAGCAAATCTACTTGTTCTTAGAATGGGGCACTGCTCTTCCAAGTATGTGCATAATTCATCACGCAGTCTCAGAAGCGGTGCGTCAGTCAGGTGCGTTGCTTCCTCGGATTCAATGTGGCATCAACATCGGGATGGGCGTTGCCGGAGAGAGATAGGTAGTCATAGGTTTCAGGGAACAGGCACTGCAGGGCACAGTCCGTTGGGTGCCAATTTCTCTTCCAGTGTTCAATCTGCAAAAGCTTGTGTGCTTCCAAGATCTACACTATGATTTCGCTGTTAGTGGCTGAGCGAGTGAACTGCTTTCCCTCCGCAGATTCTCGTGCTCGACCCCTCAGTCAACGCGATTGTCAAGAGCATTCCCAACCCCACTACTCCCTTTCCAAACAACTGCTCCGGAACCCCTTTTGCCGGCAGTTGGGCGGACGGGGTTTACGCCAACGGCAACTTCTTTGCCGCCGCCTACTACAAGAATGCGACCATAGGGCCGCAGGATGCGGTCTACGTGATTGACACTAAGCTGCAGACGCTAGTGCAGAGAGTGCCTGTGGAGGCGCGTCCGGTGCATATATACTACGTCCCTTTTCTGGTGGGTTTTTGCATTCGGGACTTCATTAAAATCCGGGTTCCGCCTGGTATCAGTGGGCAACTCAGCTTTGAAACATGGCTCGGGAAATCAGAAGATTCCCTTTCATATCAGACCACATTATATGAGCAGTGATCTTGACACTGTTAAACGTATCTGAAAAGTCCTAATTTACAGTTTCTTGGGGGCGGCAACCAACCAGTTTCGATGATGGGCACTTTTGAGTGACTTGTTTGACAGAGCTAAGCAATCTTTGACGGAAGGAAAAGAACGTTAGTAGACTGCAGAAAAGAACGTTAGTAGACTGCAGTCACAAAATGGCTCTTGTGTGCGGCTTCCAGCATTGACATCCGCAACAGCTCCACCAGCGGCTCATTCCCAAACCTTTGGCCTAGGTGCAGTGCGTGGGATGTAAATGGGGTTGTGCTTTGAAACTCTCTGGCTGGACTGAAACGTAGGGCTCCCCCCCGGATTCTTCCTCATCCACAGACCGTCTCTTCTGATTTTCCCCAAGTGAAACAGATCTGCTGGCTTCTCTTTTCTCACATAGCGCTTCCTGTTGTCTGTCAGGGGGAGGTGTGGACGCACTCTGACGGCACCGCCGACTTCGATGTGATCGACGCATACAACTACACGTATGTATACGAGGACGTCATTGCTCATGCCAACATCAGCGGGCATGGAAAGCTTCTTTTCGATGACGGTGAGTTAAAATTTTAACGTTTGCAAAGCACTTGTACCAACCTCTTGCTTCGAGGCCAAATTACATCTCCTGCACGAATCCTTAAGTTGAGCCCCTGATCGACAAGGTGCCGTAAATACTGACAAAATTCTTGCGAGAAACCGAGTCCTACCTATAACTTCCAGCAGTGAGGATTTTACGGTTCGGAGTCGGTAACGTGATATTTTGAGTGGTCGCAAGCTTTCGTAATCTTGCTTTCATTTTTCTACCTGCTGTTGCCCTTGAAAGCTGGAGCAGAGCAAGAAGCTCCCAGCATTTGTCGCTGCCGCATACAATAGAGATCTGGAAGCTGCGACTGTATCTGGGTTGGAGCAGTATGGGGCATATTACCTCAGACAATTGGGTTCCTTTCATTGCGTGAGGCGACACAAGTGGCTATCAGTGCTCATGGTCAGTTCTTTGAAGGCGTTCTGAAAGGTAGCCGCTCCTGCGAGGACCTGGCCACCTTTTTGGAGGATGATGCTCAAAGCCAACGCCGTTACGATCTCACACGCAACTTTAAGTCGTTCTGGTTGCTGCGTCAAAGAGCATTCGACCTGCTTTGGACTCTGCAGATAGGTCTACTTTCAATCGAACATTTACCTTATGACTTGGCTTTGCACCCACGTGGTCATCGGCCGACCATCGAGCTTTCACGTGGGTTTGCAATTCGCCCGAAAAGTCGTTGATCTAATTCTGTCTGACAACCGGAAAGTCTCGTCCTGAGCTGGTTCTCTTTCAAAACACTACGCGGATGTCCGCAAACACCGTTTCGCAAACCAAAACCCGCTAATTCAACAGTGACCTCGCTTCTTACCCTGTTCTGCAGAGCTTGGCAGCAAGGGCTACGCCAGCGATGTGAACCAGCCCGGAGTGTTCATCCTGGACCTCGCCACACTAGTTCCCGAGAGCGGACTGGATTACATCAGCTTCGCCAACGTGTCCCTGCCCGACGGTCAAACAACCGTCTGTCCCGGAACCCACTCTCTCGCATACTCTCAGGTAGATTCACTCGTTTGCTGCCATCATCGGTTCCTTAACCGACCTCTGTTAGTACCTGGTTGACGTATTGAACCGTTTATTTCAGTGACGCGGCTTTGATACCCACTGCACCGCACGTTTGAATGCACGAAGCGAGCCAGTAGGCTTTTAGCGCCTCGAATATGGGCGATCCTTTTTGCGAAGAAACTCCATAAATCCGAAAATCCAGTTGCACTCAGGAGACTCATCTCAATGCTCTCAGCACAAACTAACCCTTTGATCGACTTCTACCGTTACACAACCTTTCCTTTTCCGAGACAGCCTTGCTCGAATCTGTTTTTAAGCACGACAGTGCGCTCCTGTCCTACAGCCGTAGTCCCGAAACTTCAAAACCCAGAACTCAGAAAATCCAGATTTTCTGAATTCGAGAAGCTGACAATCGCAGATCAACCGCCACGCGTACTTCGAGTGCATCTCGTACAAGAACGCGTCCAACAGTTCCCAGAGCATTTACCCGGGCGCCATCGAAATGGACACAACCAACGATAGCATCGTGCAACAGCTTCGGTACAACGTACGCGTTCCGCTTCCGTTCCGCTCCAATCCAATCCGATCCATTCACCTCTTCAGAGCTCTGCTTTTTTCGAAACCGCATCTGCTTGTACTGAATGCCGCTTGTGATCCTGAATCCAACGTAGCTCTGTCAACAATCCCTTCGCTCGATCTCACTGCATCTCGGGTTGGGTTCTGCTTTACCTCTGGCGCAAAGCAAAAGTTGGCAATAATAGATCGTATCTTCTACACCGGCCGCGAGAGCACCTTCTGTAAGATTGCAGTCGGTCACCAGCCTGTTTCCGATCAGTCTTTTAAAGGAAAAACCTCCCCTTTCCTATCCCCAGTGCCATACCTGCAAGCGCGACGACTAAATCGTTTCTTGCTTTCCCGTCCGCAGGGCCATCTAGCAATCACGCCCGACGACCAGTTCTTGACGATCACGCCTCAGGACGCCCCGCCTCTGTCGGTGACCATCATTCAGATCACTCCCGTCGGGCAGCTAGACCGATTCTTCGCCGTCCCTCTAAACGACACTCCGGGGGAGGGCACTCCCGCCTTTTACCCTAAGGTAAGTCCTTAAATTGAAATGCGGCACGTCTGGTCTGAAACTGCGGAAAGGCTTACTTTGGAGTTTTGTCGTAAGCGCAGTTTCGAACGCAAAGACGTCCCAAATCCGGAAGCCGGGAGGTGTCAACTCGGAAGCGAGTCAATTCCGGGGGAGGGGCCCTTCCGTGTTCTTCGTCATCGAAATGGCGTAAATTGACCCTCGACAAAGGTCAAAGTCTCGTCCTTGAATGCAATTTTAAGAGGGGCTCTCAACGGAAGGCGGGACGCACGTTCATCTTTATTCAATATTTTGTCAGATATACTGAGAAGCCTTTCTCATCGAAGAGCAGTGAAGGTACGTACAAATAGCGCATCCATACGGCTTGTATTCAGCTGTGGTCAACCGGTAGCTAGAGCAACCCGACCGATCCGCGGTTCTGACGGGTTTCAACGTGGGCTCGTGCAAAATATGCAGACTACAGCTCTTTTTGCTGTACGCCAAAAGCGACCGCCCTCGAGCCACTCACACTCTGCCTCTTCAAAGCGTCCTTTGAAGAGATATTCGTTTCCAGTGACCTGACTTCCCTTCAAACCGAACATGCCTCTTGCCAACCATGATAGTCTGTAATAAAAAGGACCACCTTACGAACGCAGTCTCTTCACTCATTCTTTTCCCCCTTGCTCTTCTTCTGTCGTGCAATCTCCTCGTTCGTTCCCGCCACCGCTTTTGATGATTGTGGGTTCACTCAAGCTCACTCTCCAGACTCCCCGCGTTCCATACGAAAATGTAAGAAGGTGTAGATCAGACGGCCGGTTCTGTCTTTGACATTTCCTTCATTTATTTCCTGTCCAGAAAGAAGAGCTACAAATGCAAATAAACCCAAAGCATCGCTGCTAACGTCTTCTGTTCGCATCCAGGGCGACTATTTCGTGATGGCCATGGCCTTTCTCAACTCTCCTTACATGGCCCTCATCGACTTCGGTGGGGTCATCAAGTGCGGAGCCAATTGCACCGACCCGGCGAGCCTCGTCAAATACGTTTACATCGGCAACCAAAATCCTCCGGGGGCGCCCGCCAGCTTAACCAGGTAAAACCCAAACCCGAACCGAGTGCGTTCCCGGCCAACTGTCACGCAGAAGAGACGCCGTTTTGTTCCTGGTTGAACTTCCGTCTTTCCGTTGAGGAGTTTTGCAGATCTTCCGGTCTCCGGTTCTTGAGTTGGGAGTCCGCTTTGGATCTGGGCGATCTGCATGATAAAACCCTCGGGCGGGCGACGGCAGCGTTCACCGCATTCGCCCTATCCAGAAAAAGACAAAATCTTACCCCAAAAGTAAGAAACGACTCTAGCAGACCTCAGTACAGGGCTTACGACCTCACATATTCGGCAGTGAACGCTGATCTATTCAGGCTCGAATCACATCAACTAGACGAAAGTAGGTGGAAGGTCGAATATGTGAGGTCGTAAGCCCTGTACTGAAGTCTGCTAGAGTCTTTTCTTACTTTTGGGGTAAGATTTTGTCTTTTTCTGGATAGGGCGAATGCGGTGAACGCTGATCTATTCAGGCTCGAATCACATCAACTAGACGAAAGTAGGTGGAAGGATCCCTGGCTGGAGAGGAGAGATCATTGTGTTGACGTCGCTGAAGGAAAAGATTGTCTTCCGCTGCAAATCCGTTGTTCCGCCTTGTTCCGCCCGACAAGCGGACTTTCCAATCGGGCACCTTTCAGAAGTTTGCTTCTCTTTGATCAGAGAAGAACGGTTCTCATTGAGAGATATTCTTCCGTGTCCAGCTCAGTAATCTCCTTCTCCCTAATCAGACGCCTTGATAAGAATTGACAACTCACCCCACGATTGTGATCAAGCACTCCCCCCGTTTCAGCTCCCGAACGGTCGACGGCGGGGATTACTACATCTGCGCGGCGGCGGTCTTTGACCAGGGCGTCGGGTGCTACGACGTCGCCAACGACACGAGCATCTTCATCGGGGGATCCCTCAAACCAATCCGCAACGTGCAGAGAGTGTACTTTGCCCCGGGTACTTTAAACGGCTTGCCGGCGACCAACTTGAATGCAGATTTCAACTGCTCGAGCGCCCCGACTACGCTCGGGAATTACCCGACGCTCGCGCCGGTGCTCAACGGGACGATAGGGGTGAACAATCCGTAGACAATTTGAATAGTTGGTTAGTTGCGAGAGCGAATATTCGGGTGTAAGCTGCGAACTGTAATCGGCATTGAGTTTTGGGAGGAAAAGATCTGTCGCGTTTGAAGTTTTGTCTTAAAGAGGGCGTTGGCGGATGCATCCGCAGTGACGTCAAGAGCGACATACAACCCGGAGTATAAGGTCGATTGTCGCCAAGAAATGACATCAGCTGATGACCACGTGGTACCATCTTAGCGACCCAATGCCAGTAGTCTCACTCTTATTGTCGCTGCGATTTTGTCGTATCGCCACGCCCTCTTTAAGGACTGGTTCGCTTCAAAGGCCTCGTCACCTAGACGCGACCGAGATTTTACTCGTCGGGATTAACGGCAGTGTCGACTTTCTAGAAGGTGATCGAAACTGCTGCAGTCCCCGTAAGACCGCCTGTTCAATCCCAGGAAGGCCCCTAGCGCCAGTGCATTTCCGCATGCTCTCAGCAAGTTGATGCGCTTTAAATCTATCGAGAATCAGTTCCATACGTGAGTATATACGGCAATATTGCCGTATGCATATCGCCCCGGCGGCGGCCAAGGTTTTTGTACCCTAGGACTCAAAAGGTGCCACGTCTTGCCTACAGTAGGGAGATTGGGAACGGATCAGTGCAGATTGAATCATGTATAGTAATATAAGTTCAATCCATAGTATGTCAAATTAATCGCGACTATATATAAGAAATGAAGGGGCTCACATGATGGCCTCAATTGTCGTCGCCTTAGGATAAAAGACTCAATTGATCGTTTAGAGCTAGCTAGCTCTGGTGCCGTGTCTTCTCTCAGTCTCAGCGGTCTCATATCACAGTGGCTGCGCACTGCATGGCCGAAGTCACTGCAGATGACCATCCTGAGCTAAGAGAGTAGAGCCTGCTAGCTGGCCGGGCGGCCCTTGTATACGTCAGCAGTACGTAGTACGACCGTCAGCTTCAAAGCTGCCATGCAAGAATGTCTTTATTCCGGCAAAGTGGCTTGATGCATCGATGATTTGCAATCTATATGGCGCGAAGAACCGCTCTCGTATGCGGCCAATCGTCTAAGTTGTCCTAGTCCCTATTCGGTGACAGTCGGTTATAACTACCTATCGCTGCAGTACGTAATTGCTAACGTTCAAGGGCCTGATCTGATCCACTAACCCAGGCCAGCTTGGCGCAGATCTGGCCTTGCTTCGATGTCCTTGATCAAACAACGCGAAGAATATCTGCTGAATTCAGTTTCCTACTTCGAACACTACAAAGAATACCTGCTCCTCCTGATCTGTGAACCCGTCCCTCCGGGCGTTCTTCCCCGTGCTCTCTTTCAGAAACTATGTGAAAAATGGTAATGCCTTTCGACCTTCCCACTGAGACCAGCGATGGCTAATCAGCGGAAATTTTCCAGAAGAATGGGGTTTAGCGCACCTGGCTCCGTCCTTGAGGATCTTGATCCACCTATTATGAGCCTACATACATAACCTGGCCTTCAACGCATAAATGGTAAACATATAATAAGCCCAGGCAGGACTCGGTTGATCGCCAATCCCGGTAACGAAGGTTTTCGCAGTTGCGGTGAGTATTCTGCAAGTCTCCCCGTCCTCCGACATCAACGTCTACTGCTGCCCAACTGCAGTGCACAAGAGTCGCTGAGTTTGAAAAGGTTTGAAAACCGGCCGAACTTCTCTCTTCTGAGATTGCTCTCAGTTGGATCTCAGTCGCTTAGAGCCTGTTGACGTCATCTCTGATCTACATGTCAAGACTTTGTTTAGGGAGATACAACGGTGCTTTTGTCACTCATCACTACTCGGCATCACATTCAAAACTACCATGCATGGTACGCTTAATCATGTAAGCCGTTGGACTCAAACCACTTCATTTGCTCGCCAGGACAAGCTTCCAACTGCCGCGAAGTTCCGATCTAGGCCGTACGAGAGCTTCAGAAGGCTGAATATGGCCGGCCCCCACAAAAAGCTGCATGCCTACTTGAAGCCCTCTCAACAACTCCGAGTTGTTTCAAAGGACTCTTAATAGGTGCTGGGACTCAAAGCTGGAAAACATGTCAGGGCAGCAGAGCTTCTTTGAATATGCACTCATCGGAGGTAAATGCGACTTCCCCTCTGTAAGCAACGCCCCTAGGTGCGCGCGCACTTCGCATTCCGTAGCAGAAAAAGCGCGCGCGGCTCGGCGCGGCCGCGGCCGCGGCGGCCAGATGCCCTTCCGTTTCTCAGTCAGTCAACTCAACGCGGAATGCAAAGAAAGAAGGCAAGGGAGTCTCTGACTTACGGGCGCTCTTGAGAGACGCGCTCTGGCTGGAGATGAGGCCCAGGGTTGACACGTCAGACGGGCTGTAGACCGTGTACGTGTTGGGCGGGCTGGTCTCTGCGGAAAGGAAGGGCAAGCTTGCTGTCAGAGTATGGAAGGCTTCGCGCGATTGGGAAGGTCGGTTTATTTTAAGGCTCTGACAAGCACTCCTTAGAGAGCGTGCCTACTTGAAACGACAGATCAGAAAAATTGCGCAACCCATTTTGGTGAACAGTGGACTTATTCAGTTCGAGAGGAACTGCAGGGTTGGATTCACGCTCAGGCTGTGGACGTAAGAATCCAGCAGTTTTTGTGATCCCCTCGAATCCAATCTACCAGCGATCCTTTAATGCAGGCATTTTATTGGCGCCACCTGACCTGCAGCAGTTGACGAGTGGAGTAATTCCCGCTTACTCACGCATCACAAATTTTGATATTGCAAAGGAGAATCGTGCAAACGTATACTGGGGATTCTGAATCGTTGTAGTTTCAGAGACTCTATACTGCCCATGATCAAACCTCCAAAATTTGGATGCTGCAATCTGGTATACAATGAATGACTCGTGTCCGGAGCTCACGGTATTGATTGAGGCCGAGCTGCCAGTACAGAGCCCCGCCGAAGGCGCCACCCGTCTGCGCTGACGTCAGCACCGACTGGTAGACGGACTGGAAGAAGCGGTTGCGGTCCACGAACTCGCTAGGCTGCCGCTGCAATCATTGTGGGGGGTGGGCTGACGTCAGTTCCTGGGGCCGGTGTTCCGGGAGGTGCCTTAAAGAAGACATGGGTAAGGTGCAGAGTTCGAACGACTCTCCACCTCATGAAGGATGCATTGGATCGTAGTGAAGGCGAGACGGCTTTGCAAGCCTTCAGAAAACGATATTCAACGGGCGCCAGTTCGTTGGTGAGCGCCGGTTCCGGACTCATTTGCCGGCCGTGGAAGCGATTAGCGAGCTAAAACACAAGGCAAAGGTCCAAGTGAGCAGCTTTGAGGACAGATACCCGTAAGTTTGACAGCCAGGATAATTGAAAGCGGCACAGCACTTCAGATTCCAAGCGGAGGCGCCTTGTATTTCTCTCATCGCGATAGAGATCGAGTCCCATAGTTAAGCATTGAGCGCACAAACCTGGTTTTCGGCTGATTCGAGCCTTAACAAAACGACTTTCTCATGACGGCAAAGATGGCGACCGTGATGAAGCGTCGAGCGCACAGCGCGATCTTCGATTGACTCGAGCGTAATCAACACGAACTGTTGGTCAGCAACAAGAGCTATACTCGTGCATTCTTACCTGCGCGGAGATGGGATAGCCGAACTCGCCCAGAACGACTGGCTTGTTGAGGCGCGTTGCGCTTCCATCCTGGACAAATACAATGAAAAGCAATCAGTCGTTGGGGCGGTGTTTAGATCACGAATCTCAACCATCAGTTCCATTTTTTCAAAGGACGGGAGCCACTTTTATGATCAGAAGTGCAAAGAAGGAATCGAGATCGTGAATTGCACGGAAGTTCACCCGATTCGAATCTTTGACCGTTTATGTATCTGAAGTTGATTGAGTGGAGAATCTGATTTGAGCAGAAAGTCTCTAGCGGTCGCTTACGTATACGTGTCCCCGCACCCAGTTGACCTGAAAGTTGTACTTGTCGTCCACTGTGCCGCCTATCCATTGGTCTGCACAGCACAAAACAGCACCGCTGAATATATTAGTACTTGAAAAAGGTTAAGTACTTCTCTTTAGTCCAACGAAGGTTTCTTTGCCACTTTCCCGAGAACGAGAACTTCAGGACGAGCTTAAACGCGCAGGATAATGCTTCTTCTCCACGAAGAGGAGCCCTTCTTTTCGATGCGTTCGAAAGATCTTGTGATTCCACAATACTCAATGGTAATATTAATGATCTAGCGCATCCTTAAGGGTTTCTCAGCTCCCAAAAAAGACTAATGAGAAGTTGCGGCGGCCAGATCTGCCCAAAAGTTTCGAAGTTTGAATCTCAGAAGCCAACATGTTTTTGAAACCTTTTATCTGTCTCGAGGGTGGGCGGTCTATTCTTGGGGTTGAATTCCGTGACTGCTAGAAACTCGGCTCTTCCTGTAAACGCTCCCCGCATCACTTCTAGACGAGGCTTCTGAAATATGGTTCGAGATTTGCAAAGTTTCTTCGTGCAGTCGATAGCAGTCCTTACCGGCGTAAAAGTGCATGGAGAGGTAGTCGATCTGGTCCACCCTGTGATTCCGCATGAAGTCGCTTCCGGTGTTGGAGGCCCAGCTGCCTGCGGGCGGAAGACGGAATTATTTAGCTTGAGACAGAAATGTGATTCACTTCCGAGACCTTCAGTCGTCAGTTCGAATTGCGACGTTCTCTACCCGTCCATTTCTCACGCCACAGGCGAGATGCAAACATTCAGCTCTCAACGATTACTGTGGGTCAAGTTTTTGAGATTTTAGGATGATGCTTTGAGAGCTCGAAGAGAGGTTTGAGCGACGAGATCGAAGAGAGCTCGGATGCAATGCATGAGAGCTGAAATCAAAAGTAGGTGTGAAGTGGAAAGACAGGCAGATTGCAACTCTGAAAGATTTTAACAAAGCCTTCTGAGTCAGCATTTGGCGCGTGTACGAAGTGCGGTGTTTTAGCAAACCGGTCTTTCACATAAGTGGATGGTATAAGATTTGATGGATGGAAAACTTTGGGTCCGCACCTGGGTTGAGGAAATATCTGGCGGTACTCGAAGGACCTGAACACGGACAGGAAGATTTTTGAGGCTCATCAAGCACATCCGTCTGAAAGAAAACTCAGAATTCGGCCGCCAAAGTTTGATAACAGCAACGACGACTTAGTGTCAAACGCCTATGCGCCAGTCTAGCCCCTGCTCCAAGGTGACGTTTCAAGGCGGTAATGGTCCAGACATTGCCAAGAAGGTTCGGCGCCACTGTGGGTCTGCTCGATCAAGCGTACACCGAAACTTTCTATCAATCGCACCTCCCTACAAGCTTCGCCTGAGACTGTATTCGTCGGTGCCTCAAGCATGAAAGAAGCACTACGTCTACTGCAAAGCGAATAGAGTCTTTCCAATGGACGAAAGAGAGGGATGCAGTAAACGGACCGTAAAAACCTTCAGAGCCGATCGTGAGCAAGTGCTTGCTGTCGATGCTCTTGACATACGGCGCCATCTCCTGGATCCAATTCTGCGACCAAAGAGTCGTACGCAAACCGTAAGAGGGCGCGTGGAAAAGCTTCTGGATGACGTAACTTCAGAATTTCGATAGCCTTCTGAATCATCGTTTCTACCGAGCTAGGTGCTGAGCTTAATCATGAAGCGCGTATTCAATTGAATCGAACGGTCCCAACTCCGTTCATGCCCAGAATAAACCATTGGCCCTTAAAAATTGACACCTCAGTCAAGCAGGAATCCGGTTGAAGGTAATGGTGGAGTTGCGTAAAGTTTCGGACAGGCCTATGTCACAGCCGTTGAGATTTCAGTTGAATTTTTGTCGTAGACGATTGAAAGTTGGTTTACAGGAAGGAAAAAAGTGCAACAAAATTGGATGACCTGAGTGCTCGATGGACTTCTCTTTCGGCGCAGTCGAAGGTTCCCAGTCGAAGCTGTTCACTGACGTTAGACATCCTGGGTCATCGTAGGTCATCATTCTGACGTCACCCACCTGAAGCGTGTTTCCGGACGGGTCCGACTCGCACCTGGGCTCGTTCATGAGCTCCCAACCAAAGATTGCTGCGCGCATATGAGGAACGTTAACAGGGTTTGATGAGCGACGGAGTCCAGACAATCAAGCCTTTTCGCTCAAACTACTGACAAGCTGTACGCCAGCCCAGTTCAGAAAAGAAGAAGGAAACGGGTAACGGGGGAAGACGAGAATCGAGAGACGCACTCTTTGCATACTCGCAAATCTTATTGCTGTCCAGCAGCTATCGGATGCAAGTCTTGAAAACATACAAAATTGATAATGTCCAGAGTTGTGGACCTGGATCGTCTTTGTAGACCTTCCCCGTGATGGTGTTGCGGCGGTTCAGCAGCGTGGCTACGAACTTTCTGCAAAGCAAAAGCGGGGTGCGAGTCAGCTTATGACCGCAGGGAATCAGCCGGGTGCTTTTATTCTGCTTCACTCAGGAACGAGCAACCTCGACAATGAACGCTCTGTTCGTGAGGAGTAAATTGCACAGAGACCAATACGAAGCGGCACCTTAGCGCCGTGCTTTCACTTCAAGCAAGCATTGCTTTCGTTGCGAGAGCTGTGCTTGGCAGCGTAAACGAGTCTATCTAGTTCCTGGCGGGGGCGCTCGCGCCGCGGCCGCGCGCCGTCGCGCTCACTTGTAGTACGCGCGCGTGTTGGCATCCGTGTAGAAATCATCCTGCAAGTAAGAAAGAACGGTAAGGATACGCGCAACTGTCTATATGATCAAGCCCCATAACGTGTTCTGGTATGCCAAAGAGCCTATGTGGGTATGAATTTCGGAATCACAACAGGAAAGAAGTGGCTTTGGATCTAAACAACTTGCTGATAATCCCCGTAAAGGTTTGATCACCCACCGGTTGTGACGACGGGCTCCCTGCTTGCTTGCTCCACGCAACGTACTGCGCCTTTCCTGCAGTATAGGCAAGAACGAACCAGACGGCAGCCCTTCCATGGTTACATGTCGGCAAGGAGATTGTCGGAAGTATGTTACACGAACATTTGGAGCTTCGGATGTTTGGATCACACGGCTAACACGGCTGACCCACATGAAAAGAGCTGAACTAGATAATTGAAATGAATTCGGCGACATGGCCCTGGACTCATTATCTCACCTCCGTATGCGTTCCTGCAAACAAAGGCAGCAAATGTCAAGCCTCTCTTCTGGAACGCAGCGCACCCATATGCAAGCAGATTGTTGACATCAAATGTCGATGAGCAAAGGCGGTTTCCTCTTGCGGACACGTCAGCGTCGCCAGGAGGATTCAAAAAACAGAGCACGTCTTCTGACGAGCGTCTGTGCTTCACACAAGCGCCCTCATTTTCGTTCAAGGAGACCATTAAGATCCATCGCAGATGCGACTCTTGCGGCCTACGAGCAGTCATTTCGAAGGAGTGGTGACGCGGCCTCAAGGCGAAAACTTCAGTGTCCATCAGCGAATGTTCGTCACAGACTTGTTTTCAAAAGGGAGCGGCTTTGCGCGGAAGGTCTGCTACGAAAAGGGAGTCCACTATTACCAGTTGTTGACGAAGGGAAGAATGACCCGGATGTTGTTCTTGGCCGCTTCCGCAATGACGAAGTCGAGGCACCGAAACGTCTGCTCGTTGAACTGTCCGGGCGCCGTCTGAAGCTTTCCGGGACCGTCCGAGAAGGCCCTGGCGGAACGGAACGGTAACGGAAGCCGTCAGGCTTCCGCCTTGGGAATTAGCGCGCGCAAGGTGGGCGGAGCAAAGGCCCGAATACAACGCTGACACTTCACATGACCCAAATTCACATGTTGGGCGGTCTTCGGGAACGGTCAATCAGCTCGCAAACGTTGAAGAGGAGAACGTGGAAGTGATGTAGGTAGTGAATGACTAGAAGCTCGCATTTAATTACTTGGCTAAATTCTGAACTAGAGGAGCGCTAGCTGATATGGTCTTGCCCAAAGAGGCATAATATGTACTACAGATGGATGCCAGATCCTCTATTTGTTTTATTACCCGGATCGCTTCTTTAGACGCTACCAAACTATTTCTTTTTGAGACGTTGTCAAAGTGCTCTTGCCTTGCCCAAATCTTCCATCAGCATCCCAGAGCCACTGAGAAATTTAACGGCTTAAACGAGAAAGATTCTCTGCAAATCTCTTGCTGGAACCCAAAATTGAGAGAGGGTCAACCAGATTTGGGTCAAGAAGAAACCAACAGACCACATCGACAAGATGCGGGTTAAGCAGGAAACCAACTGACCAGGTCCGCAGAACGTTGAGGCCGAGGCTGGCTGCTGACGTCAGCACGTTGGACACCTGCGCGCGGTCTCCGTAGGAACAAACCATCATCCTGCGGAAAGGGAAGGCATAGGTTCCGTTTCCGTTCCGTTTAGGAAGGCACCCCGTGGGCTTAGAATCAAGTGGAATAATACTTTTTGAGGGTTTGGATCAGATTATGTTAGGGCCCGGAGTTTGTGTCCGCAGAGGTGCCGGGCTTGGAGCTTTGAATAAGCGAAAGATTCAAGACAAGCGGGCATCCTATGAACATTTCATCCGAGGTAACAGTTTGGAAGAGAGGCCGCAGGCCATCGAAGAACGCCTACGGTACAAATTTGAAAGCTTGAGATGCGTCCTTTCGCAATCGAAGGTGATTCGTTCGCTCAGCAGCAACTTATGAATGCTGAACGCTTGATGCAACATCCTGCATCTGCTTAGCGACAAGTCCGTCCTATCAATATCGACAACTCGAAACCAACAAGATTGATGCCAAAGGAGATCCCATGAGAAACCTCAAGGGCCCGAAAACGTGTCCATCTTGCTGTGAAAAGCCTCGCATAGTGTTTCCTAGTGGTTCTGATCAAGCCTCTTCTTTTAAGCTGGCATACGGAGCAACGCGCAATTCAAACCGCATTTTTAAAAAGAGATTTCGGACTATGAAGAACGATTCCCGTCTTGGGCCATAAGCAGAGCATCGATCTGCCTTAGAAAGCTCATCGCACGGTTTTGAGGCCAGAAGGAAAATGAAATTGAACTCCTCACGCCGGAAAAAAGTTGCCTCCGTGGACAACAAACTTGCTGGACCCGGCGTAGAAGGTCCTTCCGCTGCGGGTGACCATCGCCAGGTCCGCTGCGGCGGAACCCGCCCAGACGGACAGCAGAGCGCAGCCCAGTAAGAGCAGAGCCGTCCGATCGAGACGCACAGCAGCAGTCCCCATTCTTAAGGAACGGGGAGATCTTGGCAACTAGACTGGGATGCAGCACCAAGAAGCTGGTTTCGGTGGTGCGGCTGCAAGGCTTTTATTCCGAGGCTTCTGCTTTAGTTTGTGGGCGAATCAGCGAGGACGGCCCGAGAGTATTATATCTGTTTTCTGTGCCAATTCATCAGACGCAGAGGGAGTTTATGAGCAATGCGACGAGGAAGGCCCGAGAGTATAGGGTCTGATTTGCTAGCCAATTGATTCGCAGAGTGAAGCACTGAGCACTGTTGGAGACTGCTTCAATGGCAACGTTCTGGAGGGAGACGCTGCCTAACAGGTTCGCAGCCGTACTGTGTAGCTGACGGCATTTGCTTTGAGCCAGATTAACGTGTGTGAATATGACGCTACATCCCTGGAATGCCGGCGAGAAGACTGGTGTGGTGGCCATTCTGAGTATGCCGCGTGCCCAAGTGACGTCATGCTGAGCTGAGCAGCGTCGTGAAGCTTACTACTCAAACCACCGGATTCGGAATCAAGCACGCCTGCAATGAGCAGTCACAACTGAGGTGTGCACAGCTGGCCAGCTCTGATAAGGATTAGAATGAATTTCCAAACCAACAGCACTAAGTTTCTGGCTAGAAGCGCGCCCCATTGATCCGGCGCAGTTTGACGTGCTCCTTGTTTAGGCATGCAAACACTTTTCGAACGTATGTGTCAGCATCGCATCGCTAAGGGCTGAATCAACTTGTCACAGCTGAGTGCAGCTAATGACACGGATTGGTGGGACCAGGCGGCCGGTAGACCTGCCGAATGCAGCAACAAGAGCTAATTTCCCGATGGGAGCAGCTGGATACTTCTGGGCTGCCTGGGGCCGACTTTTTGCGCGTCCCGCTAGCCTGACACAGGCGGCCCGCAAGTTGCCTGTGCTGATCGATGCAATGATTGATCATGTGATCCACGTGGAAGAATCAACCGATCAACATCGTGCTCACCAACTCGACCACCGAACCGGTAACCGATCCGACGGTCAGGGAAGGCCGCGACCTGACATGGCAATGATTGCTTCTTCCGCGCACGCGGCACGGAGCTGGCCGGCCGATTCGCGCCCGCATTCAAGTCACGGCACCCGCGGGCCGGCCGGGCGGCCGCGCGTTTCCACAACCCAGCGCCGAACTTGTAACGTATGAAACGTATGTTGACTGAAGTCTCTGCGATCAGAAAGCGCGTCATAAAGGTTTGATCAGCTAAGATCGGTTCAGGGTGCATGATCAGGTGAATGGGCTCGAGGCTGTACTAGCTATAGCATGAGCCTCTGATTTTAGGATCGATGACATGACATCGACATTTGCTGATCATAACTTCATGTCAATGCACTCTTAAAACCTGAAAAGCACACTCACGAATGTGTTGCAAAAGTGCGTTCCTCTCAATAAATCTGATGCTTAAAAACACTTTTAGTACCAGCTTCGGTCTCGATGAGCTCTAGAGAGAGCGTAGACCGCCGCAGCGGCTCGTGAATTTCACTGTCAAAAACCGGCCTAGTCTTTATTGTTCATCTCAGGACGACGCCCGATAGATCCTCTTTTGGTGAATATGATTACTATCTAAAGCATTCTTTATCTTAGAACATTATAATTTATCTGCTCCTTGCAGCTATGCTATACATTGTACTTTGACCTCCGTCGCCCCTATATAATATACCAGGTTCTCACAGTGATTTACAAACGGCACAGAAGCATCACGTATAAACAGACATGCCACTAACTTTGGGCACATATAACTTATTTACTTTACTTGTCAACTTCGATGCGGCATCGAGCAACAAATTCCTCTAAAAGGTGACAAGGTGAGTATGATAATCGCCGTCTTTTTTCCCCCAGCACTCCTGCAAGAAAAACAAAAGCATCAAGTCCAAACAGGGTTCGAAACTAAGAAGCGACGACAGCTTGATTCAGGAGCGGAGGACCATATCTAGCCTCGGGAGAATTGTCCAACTTTCACACCGCCTCCGTATCTGAATGAGCCACTTCATTTCCTCCTTGTGAGAAATGTTGGTCCTTTAGCACCATGCGAACTCGGTATTAAACCATACCCTCGAGCCAGCACGTACTGTTTTCTTCACATAGCATCCAACAAGAAGGTGGGCGCGCGCACTCTCTCGCGGCCGCGCCAAGTGACGCGCGCTGAGATTTGGGGCGCTACTTACAACGGCGCCCTCTGACCGCTGCGCTTTGCTGTGAGATGATGTTGACCGTCGAGGAGTCGGCGGGGCAGTAGACTGCGTACTTGTTGGGGGACTGGGGGACTGCGAAAGGAGGAAATCGTAGCGGAGTGTTAGGTGACAGATCCATGGCGCTTCCGCCGGCGGCAAGGGCGCATTTGGTCAGTCAAAAGGCTTTTAAGGCTTGGATTCAGAACGAACGGAGCGATGTAGGCAGGTGTCTGCTGTGCTCTTTCGAGGACATTCGTAGACACTACCCCAAGGGTTCAGTAAGCGAAGCCCGTTGGTTGTCACGACGATCGGCTGCTTTGGGGTCAAGGGAAGACATACATCTGGAAGTTTTATTGGCGTCACAGGAAAGGCTTTGTGTTTTTCTTACGATTTTTACGGCAGCGCTGCAGCAGATTTTGACGTATCGGCGGAGCTCATTTTTGAACAAGAGCAGCTATTCACGGCGCCCTGGCGCTATAAGGGGTCAGCGCTATGCTCAAACAGCGCGTTTATCCCACTGAATGTCGAAGTTCTGATCCCCAAAATCTGAGATTGACCGAGGGGCAGTATCACGCGATGAAAAATCCATCTCCTTCAATTCAATTGAGTTGCTTTATGCTAGTATCCTCAAGCTTGAAGATATGTCTCACCATACCGGTAGATGAGAGATGACTTAACCGCGGAATGACTTGATATTCCTGGTCCCGAGCAAACCCATTGAAAACCTAACCCAAATTATTAAGCCCTTCGCACCCCAGCCCACCCTAACCCTACAAGCTAACCCCACCCGGGCGGTCCCTCGGGCCTCTAACTGAAGTCACTCGGCTGTGAAGTCACCGGAGTTATCTCACCGTTCTGAGCGACGTTCAGTTGCCAGAAGATCACGCCCGCGTTTGCGCCACCGTTCAGCACCGACTGATACACGATCTGGAAGAACCGGTTCCGGTTCGAGAACTCGTCTTGCGTCCTCTGCACACTCGTGTCAGAAATCGTGTTGATGTCAGCCATTCGCTTTGATGTTGAATTGACACTCAGCCAATCGCCAAGAGTGAACATTGTATCCTTAAAGCATTATGGGAGCATAATAAATCCCAAAGGCCTTGAGCTTGCTGGGATCGACTTTCCGACTCGAGAGACATAGAGCGTTTGAAGAGACAAAAGTCATAACTTGGATGGGCATCTCTGAGGACATTGCGTTGCGGTTACTTATTGCGAGATCGATCTAGTGCATCTATGCGTGGCCTCGTGATTACGAGCTTTGTAATTAACAGCCTTTACCAGATTACTGATTGATTCGTGTGTGGAATCCATTGAGGGAGCGGAGCTCTTCTCTTCCGGTTTGATTGGGCGGTCCTGCGCGCGCAGCATCGCTTTCGTGACTCACCTGAGACGACATCGGAGCCCCAAATTCGCCCATAACCACCGGTTTGTTCAGCCGGTCAGCGCTCCCGTCCTGCAGATGGTCAAAAGAAAAAAGAGCTTAATCTGACCAAGGGCATCGGCGACTACGAAACGTGAACGAAGCTTTCTTGGTCGCCGCAAAACGCACGTCCTCATTTTGGCAGCGCCGTATACGAGCTCATCTGCGTCGGCACGCTTGCTTGCGGGTTCGAGCCTAACTTGAAAGTCTCAATCGCGGATCAGAAAGGTTTTCCTTGACCAAAACCTAAGACCTTCCGGACGATCAGCGCCCAATCTTTAAAAACCGGACAGCATTCACCCTCACGATTTTGATACGAAGAAATGTCAGAGGGCAAACGAAGAAGCGCAAGACCTCGACCGACCTGCCAGCCCAACGCTTCTTTTCCCAGATTTCACACACGGCAACGAGCTCGTCATGGACACGATTTTGACCGGTTAACCCTGATCGGCTACGGGCTGGGTTACCAGCTGGTTCTGTGTACAATAACCAGATTCGGATTTGACGACAATGTTTAAAACCGGTGGAGCCCGGCTATTAATCACCAGACTCAGGGCTGGTTACTGAGCCGGGTTAGCAGCAGAACATCCTGTGCTGGCGGTAGCTCAGGAGCCAGTCACTTACGTACACGTGGCCCCGCGTCCAGTTGGCAAGGAAGGCCAGCTGGTCGTCAATTGTGCCGCCCATCCACTGGTCTGCATAAGCGGATAATGAGGATCATAAGCTATGTGATCGAAAGGCTGCAGTCGGCACGGACGGAACGTGCCGCGAGCGTTCTGCCAAACAGATGAATCCATGGAATCGAGCATCTTCAGCGCAACGGATTATACGTCACCACATCCCAGCACCTGAAAACTTGTCGTATGAGTTACCGGTCTTATGGTTCTTTCACAAAAAACGAGCGGAACTGCTCATGACGGAAAAGGCGGAAGAGCTTCTTGTCGAAAATTGGAGTGCAGCTAAACAAAGGTTGAGACAAGCGCGGCCGTGGGCGGTCGGCCGAGTAGGAGAGCTCAAAATCGTATGAATCTGTTAGCTCAAGGTAAGCAGAAGCCTGAATGAAAGCTGATGGCTTCAGAGGACGCGAGGAAAACAATAAGAGCTATGAAGCAAACCTTACCTGGGTAAGAATGGAAAGTCGCGAAGTCGATCTGGTCTATCCTGTGGTTGCGCATCCAGTCCTCCCCTGTGTTTGCCGCCCAGCCCCCTGCGGAAACGGAACAACGGATACGACATCAGACCCTGCTAACTCCCACTACGTACTGCTTCAATGGCGATGAGCGCTGCTTAAACAACATTCTAAACCGACGTTCTTGAAGCTGAGAGCCTGGGAAGGTTGTGAACGGCTAGGATACTTTCGCGGCCGCCTTTCCGCCCTCTGCCGGAACATTGAGTAAAAAGGAAAGAGTACAGGCCACGTGGGGCCTGTCCGAGAGGCGAACATCTTTAGTTAGAATTGCGGGTTAGTGTTTCTCAGGTACTTATCTGATGCGTGCTACGGCTGAATTCAGAAAACAATTTAGGGGTAAATTTTCGCTTGTCGAACCACAATGCCAAGCGTGATGTGAGTCCTTCCAGCAGACAAAGGATGCGCATCTGCGCCTTTTGAGAATCTGCTGACGTCATCCGCGACGTAAACAAAACAGCGTATGACGTCGAGACGCTGACCTGGGTTCAGGAAGTGACGGGCGGTGGTCGAGGGCCCTGCACGCGCGCAAGAGGTAAGATTCATGCGGGCGACACAGGAAACAGAAATTCAAAGGGCGACCACTATGCAGACGTATCGAGTAGATGGTCGCCAATATCACGGTGTCAACAGTTGGACCTCGTTTTCCGCTGAGCGGATGGCAACTTCGTAAAGTAGTTTTGCAGTTTCGAGGAGGGGCTTCAGATCCAAACCTTTCCACAATAGTTTTGCAGATGGATGAAAAGATCCAAACAACCATTTCTTACGAAATCAGAGTTTTGTAGTTCACCGCCCGTAATACAAAAACATTTATTCTAGCAGCAAAATACGAGGCCATCAGCCTTTCTGTTCAAAGCGGACACAGGAACTAGAATGCAATTAGACTGACCGTAGAAGCCCTCCGTCCCGGTGCTCAGCAGATGGTTGCCATCAATGCTCTTGACGTAAGAGGCCATCTCCTGGAGCCAATTCTGCGACATCGAGAAAACTTCTTCCTGTAAGCAGGCTAGCTGGTTGAGGTTGTGCTAAGCAAAGGGATAGACTGAAAAGTTCACACAAAGAGGGAAGAAGAACCTCTTGTTGACGATTGGAGCCGGAATCGCAGACGTCGGTGGCTGTCTCTCAAATGAACCCTTGGCCACAGAAAATAAATTGGGCACATCGCTAACGCGAACCCCAACCGAATCTGAAAGACCCTCTGTCGCTACTGTCATTTCTTTGCTTCGGTTCTAAATACTATAATGAAGCTTGGTACCCAAGTCTGCCTTAATAAAGATGGGACCGAAAATTGCACAAGATCGTTGGTTGCTACTCACCTGAAGCGTATCTCCGGACGGATCCGATTCGCATCTGGGCTCGTTCATCAGTTCCCAAGCGAAGATTGCTGCAACAGAATTGTCTTAGCATCAGCCTTGAGAAAAATCTCCATGGTGACCGATAACATCAAAGAGCGTTTATGCCAACGGAGGAAAAGCTAAAGTTCGTTCAAGGTGAGTACTATCAGGAAATTAGGAAACCAGGCGACCGCAAATAACGGAGTATGTTAAATAGAGAGCGCGCACGCAGAGCCGGCTTTTGGCCTACTTCTTCTCTGTATCATTGCGAGTGTCAGAAGAGCCATATTACTTGGTCTTGCGAAGTGAAAGAGGTACTTACTTGGATCGTTCTTGTAATAGATTCCCGTAAACGTATTCTGACGGTTGATGACGGCGCTGACAAACTTCCTGCTCCACAGAAGGAGAAAGGCATTGGTTCAGATGTCTGCTTGGATTCTCCTGCTCGAACACAATTACTGAAGGCAAATTCTGCTGCTTTGAGTCATAAGACCTGCAGGCTTGGAGTGAAGCACGACATATTACAGAAAAAAATATTGTTATGACGATGCTTGGAAATTTACGCGGTGGGGTCATTTGTGATGCACAATATCAAGCGCCAAGTGACAAGTATCTGAGTCACAGAGCTACGCGAGGTGAAAGGACTTTCTTCAGACCGGTTTACTTGCTGTTTGGGTCCGAGGGAGCCCTCATTGAAACGCGGTTTCTCTGATTAGTCAAGACTAGCAAGGCTTACCGGTACAGATCACGGGTATAGTCGTTGGAATAAAAGTCATCCTGCGCGATATCAAGGGGATAAAATGGGAATTAGCAAACAACACTTCTGATTGCTGTGGAGAACAAACTTTGGAGGCGGTGTGCAAGCGGCCAAAGAACGCTTCACGAACGCTCCCTGGCACGTCAGAAGCAGATTAACGGCGGCGGTTCGTTCCGGGCTTACAAGGTGAAGGAGGATCAACCCATGGAATCGAAGCCGACAGCCTGGTGCGAGTTCTTTAAACATGCGCGCGTAGCTATCGACTCCTTTAGAAGTGTTGAGCAGACATTTATGTGGCGCTTTGGGTGCCCCCCTAGATGCAAGCTTATCCCGTGCATTTCAGCGGACCCAAAAAGTTGGTTTCACGGCCTCCAGTCACAATTCCGTGTCTTTAAAAAAAAAGTGGATCCATGAGTCGTCACCGCGTCCTTAAGCTAGCAAGGGCAGATTGAGAAGCCGATGAGAACGAAAAGACTACGCAGAGACCAAGAAAGAGGCGCATGTGTAAAAGTCACTGGGGGAGGTCACCCATATGCGCAGCGGTCGGCCAGCTGATGAGACTCATTTCCTAGGTCATAGAGAATGCGAGTGTAGGAAGTAAGAAAAAAATAATTAAATCAGATAAGGGAGCAGATAAGTTGAGTGGGAAGCTCACCGGATTGGACCCTCCGGCCCTCGCTTGCTGGCTCCACTGCACGTACCGGTCCTTGCCTGCGGTAACGTCAGACAAATCGTCATTGGAACGTTCAAGGGAGCGCAACCGTCAAAACGCGCGGACGCCAGAAGCCTCATCCACCGGTAACTCGCTTCTCTGAGGAAAATGCTGTTGGGGATGTAATCTAGCATGACTGAAAGCTCCCACTTGGTTTCAATAGGAGGGCTCGTTGCAATTGAGGGATGGTTCATGTAATCTGAATGCCGACCTGGATAGGGCATGAAGCAGTGGCGACAGCACTCTCGCTTTCGCAGGTGAGGGACCGGCGGCGGCGGAACAAGCGAAGTAAAGCGGAATAGCGGGATGCGAGCGCAATGCTAAAAATAGCCAATTGTCAAGGTCGCGGGGAAGCGGACTGGGCAGAATCATAGGGTCCGGCGAGTTCCGCCAGCTGCTGACAGAAAAAGCGGAACGCGAGCGGAACGAGCAGTAATGGCCGCGAACGGTGACGCGAAAAGGGCGGAATGTGTGAAACGAGTGGGACGCGAGCGGGACGAAAGGAACGAAGCGAACGCTGACAAACGAGCAGGGAAAACGGACGATAATTGTTAAAACGATCTCGACAGCCCGATCGACCCGTTCCGCGCGGAACGAAGGGAACGCGGGCAAACGAGCGGCAGAGCGGAAGGTCCGATGCATCTCGACAGCCCACCTCCGTAATTGCTCCTGAAGTTGGAAGAGGAAAGTGATGTCAGCAGAAAGTTGACGCCGTCCTTCAGGAGAACCAACGCATCACTTCTGTCAGGGCAGTTCCGGCTCCTACGGCCAAACGGCAAAGCTCGAAGTAAGAAGAGCGTTCCGAAATAGAAGTCCCAGATTTTTGCGTGAGCGACTTGACCGGGACTTCGTGAAACTCTGCAGCTGATTAACCCATTGCCGTAACGACTTCCACAAATGGAAGGCGTCCTGCCTTCAAGTATTCAAAATCCACTTCCTGTATCCTCGCTTCGATCTGCTTTCAGCGCCAGAACAAGCCCACGTGTAAGTGTCGACCTCCTCTGCTCAATCGCTTCGCATAGTGACAGTCCGACTAACCGACGGCTCAACCCTAACCTCGTTAACAAACGACACGTGTCCTGCTCTCGGAAGCTCACCAGTTATTGACGAACGGCAGGATGACGCGCAGATTATTCTGGGCCGCCTGGGCGATGACGTAATCCAGTCCCTGAAACCACTGCTCGTTGTACTGTCCGGGCGCCGTCTGCAGCTGTCCGGGACCGTCGCCAAAGGCCCTGTCCGGAGATGAGTTACGGACACTTTGATGGTCTTTCCCGTACAGTTTGCGAGGAGTAATTGCATGCAAGCAGGAAGAATTGTACGTCAGCTCGACCAAATTCAATGTTACAGACGGAAAGACGAAAGGAGAAACTGGTGCGGAAGCTAACGGACGCGAACTGACTGGTTTGACAATTGAAGTTTGTCTCCAAATTTCGAAGGTTCTGTCCAGAGCACAATGCAAAGGGCATCCAAACGCGAACGCCAGGATGAGAAGATGGGACAGAAGAGTGCTGGATGCTACTTCAGCAGGACGCCCGCGGAGCCTACCCATTCTTGACAGCCCACTAATTGTTTGCGTTGGATACGGCTATTGTCTGACAGGTCAGCTGTTTCGACGCGGCCACTTTAACCGGATCGAACACAGCACTCTGAACGGACGTTCTAGAAACGTGCACGTCAAAACTAGCCGTTGCGAGAAGGGGAGTTTTGGAGGATGGATTCGGCAAGCGAAAGCAGGAATCTTTACGAACTCCCCCTATACGTAAACGAAACGTCGTCTTCAGAATCCCTTCTGAGAACAAAGCAGATCTGAATCTATTCGGGTTTGACTCACCGTGGCGAAAGGTTGCACACGTATTTGCGTCCGCCGCTTTATCGGAGGATTCAAAAGCAGGGCCGTCGGCAGAGAGCCAGGGAGCGTTTGCGGCGACTCACCAAGTCCTGACCACGTTCAGACCCAGGCTGGAGGCGGTCGCCAAAAGGTTGGCGACTTGGGGCCGGTTGTTGCTGTTCGAAGCTAGACTCATCCTGCAGGGAAACATGAGCCGGGTGTAACTTGAAGTGCCCACTATTTACACTTGCTCGGACGAAGCAAGTGACCATTTGCCCATACTTCAGTTGGCTCGTCTCGTCCTTGTGAATGTGAGCGCAACAGCTGTATGGAACCTTTTCGCACAGGGAAATTTTCCATTTTTTTCTTAAAAATTTCCCAAATTGGAGAGTGCTGGACTATTGTAGGTTAATTAGGTGATGAGGCCAGGACGCGTGCCGAATCTGCTATCAAATCGTTCAGCAGAGAAAGCGCCGACAAGAAACCTCCCCACAAGGCACTCATGAAGACGCCAATCAAAAGTGGGATTTGAGAAGATTCGTAAGACAAATGGAGAGAGACTAGTGAGCTCAATCTGGTGTAATTTTCCAGCATAAATCTCAGGAATCTCATTTTGAACCGTTGCCGCTGTCCTAACCGCATCATTGTTTTTGGCTTCATAAACTCTTCCCACCACTCCCCTGACGATAAGGGTTAAACCACTGTTACCAAGCCTTCGACCTCTATCTCTAGGCGCTCATATTCTGGGTTTGTTAAATCCACCAGCTTTATCATCTTCACTTTGCTATTGTCATCAAATGTGACCCAGCCCACATTTTCCAATCTATTCAGCTCACCACTCAAAGAAACAAAGGAACATAGAACAAAGGGCAGTCAGGAACGAACTGAAAAAGAGCTGGCACTCACGCTGGGTAGAAATTGCAGCCCTGCACAATGAACCTCCCGTTGGCGTCATAGAAGCTGGTACCGCTTCGGGTGACGAAGCCCTGAGCTGCAACCATGGAGCTCCCAGCAATCTGAAGCAGCAGAAGGATAGCTGTCAGTGTTGAACAGAACTGAAAACGAGGTCGGCGGGAAGTTTTGGAAGCGTCCATTTTGGATGGATATGAGCCGGATGTGAAATGCTGATCTCTGCAAGCTGATGGGAGACGGAAAAGGTGAAGGGGAAGGCGTTGAGGAAGGCGCAATCGGGAATGCGCTAATGAGAGGGGGAATGTGAGAAGGTGGTAAATGGAAATCATGGAGGGAAGAAGAAGGGAGCCTCCAGAATGGAGAGATGAATCGCTTCAGATGGAATGCTCGACAGAGTGCGTATACGTGGATCAGGCTGCATGTGCTCACCCGGTTCCAGTCCTTCCTTCACAGATTGCGCCATTGAGATTTTCTCGCTAGACCGTCATACAGAATCTTGTCAGTAATGCCGGCACCTTCTCGAAAGCGTTTCTTCGTCTTGTAAAGATTCAGTAGCCCAGCAGCAAGTCGTGGACACACGGCCGATGCCCCGAATCTACTTCTTTGAACAAACGCAGTCACGTAATGCTAAGACTGGCTGAAAATGGAGACATACCAAGTGGCACGTTCCTGAGGCGCCAGCTGCCATCGGCGTTTGTCGATTCTGAGGTGACGAGGATAATAGCATTGAATCACGACGAGATTCTGAATCTTGGCATTGAATGCGGGCGCATCCTGACCTCATGCAGTTCAACGGATTTTCAGTGGCGAACTGACAATCTGCAGTGAGTCGTCCGATCACGTGATCCCCGTGCCTGACGGGCACGAGGAAACACAAGCGAACTCAATCAGTGTCGACCAATCAGTGACGTCTCCATCTCCATATCCTACCTATCTCCCTTTATATGCCGCGGCGGCCGCCGCTCTTTTCACAAGTGCAATGATCTTCTCGGCCAGATAGGTCTCGATTTCATGTTGACTAAGGGCATGTTGACTAAGGGAAAGCACCCGGGGGACGGGTAGGGTTGGTATGGGGGTTAGGGTCTCATGCCATTTATAACCGGTCTCACATCTTGCACAACGAACCCGAAACTTGACCAAGCGCTTTCTTTGCACAGAGTCTAGCAAAAGGCTTTCAAAGGAAGCCATTTTTCGCCATTCCTTCACGATTAACACACGCAACTACCGAAAGCATGTGTGTTACTGCTTTTCAAAGTTGAAAACAGTGGAGAATTGACGACGCTATAGTACTCCGCCTTTTGCGCAACCGAGGAGGACGCCATTGCCAAACCCTACAACGTGTGGTTGCGATTGCTCGATGATCACGTGGCAGTGCAAGATGTGGGAACGGATGTAATCGGCATGAGGGTGGGTACGGGTGCGGAGCGGGTGTCATTTATCGGTTTAGGTTTTTAGGTTTGCTCATACCCCCGAGCACTATCCTTAGTCAACATGCGCTTAGTCAACATGAAATCGAGAAGTATCTCGGCCAGGTCTCATTAGAGTCGGAGTTTGTTCATGTATCGAAGACTATTCATAGCAGAGAGGCGCTCCTTTCTCAGAGACGACACGACCCCGATATGACTGCGCCAGGTTTCATCAGCAGATATGCACGCGGTAAGCTTATGAACTTATGCTACCCAGATCGTTGCACAGTACAGAGTTGTGACAGGATTCAAAAGCACTGCGCATCTCGGAGCAGCGGGTTCTCGCCTTGCGTGCATGGTGCCAGAAATCCATTGATCGCGTTTTGAAAAATGCATGGACTAACTGGAGGTGCCGGACGGTGGCGCCGCCCTTCAGGCAACTACTCGCAACGCCCACACTGAGCGGCGCCGGAGCATGGCGCTGCACTGAAGCTTGCGAGCAATCTCGTTGCATTCAACAGCTCTTGGCCTGCAGTGCCGCGGCCCATGTAAGTTCTTCAGCCTTCAAAAAAAGTGAAGAGCATTTAAATGGCACACCGCGGTCATTGCTTCACATGCATGCGCACTGCGTACCAAGCATGACTGTTATCGCGACTGCTCATTTTACTATACCCCCCGGGCCTGGCCCGGGCCAATAGCAAGTAACACAATCCATCACAGTTGCCTAGCACTTGGAATGTATGCAAGCTCATGCATGATCTGTTGCCCGATTGGCAGCCTCAACTGCACATTTGCAGCCGCGAGGCCCCATACATTCATCAGGGCACAAAATTGTAACGTTAACTCCAGTTCGTAGACCCAGCATACACGACCACGACAAGACAGATCGCAAGTCGTGATCTTATGCAAAGGTCGTGAAACAAGCTCTGCTTGGCAGCGAGATGGGTCAATAATCAAGTCTGTAGCCCTCTCTTCCTACGCAGAGGTTCAGATTCTTACGATGGCATCATCTCCAACGACTCCTCATCTTCAAACAACGGATTACATGGCGGTTTATTAACGTGCATGCTGCTTCGCTCACGTGCCTCCCTGGTCTGCACATCTTAATTGAACACTCCAGCTTGTTGGCCGGTACACGTCGGAGTTTCGAACTGCCAACCAAGAGACCCCGCCGCACAAGCCCTCCGTACGCTCACTATCAGAAGCGACAAGTCGTTTGCTCTTGGGGCTCCTGCAACCAATGCGGTCGTCAGTGTGTATCCTATACAGGCTATGAGGCTCCTGAACGCAAGAAATGGCCCAATTTTCGGACCAGATCTTATATAGTACTGGGAAAGGCCGTCAAAGCGCAGTGGGAGGGGAGCACATCAACCTAGGCTACGAGCAGATTCTTGACCTGAGTGTAACAACACGCTAAGTACTTGAAAGCGAGAACCATGTTTTCAAAAGAGCTGCACCTTAATCAAGAACACTCCAAACAGGACCCCGAGTTGAATCCAGAAACCGATAATGGTGACGTCTCGAATACACAAGGCATTTCCACTGCTCGGAGGGGACCTCTTCAAAACGGCGTAGGCACCGTCCCGTCCGTCGCATTTGTCCCCACCTCAATCATAGTGAGCAACCTAAAACACGCACTGTAATCCTAAACGTTCGTCTTTCATCCGCAAGTGATGTTAAACGAGCTGCCATACCACCTGAGACTGCCCCACATGAAACGACACAATTTTGAAAGAATGACCGATCAGGAGTTCCTGGATGCCAAACGTTTGGAAAGGGGACACTGCGTGCCGTTTGGCGGCGGTTCCTTTTCCCTCTAAATTTGAAATGGCCACCGTATTGGGCTCGAGCAAAAGTTTGAAAGGAATGCCAGTCAGCGACATGTAAATGAAGGGGACGACGGACTCCGGGCGAAGAGAAGAGAGACAATAAGGCAAAAAGGAGAGGGAGGCGCCTGCACAGAACATTTACAAACAAGAAGCAAAGGAGAAACAAGAAGCAAACACAACAGAAGAATTAACAAGCAAGGAGTGTGAGTCCACTTACCGCCCGTCAACGCGGATCAATTCTGTGTGTGTCTGCAGCGGGCCATGCAGCAGAGTGCTGTATCGCGGGGCTGCCTGCCAAAGTGCTAACGTGACGTCAGCGGACGACCCCTGAATGTATATCAGGAGAAAAGGGTGTCACTCAGAATTTGACTGCTGGCATGTATCTATTGCTCCCCTTTTCCAACAGTAAGATCACATTCCCTCATTGCAGTTGCTATAAGTATTCCTTGGTGGATTCTATTAATCACGCATACAACAATGCGCAAACAGGCGCTCTCAATGCCAAATCAGCCGCAGCAACCTGACTCTGCTTAAGCGCCAAGGAAAAAACCGATGAAAGCACGGCGTTGTTGATGGCACACATAAATAAAGGACTCGAAATGTGAGGCAGAGTCCAGATTGCGCTCATAGAAGCTGATCTGCTGAGAAGTCTGCTATAGTAGTAGACAACCTCCTAACACAATAACAGGGTGAATGAAGCACATCAGAAAGAGGAAATTTTCTCACCGGTCTTTGAAGCAATGCCAGAGCTTCAATATTTGCTCATGCCTCGTTCGACGAGCGTCTCCGTGACGTCTGCTGAAGTAAATCGCAACGTTTGCAGAAATCTTGTAGGCCGTCTAGTTTATTGCGCTGAATGCTGAAGGACACTCTGGGCTTGTTTACGAGACATACCCTGCAGACCTTATCCATTCTTTCAATGTAGCTCCCGGCTGCTGTAGCTCTTGCTTGCTGCTCTGTAGTAGCTTGCTTAGTGCAGGTCTTACACCAAGACGCCAGCTTACGCTTGTTTCTTCTTGCACTGTAAAACTCGTCGGCAGGCTTCTGCTGCTCACACTTAATGCACGTCGCTGTTTCAGCGAAGGGCACACTGGATGGCTGTTCGGACCATTCATGCCTGAGTGCACTGGCACAGCTTCGGCAGTATGTGTAGAGACCATCCTTGCTTTGTGAGCGACGAGCAAAGTCACGCACTTCCTGGACTTGCTTGCACCGAAGGCACTCCCTCGCTTGCTCCCACGCTTCAGCTACCGGCATAGCGAGGTGATACAGCTCAATGCCCTTCTCCTGCGCCCGGCGCTTTGCGAGGCACGCTCGGCACAAAAGGTGTCTCCCATCAGCACTCGAGACCAGCTTCCCAAAGTTTCGTAGGGGCTTCTGGACCCCGCATTCTGTGCACAACTTCTTGTCAGTGAAGTCATTTGCAGACGCTGCTTTCTGGGAGTTTTCCAGTTCTTCCTGACCGTCAATCAGCGTTTCCGCATCACTGGCTTTTGCCCTTCCCAGTCGCTCTTCCTGGCTCACTGATGCAGTCGCAACAGGCCTCTGAAAGGCTTTCTTACAAGCATCGCTTTCAACATGCCTTTGATGGAACCTCGTTCTTTTACAAGACAAGACAGCAACTCCAGGCGCCCCGCAAAAGTCAGTCCGCTTGCCCTGCCTAAAACTACCAACCAGTAGGGTGCTGGAACATATCAATGCGCACCCCTTGTAAGCCGTTTTGGTAGGAGAGGGGTGTTGCAGGCTGGTCCTTTCAGCACAGCGCAGCTTTGATGAGGGCCCAGCCAGCCCCGTTCTGCCCAATGAGCCGCCTGAAGACGCGACCACTTTTCGAGAGGGACTGGCTACAGAAAGGCGGGTGTTCTTAAGTGGACTTGCTGTTGCCATTGCCTTGCTTGGAGCGCCTTGCGCTGTCCACAAATTGAAGCGCCCCCTGCCTGTTTTGTGACTTTTGCCTCTGCAATTTCTCCTTTCTTCAAATGCAAAAAAGATTCCGACACTCCGCGGATTCCGCCGGATCGCTTCCGGCACCGGCCTTGGCCCCAGAGGGATCCCTCGGCGGCGGAACGTCATCTAGCTTCGATCGTTAGGCTATGATCTCTGGAGCTCCGGTATCTTTTTCAGCTGCTGTTGCAAGGAGGACGGCGACACATGGAACAGCAGCAGTTCGTAGTGCGCTTGCATTCAGCCACCCGTTTGAACGTTGATTATATTCTTTCAAATCAACGCGGTGAAAGCAATAAAGGTAATTCGAGACGCAGTATCAATCATGATTCGCTAGACATATATGAGCGGTCAATGGCCCACGATTTGGCAACTCAAGTTTTAAAACACCCCGTGTTTTATTCATCCTATTTTTTCAAAACTGCACAAAATCAAAAGCGCTGAGGTTTTATTCATAACCAACGGATAGAGCTCGTCAAGAGGCGCCTAAAACACCCCTTATTTTTAAAATTGGACCCCCCCTTGAATTTTAAAACAACTTTAAAACAGAATAAAACAACAAAAACAGCCGCAAGACATGTGCGTCCAAGATGAGGCTCAAAATATTCCTGTTTTAGAAACAGCAAAACAACTAAAACGTTTTAAATTGCCTTCTGCTTGACATATTCGGGTTTTATTTGCGGTAAGCTGATTGCTTTCAGTCTGGATGGATGTAATATGTGCACGAAAACCAAGATTAGCCTTTAAAACGTAAATAGAACGTCTTTGGGGCGCTTTTCAACCATTTAAAAACGTTTTAAAACGGTTTTAAAACGGTCGAAGCAAGCCAAACGGGGTGTTTTACTCCCCCACATGACATGTTTTAAAACGGGAGTTGCCACCCCGGGCAATGGCCTTCCAGCGGCTGGATACTCGCTGTCTCGAAATCCTCGGTGCACTACACATGGTCACTTCTTTTTATACACGCTTAGGCACCTGGGTCGATGGCGCAGAAACAAGCAATTTCGGAGTTCGGGCTTCATCAAAAAATGTTTCTATACTAGTTACCAGGCACATCAGGTGGCACGTTCCTGAGGCGCCAACTGCCCATCGGGGTTTGTGATTCTGAACTGACGAGGATACAGGATTGAATCACGACTTTGAAGATCCTGAATCAGGCTGGCATGATGCGAAACGAATTGAATGCGAGACGCATCCTGACATCATGCAGTTCAACAGCTTTTCAGTGGCGATCTGACGATCTGAAGTGAGACGTTCAATGGCACGGGAACCCCGTGTCTGACATGGCACGTGTCACTAGTTGCAAGCTGCTCGATCAACAGAACTATGCGTCTACGTAGATTACCTCTAGATTACATGTACGCATTTCAAGGAGACGCCGCGCTCCTTCGTGCTTACGACTTTACCAAATCTTAAGATTCGACCAAACGGTGCCAAAGAGCTTGACAGCCAGTGTTCTGTTTGAGTTCGACTCGGCGCCATGGCTAGACCGCCACCGTCAGCACAGTCACTGGATGACGTGTGCAGTAAGCTATGTCCACAGGCCATACAGCAAGTTTCTAACCCATGCAGACCCTTCTGCGCCATACACAGTCATGCAGAAGGATTCACCGAGTTGTGCAACTGTGGCCCACGCTATGTGGATACGAGCTGAGGCAGTCAATCTTTGCCTCCCTTATTGACATGACATGTTCCAAAAACGGTAAGGCTTTTTTATTCGTGATCCTATTGGCCGAAACTCTTACCGGTTTGACCACGTTGACCGAGATCGAAACCTGAGCGAGTAACCCCCTACTAACCCCCGCAGATTTTTTGCTTCGAAACCGAGAAATCCTTAAGCCCATACTAAACCCCTCATCGCAAAACATCCAAGGGGGAGGACATTCTAGTTTGAATTTTAGACCGATTTACAACACCCGCTGCGTGTATTACCATGCAGTGGGTTTTGGCCCGGTCTGCCAGCAAACCTTCCGACCAATCAGAGATCGGCAGCTGTCGAAAGAGGCGCTGCGCTTAGCCAAAAGGGCAACGCCCATACGTATACCGCCGGCTGCCATCACTGTGAAGCAGGCTTGCAGGAGCGACTTCAGAGAATAGCTGGCCGCAGTGAAATCAATGGACGTACATCACTCAAAGGTAATGTATGCTCTTCAGACTTGACCACGAGGGGTAACAGTACGAGGGATGTCCAAATAGCTGATCATGCAAACATGACGTAACAGTGCGCCCACAAGAAAGGACGACTAGGCAATCTCTCTTGCGCGTGCACAAGTTTATAAGTTGTTCCTATTGATGGCCCTCCTTACAAGCCACAGAGCTTCCCAAGTAAGTGTCCTGAGAACCTCTTGTCGCTCGTGAGCCCTTCAATAATCAATACTGGCTGTAAGAAAGTTTTGAATGGATGCGGCTGCTTCCAAAGTCGACGCAAAAAATCGCAACCGATCAACCATCCCGGCTGACCGGTTACCACAAACCCAAAATTAACATATTCCTTAGCCGCCGTGCGCTGCATCCTAAACGTTTGAACCTTTGCAAGTAACAAAGACGACAAGCATCTGCGTGCCGTGCATAATTGTGACCAGCTATAAACTGCAGCCTTGTGACTAGCGGTCGGTTACAGGGCCCGGCCAAGGTCGCCGATCAGGAACCCCCTTTGAATCACCATCCCCAAACCAGATATATAAACGAAGACTTTAAGTAAGTGTTCCTTCTGAGTGGAACGATTAGATCTGCCTCCTCGCGCAAGGATCCCTGTGGCGGCTTCCGCCATTCCTCTAAGCAACAACTGTTCCGGGCGCCTTTCCGCAGAGGGTATAGCCCGGCGGCGGCGGCGGAATGTTGGCCGCGTCCTCGACGATGGCCACGCGCATGCCCACATACCTGCGCGCGCGCGCAGAAACGTCCAATCAGCCTCGAGAAGATGGGAGGATCACATGTCCGCATGTGTCACGGAAGTCCCAACAGAGACCACCGAGTTTTTGGATCTGAGCTTCTTCAAAGCGGAACGGCCAGATTATGGAGAAGCTTCTCGGATCTGAGTTTCTTTCAAAGCGGAACGGCCAGCTGTCGACATGTCGGATCTGAGCTCCTTTCCGAATGTAACGGCCAGAACTTATAGAAGCTCGTCCGATCTGATCTTTTCGAATGAGCTTCTCCAACAGGGAAACGGCCAGATCTTACAGAGGCTTGTCGGACAGTATACAAACAAGCCTATATAAACTTCCCTTTCTATCTAAATCCGGCAGGTTGCTCGAAGGCTGCTGTAAGCAGGGACCGGTTGGGAATCAAAGCAGATCACAGGAGTTTAGAAGCGCATCGCAGCGAAGAGGGAGTCTGCCCACATATGTGCGTCGAGATGGCAGTGCACGAACCACGCTCCCGGATTGTCGGCCTGCATTGGGAACCAAACAGAATGACTGAGAACCTCTTCCTTGGTCTCTCTGCAAGTGTAAATGGCTTCAGCTAGATTCGTCGTGTTCAAGGGCGCCCTGGCTTCGAAGTGGAGCGGAACTGGGGCCGAATCGGAGCATTCCGCTCCCGGCGGAAAAAATGGCGGACGAACCGGAGCTAGGCCCGCTTCAAGGCCGGTTCTCGGAGAGCAGGAACTGGTTCATGGGAACCGGCTCCGACTGAATTGCCGAGCAACCTAGTAAGTAGTACTCTGCGAAACAAGTTAAAGGCTGTCCGGTTGGCAAGTCAGCAATGGGACGGGAATCGGACAGATTGCGGGCTATGGAAAAGCCGTTCGACCAGTCGGCTCTTCCCTCTTCAGCGAGAGGCGCTCCAGACATCAGACACTAGGAATCCAGACGACGTTATCTCGGCGACTTTTGTCCTTCGTACGTGTTCCCTTTGGGCAGGGACACTGGATCCGCACTCGCATCCCCAGATCAGTATGAGGTGAAGGGGGACTTACGTTAAACATGATCGCGGCCCACGCGCGAGGATAAAGGGCGACGGTGTTCCGGTAAATGGGGTTCACCAGGTTGAAGGTCTTGGGGCTCTCCGTCGCGTCGTAAACGCCACGTCCTGCGGTGTTAACGAGTCGGAATGAAACTAAAACCTGATGCATTATGGAGTGCCGGCAGTAGTTCATGTGACAGATTGCCAGACTGTGAGTCTGCAGCAGTACCTTTGAACCCGGATATAACCGAGCAACCGAACGAGCCACCAATATGCAGAGATGCATTGAAACTCTAATGAACTGTAGCCGTCGCCGTGTTTGAGGTTGACAGCCAGAAAGACCACCTTCAAAACATGCGGTCTTACTTGAAAGAAAGCGAAGTTGAGTACTCTAGTTGGAATGATCATGACAGTTTGGTAATAATCTGTCCAGCAGCATATCAAAGGCAGTTTTGTGCGGCGGTGATCAACCCTGCTGAAGGGTAGACAAATGACACTCCGTTCATCACATCCTTGAAAACAGCACAAGGGTTTCCAGCCAAAGACAAGAAAACACGTGGCTCATCTTTACAAGTCGAGTCGGCTCGGGAAAGCTCTGACGGTAAAAGTGCAGGCAAACGGAAGTATGGCCAATACACTGCCAGTGGCCCCTGCCCTAAACTGCAACGTCTTCAAGTTAGCCCCTCGGAAGCGGACTCGAAAAGCCACCCAGCAGGACACGTGTCCTCACCCTGGCCCACGACCCAGAAGTCGTGGCCTTGAAGATGCCACGCGTGCGGTACGGCGACGGGCAGCAGAGCCAGGTACGTGTCGTTGATTGCCATGTTGGACTGCTGGGTCGTGACCATCGAGTTTTGGAACACGATCAGAACGGAACTGCGCGGAAAAGCGGAACGGCGGATCACAGCGGGATTGCGGGACTGGTGACGGGATGGTTGACCGATATTCGCAGGCTGCGAGGATCTCCAAGTCGCGAAGGAGGATGGACGGAAAAGAGGCGTGTCAATGCATGGGGGAGTCGAGATGAGCAAGGAGGCGGGACGCATGACTCTTTCAGCTGCCCATCAGGTGAGACGCCGGCCCTGGTTTTGATCGACACTGGGCGTTCTGGAAATCTTACAGCAACAGCAAGATAAACGAGAAGAAAGCTGATGTAACATTCTTCAATCTAGAACCAGCTTTCGGTCGGTGCTCCAGAAGCGAGCTCCGTTCCGTAGCACGACATTCCGCTCTCGTTTCCGTTGATGCGGTAGACCGGCAATCCTTGCGCGGTCTCGACCAAGAGCGAAGTCTCGTCTCCCGGACGGTAAGTGTCGTGTGCAGTGTTGTCGATCCCGTCTGAGACGTTGTAGTACTCAGCTATCAGAAGAGGCGTAACGGGCTCCCTTCCCTCGATCCCGTTCAATGCAAACCTGCGGGTTAGCATGAGGAGGAGGGATCAGCAGGAGTCGGTACGCTCACCTTGAGAAGAACAGAAAAGGAGCGTTTGAGAATTTCAAGAGATCGGTGGCATCCTGATCCTCATCCGAGAGCGCAACGCTCACTTTCAAAGCAGATTCCAACACGGTCCAGGACGAAAGGTTTGGGGACTGAAATAATTCACACAGGAGAAGGATTACACACTTGCATGACGAGGTGGCATAACCCGCTGCCAACATACAAAAATAAGCCATCTCAAAGCAATCAAAGCAGTCATATGCGCCTGATAGAAGGTAGCCAGGACGCAGCAAGCCTAGGTTACTTTAGCTCGAAGCAGAAGAATATGCGGACCAACTTTAAAAGTCGATACTCCCAGTCCGGTGATCTCTATCCGTGCACAACGAAAGCAAAGACAGAATAAGCAAAAAGGCTTTGATTAACAGCACTTCGTCAGAACCAAGAATCAACCACATTGATGGGCGATCACATCACAACCCACGAAAGAATAAGTGAAAACTAAAATCAGAGATTCAAAAGCCAGGGACAGATAGCGCGATCGGACGTCCGTACACGGGATGGCTGTCCGGGTCCGCTCCCAGGCTGGTCAGGATGGTGATGTTGCGCGTGGGCGGCCACGTCAGCGGCGTGACGTAATCCTTGTTCATGGTGATGTTCTTCTGGAAGGCGATGGAGGCGTTGACAGAGGGATCCCCGAAGGAGATCCCCTGCGACTGCAGGCTGCTGGGCGGGGGTGCGTTTTGGGCGACCGCGTTGGCGGAGCTGGAGTAGAGGAGGGTGCCCGTCAGGTGGGGGCCTGGAAAAAGGAAACGCGGATATCGTCAGAACTTCAAAAAAATAGTGATTAGGTGTTTGTTGTATACGGATATCGTCAGAACTTCAAAAGAATCAGTAATTAGGTGTTTGTTGTATGAGGGCTTTGAAGCCCAGCACGAGCGTGCCCTTACAAGGATCACCGAGGACAGTGCGATCGCTGTGGCACGGCAAACGGTGTCCTCTGCAAAGCAAGCTACACACGAACTGGTTGCTTTGCTTTCTCAACCCAAGCTCAAAATCGGTGCCTGACCAGCAGTAATCAACCAGCTCGATGCATAAGATGGGCACCCAACCGGACTCAAGCCTGTTCAACGTGACTCTTAAGGCAATTTAGCGGAACCAGCGGAAGGTGTGAGTTTAAGACAATTCTGCAGCTGAAATCAAGTCGAATTTCCGGAACAAAAAGTGGAAGTACGCGGGGACAAAAATAAAAGAAAGGATTTGTGTGTCTGGGGGTGACGCTAAGATTCTGCCGGAGGGCGACCAGCAGGCTCACACTGGCCCGTCCCGGTCGCCTGCATGCAGTAGCCGGGCGTCTCCCACTTGCTCCGCACGCTGACGTAATACGCGTTGGGCGCTTGATTGGTCGTGAACAGCACCGAGTACGACTGCCCCGAGGCAATCTCCAGCACGCTGACGTTGCGCGGCTCTGCGCACGGGCAAGCATGACGTCAGCAAAGTGCGATGAATGCTCACCTATGTCGTCCTTATGCTGTGAAGGCTGTGCTTAGCGCTGCAAGACTCCGTGTCGTCTTCTGTTGCTTGAAAAGTCATGTCGCTTTCTTGAGGAAGAAAGTGACGACTTCTGTACTACAAAAGGGGATCGGACAGGAATATAAGCGCCCAACACACTGTTTCATTGTTTCGCGCTGTTTTTGCTGAACCAAGACCACAAGCAAGATTCTCTAGCCCCGGGCCGGTAATTCCACGCGCAGCGGGAATCTTATAGACGTACCTGTGTATCCCCCGTCGGCCTGGACGATCGTCAGCGTGTGGTTTTCAATGGAGAAGAGCATGTAAGACTGCGCAGCGCCGCTAAGGATCCGTGCGCGGTACGTCGTGTTTGGCTGCAACAGCACGCGCATCATAGTGGGTTGTGATTTTTTTTGTTGGACTTCTACAGCGGGTCTCAAGGAAGCCAACATTAACCGAAAAGCCAACGTTAATCGAGAACCCAACGTTAACCGGAAAGCCAGATATTTCGCCCTTCTAGATCTCTTGTACGCTGAGGCATCCGAATCTTTGAGCCCTGATCGTGGAAGAGTTTGGGTCGCGCAGCAGTAGCAGATTGATAAGTTGAACTTCGTCATGTCAAAAGTCGGAAGCAAAGGTCCCGAAGGGCCCTGCAGTCTCTGGTGACGGTCAAAGAGATTCGCCGCAGAACGGTTGATCTGAAAGCAGCGAAAAGCTCATAACGCGTGATCCAATCACTGGACCCGTCAATGGCAAGGCATGTTTATCCTCCGTTCATTCGCGAAAGCGAGATTCGTCTTCTGCCTTACGCTGCTCTACAGAATTATCCGACGGGCGACGTGGAATTCGCCGCAACTCCACGCCAGCGAATATTGGCAACGTCAGCGTGACGTCAGACCCCTCACCTGCACCTTGAGCACGGTCGGCCCGCAGTCGGCGCTCGACACGTTGCACGCTTTGTACGGATCTAGGTCGCCGTAGCCGCCGGTGCGTTCGATGGCGGGCGTGCAGTTGAACTGGCCGCGGCCGTTGAGCAGGAACGAGTTGGCGGGCGGGTTAGCGCCGTTGACGGCCAGGAAATAGTACCCGTAGTAGATTTCGTCCATGTGGTACCTGCGGGTTTGAGGCAGTCAGGGACAAATACTCTATTTGGCCCCTTTGAGGAGTCTGATCAATCTGAGGGCATTCTAAAGTTTGGTCGCGCCTGAGATCGATATCATTCCCCCAGCCCACTGTGGCGCAGACTCCCGGATCCCCTGGAGTTTGATATGCGAGTAGCTCAATTTCTGAGCGCTGCTTCGAAAAGAGTTTTTTCAAGGCTCCTTCGCTTAACGCAAAACTTAGAGTCTGCATAGGAAGCACCACCAAAGATGCAAAGGGTGCCATCTTTAAATCTTTGAAGGACTTTGAACGCTTCGAAGCCCGTGCATCAAGAGCAGTCAACTTCCAACATAGTCAGAGAAAGGTACGTCGTGATGTTCTGAGATCCCTACCAGTCGGCGAGAGTGATGTCCAGTTCTTGGTCGTACGCGAACGGCTCGGACTGTCCGAGAGGCGGGTCGACGATAAAGAGGCCCCACGCGCCGGCGGCGCGCTCCATGCCGAGATGCGCGTGGTACCTGCAATCCGCCCACATCAGAATACTTTGCCCGTACCCAAGACCTGATGCCTTCTGCCTGACTACTTTGGGGTGTCAAACTCTGCCTATGCATTTCGTCGAGGAAGTTTTCAGACAAGTGCTGGGCAAGTGCTTGTGATAAAAGCGGCAGGATGCCCTTAAGGATCTTGTAATACAAGCCTCACTTCATCTCTAGCCGTCCAGCTCGAGAAAAGAAGCGGCTATCATTAAATTCAGTACGGGTTTTGAAAGCTACTTGAATCACTGCCGCGTGTCATCACGGCTTTGCTTTAAATGCCACCAAAGAAAGAACTTGCAGGCTTCAAAGTATCCGCTTACCAGAATGTCCCCACTTGGTCGGGCACAGTAAAGTTGTAGAGGAACGTCTCCCCTGGTAGAATCGGGCACTGCAACGCCAATCGGGAAATATTCGCCACAGTGCGCGCTGATGTCCTTTGGAAGGGTCGCCACCAGACACTTATGAAGATCCTGATTTTTAAAGCCCTCAGTCGTGTCTATCAAGGTGTGAGGAGCGGTCAACCAAAAACACAAGAAAGTGCGAACAAGTTGTTTGCAATAACACGCCTTTTGTAGGGATAGAGAGCGAGCTGGCGACAATGACGAGTGGGCTGTTCCGATCAGTCACTGAAAAAAGTCTGCATAGCAACTCATTTCAAGGAAACCATCATTCACAGCCGGACACAGGAAGAAACTGCGCTGGCGTGTCGCGCTCGTTTAGAATGTGACTAGTAGAGGCTCACAGAATCGTTTTGCGACTTGCCTGCGTGATGAAAGCGGGCCCGTCCATCCAGGGAGTGCCCTTCTGCTTGATTCCGTGCCAGTGAATGGTCAGCGCCTGCGGGGGAGAACGTTTCACACACATCAAGTAAATATGGGGGTTACAGATGTTTGAATGCTGAGCAGCCCGTAGCTAAGGTGTGAGGTTTTCCCAAGCGTAGCTTGACCATGCGAATCTTTGTGCTTTGCCAGATGCTCAAACTCTGACACGTGGGCAGCTGCATTTAAGCTTCCTTAGAACCAGCTCAAGGGCCAGCAATGCCAATGCCGATCGTCTGAGTCTGATATCTTATGGGAAGCACCAGATATTGAAAGAATCTTGGACAGCTCTCCCGGACCAAGCCGTTTCAACCACAAAAGGGGTTTGGGCCCTCACCTCACCTCACCTCACTGGGCATTCCATTTGTGACGTGGGCAAGAACTGTGTCGCCAGATCTGATGCGGATTGTGGGGCCAGGGAAGAGCCCATTCACAGTAAGCGTACGGCGCTCCAGGCAGTCAGGGGACCGAATCTGCGTTTGTGAACAGTAGAAGATCAGTGCAGAGCTACGGCAGGAAACATGGGAACCTGATCTCATGGAAAATAGAGACATTGCGAGTTGACTGAAGTGGTCATGTTCCAGGCTCTAAGTTTCTGCGACAGTCGGCTTGAGGAAGAACAACCAAAGAATTCTGTCTATCAAAGCCGTTGAGAAGTTCGCTCAGATTTGGGTCGATTCACTGTTCGAACGGTGCCAGATTCACAACCAGACTTCAACATGAGAAAGTGAAGCCACCACTAGTTGGTAATGTTGAAAGCATGAACGTACAGCTTTCAGTTTGGGGCGTATGAGTCCCTTCGTTAAAGCATTATCATGTAACAGGTGCGGCGTTGTCAGCGGTGCAACTGTAAGGCTCATGGGAAACGCCAGCAGACGTGATCTGGCTTCCAGTGGTTGTGCTCAATATCTTCTGCATGGGCCTGGTCTAATTTGGGTTCGGCGCGAGACTGGACTTGTTGAACTTGGTTTCGAGCTGCCCACTAGAGTTCTCAGCATGCAAGAACAACTGACAAGTATTCAGCTCGATTAGCTGCTCGAAGAAGCTGACCACTGCTCACTTTTTCTCCAAACAATAAAAAAAACCTTGCAAAACTGACCTCGCTTTTCACTGTCAGGTTGTATGTCTGCACCTCCGCCCGCGCAAGCGGTGCGGCGGAGCTCAGGAGAGTCACGGCAAAGGCGACAGTCCACAACATACTGATAGGGCGGCTGGCCAGCCTCGGTGAAAACGACTTCAAAGCTCTCGTTGATGCAGATATTTTGGTGTCCACTGTGTAACAAGAAGCTCTGCGCTGGCGCCCACTTTACACCTTCAAAGCAGGTGAGGAGCTGGATGCAAAGAAGACCTCTTGCATAAGAGGTCTGAGTACAAGAGTAGCTGTGGCTAGCTGCAAACGTGAGTCCAGCTGCCTTAGCAGCGGCTCTATTTCCGTTGGTGTGGTCGTCAAATGCTCCGTAGGACGTGAGCAGCGCGGAATTGAATTTAGTAACTACGTCTGCAAGGTGCTCTGACGACGACTCGGAAGTCTGCAGACCGCTTGCACAGTTGACCCTGCCACTAGTAGAACCAATGCAGCACCTTACAAGGCTGTCACGCATGATGCAATGTGTTCCTTCCGACCGAGTCCGCTTGCTGCTGCGTGTGCTCACTGCTCATGAGCAGTGCAGCGCGACCAGGGATATGCTGTACTCGTTTCCGTCTGTACATTGTGGTACCACACTACCACAGTAGATAATACCGTAGGTACTGCCTGTTTGAATTGTAATTGCACAGGCATCATCTAGGTACCTAGTACCGGTATGAACAGTACACTCTGAGACTGAAAGCAATCGTTTGCCGTCGCTTGTTCGGTACGGTGATTGTTAAACTCGGAATCTCTGGATCGGACGGTGGGAAGGCATGTGCCATGAGCAAGCTGCTGACATCACAGCGGGCCCCGGGCACTTACGAAGGTGCAAGGAAGGTGGGTGACTGAGCTCAGCTCAGCGCCGAGCGTAGCCTGCGCGGCGCCGCGCGCGCGGCCCCGCCCGCGGCGCGACGACTTCGACCCTGGCCGGCTGCGCGCAGATTCCGAGCTCGATCTACTGTGATTGTACTACAGTAGAGCCCGTAGTAAGATCCCGCTCAGATTTTGAAGGAAAACGGAGACAACGCCACGTCGTCGATCTAGAAAGCTTGTTTACTCGGCTCAAACAGCGGGCAAACAGCCAAGTACGAGTTTCGGAAACCTTGATAACTTGCTCCTTGATTCAGTTGATTGCGACAGAAATATTACCCGACAGCTCGTAAATATGCCCCGTATACAGTAGTTCGACTGAGATTGCACTCACTCAAGCGACTGATACCAAGATACCAAGGAGTGACGTTTTTCGAATCACCCAGAACGTATAAATCCTGCGGCTCTCCGAACATGGAGCGGAACTTCGTTCCGGAAGTATCGCCCGCAATTTGATTCTTATTTAGCGAAAGTATTCCGAGGGTTACCCGACGTCGGTGCTGGGCTGTTTTCTTACCTCGGCGACTGCATGATGGCGTTTTCCGTTCACTCCTCATCGTGTCCTCCAAGCTTCAGTGGACACACAAATCATCAGCCGGAAACGCACGTCGGGCCAGATCGCCAAATGGGCGGGATTCGGGTCACGTCGCGGATTTGAGCGGAACCTGACGTCCGCGAGTCAGGTTTTGCGTTCTGGTTATAGGCCGCCGTTAGAGTCGCCGGTAAAATATGATGTAGCTTAGATCTGGCTAATTAGCTCATGACTGCGAGATAGCCTCTGTCCGAAGTAGGTCCGAAGCAGATCCGAAGTAGTATGCGGTTCGGATCGAGTTCGGACAGGTCGGACTCACTTTGGACACGTTTCAGACTGGCGCAAGGTGATGGAAGCATCTTCGGACCGAGTTCGGATCATCTTCGGATCAGATTCGGACTTGGTTTGGAAACAGAACGTTGTCCGATAGACACTTTTAGCCCGGCTTCGCACATGATGTTTAGGTTGTCTGACCCTGGTCCGAATCAAGTCCATATCGAGTCCAAATTGTGTTCGATGCTGATCTGAATTCGTAATCCGTTGGAAGCTATCTTCACGCAGTTCAGCTAAACGTGCCGAGTCTGTCAACATAACACGACTCAATCCTATTCAACCCTACCTGCGCAGGACTGCGGCGTGGTCCTTATCGTTGAAAGTACTGAACCAAACTGCTCTTTTCAGTCGGTAATTGGTTCCAGCGGGGTTCCAGAGTTGCTCAGACTCTACTTTCGAAGGCGGCCTGTCTTTCAGAGACAGAAACCTCTGCATCGCTTGCGCTTTCAGTCTCATTGTCCGGGACTGCTATTTTTTACCCCCTCTTTCTCTGCCCTCCTTGCTTCGCAGCTTTGCTAGGCGGTTTCTTGGTCACGATCTTCGGTTCGCGAGGCCCTACACCGGCTTTTGGCTCGAGAGATAGAAGCCTCTACCAGGATCCGGGTTGAGGCCCCATCAACGGGCGGCTTGTTTGGAAGCAATGTCCTCGTATTTTTGTACTGGGGCCAATACAAGCTTCGAAGTTACATCAAGTCCATTCAAGAAGTCAAAAAAAACAACGCTTCAACATTCTAGTTCCTTGAAGCTGAATCAGACAGTCCGACTACTGACTCTCATTCAACGCCACTCAGGACATTGACTCCATATTCTCGGTTATGAGACTGGCGTTGCCAGTGTTGAATCTAATCACAAGTCTTTAGTCAAGAGCACCAATGCTTCCTGTCTCACGAATACTGAATTGGCTACCATATATTCGGCTGAAAGTATAACCAGTCCTTCTTTGTTATCTCAAGATTCTAAGAGCCGTTTCCATTTGCAGCATCAGAACACTTCGTAATCAGGCAAAGGTATTGCGCACACGCAAAAATGTCACGTACCTCCGAAAAGTCAAGGTCCGTTGGTCTGGCAAACTCCCATGATGGCGCCCCCTCCGTATCGTCGTACTCAAGGGTGCCCTTCAGCGCTTCTTCGAACAGCCACTGCGAACAAGAGACTTTGCTCGGTGTCAGGCTGCTAACGGTAAGTAGAATTTCGGATTGCCAACGGCCGAGAACCTTAAACCTGTGCAACAGGCGTTTCGATGCGTGAGCTGACGGCTCAAGGACAATGTCCTGCCATCTCACATAGAACTTGAGCCAACACAGCTACATGGTTGACCGTCTAGGGTATACATATGCGTAGCTGTTTGTCTATCCATGCCATATATAAGGAGCGTCACATGTGTATCGGTCAAATGAAAATGAAATTTGGATGACATCAACCCCAGAATGCGCGCAAGACGTTTGACTTAACGTATCTTGTACGTACACTAGCTTGATATGGACTAGTGCACCATCTGCACTGCAACGACATGGCACCTTATTTCGGTGATTCCCTTCCTAGTTTCAAGTGTATGTACAGTAAAACCTGACTCTAGCTAGCTAGACATCTTGTGCGCTAGCTAGCTCTGATACACCATTTGACGATCGAGCATTGAGAAGACATGTATCGCCTCTTGACGCAATCAACTCCGGCTACCTGAGAGTATGATGCCTACTAGGCCGCTGCCTTAAAAACGACAACATTGCTCCCAAGGAGCCACGCGACTCCGCAAACAGCAAAACGTATTCGCTAACCCTAACCGGTTTCAAAGAGATTTTCATGCCGGCTCCCCCCGCTTTCCGCGGCCGTATACGTGACCAACGTGGCGGCCGTGCGGCACAGGTCGAACACCAGTCGCCAACATTTGCGCGCGAACAGGTCACCGCCAGGCGCGCGCGCCACCAGTTCTTGCGCGAGCAGGCTGAGGTCCGCGGCGGCCCGGGCGGTCAGATGGGCGACCGCTTGGCTGTGGCCGCAGTCCTGCTCGCGCATGCAGACAGCGACGGCGTTGAGCCGGGCTTGGCTGAGGTCAGCCTGGTACGTCCTGCGACACGATTTTGGGGCCCCTTAAGCTGGCACCCAAGATGTTGTTTTCGACGGAGAGGCCAATAGCTCCCACAGAGGCTGGACAGTATGGTATATCGTCGACTTCCGCAGATTTCGCATCTAGCGACTTGCAAACTGGCCGTGCAACATCTTGTGTGCGAGTGCGCCCGAGATTGTCCTCTTGGGAATCAGCTAAAGCGTCTTTCTATGTTCAATGATCGTTCGAAGCCTAACGCACAATCGGTCAATTTCCAAAGGTGGGGGGGAAGTTTGTGAATTAGCGACGCTCCGTCTCAGCTTTGTAAGAGTATAAAGCAGCCGCCAAAAGGCGCAGTAAGAAGGAGCAGTCCACGCTATGGATCTTACGTCAGAGATGTCACAGTGCCACTAAAAACACACTCAGATTCGAGACCCGGTTTCAAGCTTACAATCAGCCACCAACATTGACAAGGGAAGCTGCCAGGCAGAGTGACGGGGTGCTAAACTCTGCTCCTCCGCATTCAAAAGAGAAGATCAGCGCCGTTCTTTCCATCGGCGCTGAATTCCGAGCCCCGACTGTCAAATCAGAGGAGTCAGCGCCGTTTGCGCGTTGCAAAAGCGAGTCAAGCCTCAGACCAGAATCGAGACGTCCGGTCCGCGAACGCACCTGAGATCGCTCGTGATCTGTACGACGTTCGCCGCCAGCTCGAGCCCCCTCCCCGTCTCGCCAAAGAGCGCATTCACTCCGTCCGCAGTCGGCTCCCACCGTCCGGCGTCCGCGAGGCTCTGCCCGACCGCGCAGAACGCGAGCGCGAGGCTCACCCGCCACCCGGCCTCGTCGCGCGCGTACTCCAGGAATTTCTCCACCGACCCGGATGATCCCCCGGCCGCCATCGCGTCGAAGCGCGCCACGTGGCCGTCCATCGCGCGCTCCGCGAGGTCCGCCACGCGGTGGCGCGCGCGCTCCCCCGCGGCCGCGAGGCCGCGCGCGGCCGCGAGCAGCGGGCCGCGGTTGTGCCAGAAGCTGCCCCAGCGCGCGGCGAGGCCCATGGGCGTGAAGCAGACTTCGTTGAAAACCGGGTCGCCTTCGAATTCGATCCGTTCGACGGGGCCCGTTTCTAAGCCCTCCATTTCCGTGCAGAGCGCGTCGACCGCGGCGGGCCACGATATTGGGGGGGTTTCGAGCTCCGGGAATGACACCTGGCGATAAGCCCAGCCGCGGCGCGGTGGGGGAAGGTCTACACCCCCCGACTTATGGAGGCCCTGGTACGCGCGGAACGTCTCCGGGCCATACGCGGCTTCGTCCTGTGCCAGGTTTTCGAATTGAGATTAGCTTGATGATCAGCCGTTCATTATTAAGAGCGCGGCAAAAGCGTCAGGCAGAATGACACGTCGGATTCCTACAACAAAGGAAAACTCTGGAACGTCGGGAGCGGTTCAACTGCTTTCTCGCCGAGCTGCAAAATAATAATTGAGACTCATGCTTCAATGCTGTCCGATTCCAAACGCACTCGCGAGTGGAGAGGCCCACTTTGAGGTCCTCCATCAGGAAGCACATGGTGCGGCACTGGTCTTGCATGGCGGGCGATAATTTGGACAGCAGCCACGGCCCGCTCTCCCCCCGGTAGACCCGTTGACCGTCATGGCACGCGAAGTAGAGGTCCGCGGGGCTGGCGCGCCCCAACGAGTGGCGCACAAACGCAGTCCAGAGCGCGCCCTTGGTCAGCATCATCCTGCGTGCGCGCGGAAAAGCGACGGCGGTTCGACGATCTGTCACTGAAGAAAGACTATTGGCCCTTACTTCGAAAATTCTCGACTTTAGACGGTGGGCAAAGCGACCGGGACCTTAATGAAGCAGTTTACCGAGCATGCCAGGACTTTATAGATTCGGATTGTTTGAACACTATTTCAAAAAACGTGTGTCAACCTACCGACTAAATCTGTTAGGTCCGGAGTAAGGTTTCTGCTCTGCCCGTCCGGAACCGCAGATCCCTAAAAGGGGGGAAGATGCTCTTAGGCCCTGCGGTTCCACTCAATGTTTCTCAGTACACAAAAGGGAATCGACGAGACTTAGAATTGCATTGCAGGACGCAGATGGGGCCGGCAGACTCACCGTGTGTGCCGGTCTCCCAAACCGGGTAGCGCATTACATGCCAGGTAGTGCAGCTCGGCAACCCGGGGAATGATCGCCGGGCCTGCGTAGGTCGCCGTCCAGATGCGCAGCCGCCGGAGTTCTTCCTTATACGCCTCTCGGAACGGTCGGAACTGCGGCCGCCGGACTTCCGATGGGCTCAGGTCCGCCCAGAGGCGGTGGAGTTTTGGGGTTTGCGACAGGGTTTCTGTAGAACGGGGCGGCTTGTAGAATTAGTTTGAAGGCTGGGCACGTCAAAAGGGGTTTGGCTGCTGACCACAGTTCCGTCAATCTGCAATACATACAGGCGATTGCCTGTTGGGGGACTGCTTTACGCGCTTTGGAAAAGCAGACAGCTGTGCTAAGTAACGTGGGGACTTTACAAATCCTGGACGGTCTTAGCTGCCAAAGACGGCACGGTCAAAAGTCAGGTCAGATGAGTAAAAAATACGGCTGTTTGCAGATTCTCTAAGTGAGCCAGCTTGTGGCACAGATGCAATGAATACTGCTTCGGAATCTTCAATGATCCAGCGACTCGTCACATGGTAGGATCAAAGCAGCGATCATATGCCTTTAAAAATCTTGCACATGAGGACCGCAGACCTTTTGGCTGATCAGCTTAGAGGGAAGGTGATCAGACGCCATCCGCTGATGAAGGTTTCCCGTGCATTCGGGGCGAGGGCTGTAAACACCCTTGCTCGTGGTTCTCTCAAGGTTATTGAGACGCCTACCATCAGATACTCCTTCCTCTGCTGGATTGAAGAGAAAAAACGATCAAACAACAGATGAAATAGATGAGGACGGAGGATGAGACCTCACGCTTACCTGCCGCACGCCTACCATCGAAAGAAGTCCCTCTCTCAGGCTCCTCCCCCGGTACAGGGTCCGCCTCCAAGAGCCACTCGAAGCCGGCAACGACAGGGTCTCCCGAAACCCAGTCCTCCAAACCCTTCTCAGCCGCTAACCCCACAGAAACGTCAGGGTGGCTGCCCCGAGCCTTTTGTGGGTCGTAAAGCGGTAGCCCCACATCGAGGTCCGTGATCGAAGTCGCGAGCGCCACCTGGCAGCTCGCCAGCTCGATCGCCAGCGCCAGTGACGTCACTTCTTCCGCAGGCTCCGAAGAATTGCCGGATCCGCCCTCAGGCGTCGAGCTCGCCGGCTCAGCTGACATGCCATCGAGAGTATTGGAGCCAGACGCGCCAGCTGCACGCTTTCGCCGCTCTACGTTCTTGTCAAAGAGGGGGGCTTCCTGCTCGCTTGCAATTACCCCCCTGTTTCGCTCAGATCCGCTTCTTTGTGGCGCTGGCTTCCGTGGGGCATACGAGCCGGGAAGAGGACCTACTCCAAGCGGCGCCTCGTCAGTCTCAATCTGCTCTGCCCTGGACGGAACCCCCCCGGCCTCAGCCCCAATCGCAGAGCCTGATCCCGATACTGACCCCCCTGTCCCCATCCAGCTTTCCTGGGAGGAAGCCCCCCCATGCTCCGAAGGGGGGTCTTGAAACTGAGCATTCGCACCCCCCCCGGCAGGCGCCTGCTCCACAGGCACCCCCCTGGGGCGGCGGAACAGTTCACGTATGATCGCTGCTGCCTGCACTTTGGTCGCCCCCGTGTCACGGGAGGATCCCTCAACAACGTCAATCTTCGCAGGCTGCGGTGCAACCGGGGCCACCTCGAGCGGCCGCGGTTTCGGGCGGCCCCCCCACCCCCAGCTCTCCTTGTATGCAAGCTGTATCTCCTCTGTCGTCAGCACCAACGGCTCCCTTCTTCCGGGGTTCGGCAGGACGGTCGCGAGCGAGTGGGGGGGTGAAGGCGATGCGTCCCCCGCCACATCTTTGCCCCCCACTGAGGCTCTATCCCCCACACTCGATATGCTGCTGAAAGCTCCAAGGAAGATCCCACTCGGCGTCGATTGAGGGGGCTGACCTGCTGAGCGCCCTGTTTGCATCTTGGCGGGGGGAAGGTCCGCTGCATCAGCTGGGAAATCACCACCCCCCTGCTCAGCGAAAAGGAGCGCGCCTTCCTGCTCCGGCCATTCTTGGGGGGCAACATTGAGGAACTGATCCTCCCAGGGGATTTGGCCCTGTTCCGCAAGGGGTGAGCTTAGATCGGCGCCTGTCAAACGATCCCGCTTCCTCGCACTGCACCCCTCGCTGGCTGCGGACTCGCCACTAAACGCCAGCTGTGCGGTTGGGAGTGCGCGGCTCCAGGTGAATGCATCTTCCTGCTCCGACATCTTGGACTCGCCTGGCTCAAGTCTCAGGGGCCTAGTAGTAGCATTTCTAGTGGGGCTTTCTGACGTAAGTGGTTGGGGTATATGTTAAGTAGCTCCAGAGACGGGTGAAAACATCTGATTCAGATGGATGCCCTCTAGTAGGGCATCCATCATTTGCAGCCACTGTGATGCCCCTTGAAGTTGTTGTTCAGATGCAGGCAGCTGAATGCAGGCCTTTTTCACATTACATTGTGATTGAGCTGCAATGCAGCAATGTCATCAAAGCCTTACGCAAATTGCAGAGCCTGCAGAGGCTCACCACAAGGAGTGAAGTAAGAAGCTGACGCTGGCTATAGTATAGCGTGTCCAGTATTGGGAGCCGTAAGCTGACTTATCTCTCGAACTAAGTTGCTCCTGTTCTGCTATGGTCCATTCTGAGGGGACAATTACACGAGGCACAAAAGCGAATGCATGTTTCAGCTACTATTCAGAGCGTCTTTTGGCCTTCCTGCCGCCGGGCAGCTTTGCCACGCCCAGTGCAAGCGAAAAGCGTGCGAATCTCGAAATCATTTTGAAGTTCCTTCCACGCATCCGCTGCGCTGACGTCTGCGCTCAACTCTACCTACTAGGCCCCAGCTGGGGTAGGTTTTCCCAGTTTCTGACCTGACCAGTGACGTTGTCATGATGTCCGCGCCGCGCGCGCGAATCCGCCCGGACTGGGCGCATTTCCGGGTTCCGAGTCGGAGGGGGATCCCTCCGAGGTCAACTTTGACCAGCGGGGCCGGTATTATCTCAGCTGCTCGGCACAGACGGTGGATACCTATTGACCTATTGACCGTACTTCCACGTCCGATAACTTGTGGGCAGTCCGAATATGCAATGATTTGCTCGACATTTAGGACACCCTAGGCACTCCGGTAGTCAGCAATGCGCACGCTTCCAGCGGCTGAATTCTTGCTGCCAACTGCCGCAGTACATGCATGTGCGGCTTTCCGAAGCAGCTCAAACTGCTCAGTTGCGACTAGCTGGCAGAACAAGTTCTGCAGCTGCGGTCAACATTGATGATCAGGGGTCTTTGATCCGGTACGGCTGCAATGCTGGGGCGGTAATATTTACGTCTTTAGTCTAGTGATGTCGAAGTGCTGCAGACAGCATGTCAGCTCAGTCTCTTACGCATGCCGTTCCTTATGTCCGGCTGCGGATCATGACTGGTTCACTGGTTTGACTGGCCGAAGCTTGTAGAAACCTGCACAGGCAAGGCCATCTGGGCTTTGCAGCCGTTCTCGGTACAGCCAGCTTGACGTGTCGTCATTCAGTATCTGGTAGCAGACTCAGTCAGTGAATATTGCGACTGACACTTTTGGGAAGACTCACCTGGCGCTCTCTACTATATATACCCGGTCCCTGGACTTCCACTCTCCACTGTCTCCAATTGATCAGAGCTCCTCCACTTCTCTTGCTCCTCAGTTTCTCAGCAGTACGCAACACCAGCTGCCTCTGCCCTCTTAGCCCATCCCTCTCGATATTTTGCCACAGCCCGCTTTCAAGCTCAGTTTCTTAAACGTTTCTTATTCAGAGTGTACGTCAGCTCTACGTATACGTCACAATGGCTGGTGCCATGAAGCGCTCCGCCGCCCCCGCTATTGCGGCAATCGTTCTGCTGATGGCTTCCGGGTTTGCCTCCGCCGTTCCTGACTCGACTCTCTGCCCCTTCGAGCTTGGCTACAACCCCAACTTCAATGCGGATGGGAGCGCGCTGTTCTGCACCAAAGGTAGGAGATAGGCTTTCGTTATAGTATTGTCAACTTACTGTGGCCTGTGATTGAAGGGGGTTTAATCAGTGTGTTAGAAGCGGTCCATTGCGCCGTGGTATCAATCTTGGGTACTTCCAATTGCAGTGTTGCAAAGAATTGGTTCTCTGTTTCCTAAGCTTGTTACTCGGCTGGGGTGAAAGAGGTACTGGTAGGCCCAAAGAGACATGGCCGGAAGGCTCTCAACAAGACCGAGAATTTGTGAAGAAAGTGAAGAAAGTCTGTGAAGAAAGTCAACTCGGCGAGATGAGTTGACTTTCAGCAGCTCCCAATAGCGCACAACCCTGGGAAGTTTTTTGGATCATTCAGAGCTGTAGCCAAAGTTTCTCGTCAACATGCTCAAGTGAATAACCCACGGAAGCCAGGTTTCAGAACTCTTCGAACCAAATTTCTTCAGAGCCATACGAAAATTCAGCGAGTCAATCTGTGGCCCATCTTACCATTTGCCCCCACTTACCTCGCCCAATATCTGAACGACACGTGTCCTTCAATTACAGGCCAGGAGACGTTCCAGGTGGACGAGGCCGGGATTCTTGCGCGCTCTCTGCGCGGCATCGGCAACAGCCTCCGGTCGCTGTTGGGCGGAATTGCGGACGGCGACGCGACGGTCTTCGGACGCTTCGTGGAGGCTACCGCGTCCATCGCGCTGCAGGACGGTCCGCATTCCATCTCGGACACGGCCGCGATCGCGCAGTTCGTCGCGGACGTCCTAGTGTTCCCCTCTGGGGCGGACAAGTCTGCCCTCTTCCAGGTACGAGGACAAAGCCGAAATGTAGAAATGATTGCAGAGTTTGATCTTACAGGCTTGAGAAACCGGTGCGTGACTGCAACCAAGTCTCATCGCTCATTTGAGAGAGGCTTCCTTGATAAAGATTAGCATGACAATCCTTGTTTGCACACGTACTGGCTTAAAGGCTTCCTTCGTTGACAAGCTTGCTGACACCTGAACTTCCACCTATACCGCTAGGTTGAGAGGATTGAGTGATCTGCAAGAAGACCTGGGCAGCTCCGATTAATTCTTAATCCGTTTTGTTAATGGGTGCTTTGACGTCATATCGGTGGTTTTCTGCACCGATACAAGCTTTCGTTGCGAACTTACATTTCGATGAAACACTTTTATCCACGTTTATTGCACCTTTCTCCAAAAGTGAACTACTACTTGTCACTTTCAAAAAAGGCGACAAGGAAAAGGTTGACTCTTTCGGAATTCATGGCGCCCATTCGTCTCGTGGCTTAGGCTTCCGTCTTCACTTTGAAATCTTTCCGCCATGCGGCCTTCAACTGAAACCGAATCAGAAGGCAGACTCGTTGTCAACTGAATACCGTAGCCGGCAGCTCTGAGTGAGCGTTAACGACTCAGCCACGTGTCAACTCTTGCATCATTTCAAGATTCTCAAAACGATCCCCCCTTGCTTTTCCAGATCTCCCAGTACCACTTTTTGGACAACAACGACCCCCGCGTGGCGAGCGTGCACATTACGGTGTACACCGCAAAGTACACTCTGAACGCTGACTCCATCTGGCGCTTCAACCTCGTCAACGGCGCGCGCGTTTGGCAGCTGCAGCAGACCTCCAACCTGGTCCTCGTGCCAGTTTAAACCACCCTGTTCAACGGTGTAATCTACCTTAATCACTAGGGACGGCTCGCGAGCTTGCTTGGTTCGGAGTATTAGTATTACGGAGGAGAGAGGGAGCATCTTGCCGTCGCTTCTTGAGGGGATTCAGAGCAGTTCGAACATTTATGCGGATTGCAAACATAAGCAGTTATGCGAGCAAACCCTGACTACTGATGTCCGCGTGCTGACTAAAGATAGACTTTTTCGTCGCGAACTTACTCAATAGCTAGCTATAGCTCTCCGGATCAGGGTGGCCCGCTGTTCAAAAGTACTAGTCGCTCAAGTTCTTTTATATACAATACTATACCGTCAGACAATGACATAAGTTCATCTTTATCAAGCTCAACCGTCGTTATTTACACGCGCGGCCCACAGGTACACACGTGCACGATGTTGGTATGCATGTATACCCACCTTTGGCCCGGATATATAGCGAAAACCTCCATTGTGCATCATGGCATGTATATATTTGAAGACTTTGCGTCACCGACGGTCCGTAAGTGCAGATTTCAGGAGGCAGCGGCGGTAATCAAGACCAGCATCATGCGCGTGATCATAGAATCCTTACCATGCCCGGCCATGGATATTCGAGAAACGCATTTCTCGCCAAGGCAGAATTTGGTGCCTACGCGCTTTCAAATAAATGCAGGCTTTCTAAGTTGACGGTAAGATCTTATAGAATGGTACGTAGGAGGCAGCCCTGCAAGCTTTTGCTTTATAAATGATGATGCTGCAAACGTTGCTTTAGACAATGACAGTCACGTCTAGGAAATTGTCTACCAGACATGCAAAGTCGGCCGCCGGGTCAGACTGATTGCGCTTTCCAAAGTACAGTGGAAGATGGAGATACATGGATCTGGATCATCACAATGACGACGGATCGAAAACTGCCCGTGGACGGCAACACGTAACATGAATCAAGTCAGGGACTACTGATCGTCTCAGCTTAAACCTGCGTCAGTTAAATTTGCGAACCGTCGAGGGGTCCTGAAAACGGGCAGGTTGTGTTTAAAGCAGACAATACCAAACGGTTGTCTCGATCCTGTGTTTTTGTAACCCCTCAACCAAACTCTTGCACTTTTAGCGTCGCACAGAACATAAGTTATGACCTCTCTGGCGCCGCAGACTGAGCTTCTTTTCGGCACTCCGCCTTGTGCCCCGTTTCCAGTGCCTCGCCTGGTTGAGCGAACAGGATAGAGTCAGTGACACACATGGAGCTTTCTTCGTTGACTGCATGTAAGTCCAGATCTGGCTCGGCCGCAAATCCCCAATGTTGCTGGACTTTATGAAGCACTTATGAAGCACCAAAAAGGAGAAACAAGGACTTGTAAGACTAGTCGAAGATCATTCTGCTAGCGCAAGTCGACTGGTGATCATAACAGATGCCTGGCGTTGCTGTCAAAGAGGAAAAAAACAGCCCGATTTTTAGGAAGAATTGCAGTTGCTGCTTTGTTGCGAACATCCAGTAGTGAAGTATTCAAGGACCGCGTAAAGCGGATTTGTAAGTGCTTCCAGCTATTTTGGAACATCGGAGTGGCCAGTCAAGCAATGAATATTTCAGATAGTCAGCCTGTTTCTTGCCGCCTAGTCGGATGACGCGGTGTCGTGCAGTAGCTTAATCGCATCTCTTTCTGAAGTAGCTTCCCTGACGAGAAGAAATGTGGAGAAAAGATCCAGACACGACATGGAATCCGGGTCCGAGCAACTACAACCACTCGAAGCGTCAAGCTACAAGGCTAGAAGGATACGATGCTTCAGACCAGATCTGTGTTGCAAAAGGCCATGGCGTCAAGCGAACCAACCCTGAAAAGATTGAAAAACGGATAAGCGAAAAGCCTGAAAGTTTGTAAGACCTCACCTGACACTCCTTCGAAAAGCTTTACTGCACTTTCTGGCATCCGCTGCACCGCTTGCCGTCTTCCTAACGGTTTTCCCCATATCCTGCTCGCAATCCTGGGGACGAGGCAATGTGAATACAGTGAAAACAAGGTCCGACGCCGAGGATCTGGACGGGTTCCTTTAAATGGCACCCAACAGCCAATTGGCCTCACGTCTTTTATAGGGTAACGCTAAGTCTCGTAAGACTTTGGTCGACATGGTCGGAAGAGCGAGACTCGATCAACTGTTTTGAGGTTGGCAGGCAGCTTTTTCGATGTGCTTAGCAAAGGAGCGGGCAACTTGCGCATGGTCAGATCCGTCATATCATCAAATCTTTGTGCGAATACGAGGCGGCCCCAGAATGGAACGACTGAATTGCCCAAGAGAAGAAGCCAGCGCACGCATCAGCCAAAGAGAATGAACCGCTTTTGAAAATCCTCCGAGGAACTAGCAGGAGATTTGCAAAAGCCGGTTCGGGATTAGGCTACTCAGATGCCCAAAGACGCCCTTTTGACTCCATCATATCATCTGTGGAGCTTTTGGGCAAAGAATGGAGCGGAGGAAAAGTTGGTGTATCCGGGAACTAAACTAGACATGTAGTCCAGGAAGTGGATGCAAAGAAGGCATGAATCGAGCGAATACCCGAGTGCAAGTCCACTTACCGTCCGTCAACGCTTTCAATCCAAATATATGTGTGTCTGCAGCGGACCATGTAGCAGAGCGCTGGACGGCGCAGCGTGCCTGCCAAAGTGCTAACGTGATGTCAGCGGACGACCCTTGAATGAGTATCAGGGAAAAAGGGCGTCACTCAGAATTTAACTGCTGGCATGCATCTATTGCAGAACCTCCCCTTTTGCAAACCGTAAGATCACATTGCCTCTTTCTTTGCGGTTGCCATGATTATTGCTTGGTTGATTCTGTTATTCAAGCAAATAACAACGTGCAAACAGGCACTTAATCAGCGGCAGCAACCTGATTCTGCTTTAGCGCCAAGGAAAAAGGATAAGCTTTGAAAAAGCACGGTGTTGTTGATGGCATAATCAAAGGACTTAAAATCTAAGGCAATGTCCAGATTGCGCTCACCGAAGCTAATTTGCTGAAAAGTCTGTTATAGAAGTAGACAACCTTCTAACCGAAAACAAGGTGAATGATACACATCAAGAAGAAGGATTCGCTCTTACCGCTCTTTGAAGCAATGCCAGAGCTTGAGCTTTGGCTCATGCCTCGTTCGACGAGCGTTTCCGTGATATTCCCTGAAGAACACTGCACTGTTTGCAGTAATCTTGAAGGCCGTCTCTTTTATTGCTTTGAATTCCGAATGACTCTCTGGGCTTGTTTACGAGACATACCCTGCAGACCTTATCGATTCTTTCAATGTAATTCCCGGCTGCTCTAGCTCTTGCTTTCTGTTCTCTAGTAGCCTGCTTAGTGCAGGTCTTACACCAAGACGCCAGCTTATGTCTGTGACGTTTTCGAATGTAGAACTCGTCGGCGCGCTTCTGCTGCTCACACTTAGGGCACGTCGCTGTTTCAGCAAAAGGCACACTGGAGGTCTGTTCGGACCATCTATGATTATCGTCACTGGCACAGCTTCGGCAGTATGGTCTGAGACCATCCTTGCTTTGCGAGCGACGAGCAAAGTCACGCAACTCCTGGACTTGCTTGCACTGATGGCATGCCCTTGGTTGCGCCCATGCTTCAGTCACTGGCATAGCAAGGTGATACAGTTCACTGCCCTGCTCCTGCGCCCGGCGCTTGGCGAGGCACGCTCGGCACGCTCGGCACGAAAGGTGTCTCCCATCGGCACTCGTGACAAGCTTTTCGAAGTTCCGCAGGGGCTTCCGGACCCCGCAATCTGTGCACAGCTTCTTGTCAGTGAAGTCAATTGCAGATGCTGCTTTCCGGGTGTTCTCCCGTTCCTCCTGATCCTCAATCAGCTTCTCCGCATCACCGGCTTCTGCTCTTTCCAGCCACCCTCTCTGGCTCGCTGATGCAGTCACAACAGGCCTCTGGGAGGCTTTCTTACAAGCATCACTTTCAGCATGCCATTGACTTGACCCCGTTCCTTTACAAGACAAGACAGCAACTCCAGGCACCCCACGAAAGTCAGTCCGCGTGCCCTGCCTAAAAATGTCAACCAGTCCACACCTCTTGGAAATAGTGCTTGTAGGAGCAAGGCATTCCAGGCTGGTACTGTTAGCACAGCGCAGCTTTGACGAGTGCCCAGCCAGGCCCGTTCTGTCCAAGAAGGCGCCGCCTAATGACGCGACCACTTTCTGACAGGGACTCGCTCCAGAAAGCTGGGTATTCTTGAGGAAACTTGCTGTTGCCATTGCCTTGCTTGGGCCAGGTTGCCGCCTTGCGCTGTCCACTAAGGACCCCCTGCTCTGTCACGGTTCTGTGCCTTCTGCAGCTGTCTGTTGCTCTGCATTCTTGCACCGTCGATTCTGACCCTCCACCGGATTCCGCCGGACCGCTCCCGGCACCGGCGTGAACTCGAGGGATCCCTCGGCGGCGAAACGTCATCGTTGACTGCTAGCTCCGGTATTTTTTCAGCTGCTTGACTCCGAATGGCACAAGGACCATGTCGGCAACAGGATCATGTCGACGTCATGCGCTTGCATTCAATGCATTCGACCAATGACCCATTGAGCCCATCCGCTTGAAGGCTCGAATTGCATCATCATGACGCGGTTTCGCTGTCAGAGTCCGAGTACAATCTACTGAATAAGCGGTCAATGGCCTTCCAGCGACTGAATTCTCGCTGCCACTCCTGCAGTGTGAGCTTCCAACCCAGCTGCGCCAAGATTCCTCAGAGTAGACTCAACTGCAAGGCAAAGTTAATTCTGCAAGCACTCTTGACTTGAATTTCGGTCAACAGTTGGACACTTCTAGTAAGATCCGTGGATGCAATCCTGAGGCGGTAGCACGCCGCAAAGCTGGCCTTGACAGACGAGTTGACTCATCCCGTTCCACTCTTCTAGATGTACAGCGCTTCTACTGCATGAATACGTTTGGCAACAACGGCTGAATTGACTTGCTATCCTGGGAATCTGCAACTTGGCTGAGCTCTCACTGCGTGAGCCGTTCCCATTACAATCAAGACTTGTTGAGTCGTCTCAGCGCAGACCAGCAGACCAGTCAGTGATTGTGACTGGCAATATCCGGAGGACTCACTATATATACCCGGTCCCTGGCTTCTCATTTTCCAACACTTCAGAGCCAGACTTGATCCTTCGCCTCGCCACTGTCTCCTAAACTGCTCATCCTTCCGAAAGTACGCAACATCAACCCTGCCCTCCCAAGCCCCCACGTCTTCTCAAGCTCCCACAGCCTGCAACCATCTCTTTTAAAAGGGCCTCAATATTCAACGTCAGCTCTACGTCACAATGGCTGGTGCCATGAAGCTCGCTGCCGCCCCCGCAATTGCGGCTCTCGTCCTGCTGATGGCCTCCGGGTTTGCAGCAGCCGTCCCTGACTCAACTCTGTGCCCCTTCGAGCTGGGGTACAACCCCAACTTCAACGCGGATGGGAGCGCGCTGTTTTGCACCAAAGGTAGGGTGACAAGGTTTGGCTCCAGTACTGTCAACTTAATGTGGCCCCTGATCCGGGTTTTCAAGCATTCAAGCAATGTGTTAGGGCGGTGCAATGCTACGCAGGCAACTGGTAACAATTCCTGGTATATGCAATTGCAGTGGAGTGGCTCAGAATCGGGTTCATGATGTCTGATCATGAAAGCTGTAACTCGCTGGGAACCGAGGTACTCTCTGGGCCTTCAGAGACTTGGCCGAGAGGCTCTCAGCGAGACTTTGAAAGTCGACAGAATTTGAATTGCAGCTCTTGCTAATAACCCACAATTTTGTGAGGAGTTGGATTGCTCACAGCTCGAGCAAGAGACTCTGGTCAGTACGCCCAAGTGAATCACCTAGTAAGTAAGCCAGATTTCAGAAGTCTACGAATCAAAGTCCTCAGAGCAACACGAAAACTTCATCAGATTATCTGCAGCTCATCATACCAACTCTCATGCCCACGTATTTCGCTCACTGTCTGACGGACACGTGTCCATCCCCTACAGGCCAGGAGACGTTCCAGGTGGACGAGGCCGGCATCCTCGCGCGCTCCCTGCGCGGCATCGGCAACAGCCTCCGGTCGCTGTTGGGCGGAATTGCGGACGGCGACGCGACGGTCTTCGGACGCTTTGTGGAGCCGGCCGCGTCCATTGCGCTCCAGGACGGTCCGCACCCCATCTCGGACACGGCGGCAATCGCGCAGTTCGTTGCGGACGTCCTGGTGTTCCCCGCTGGGGCGGACAAGTCTGCCCTCTTCCAGGTAAGAGGACAAAGTTGAAATGTAGAAATGATTGCAGAGTTTGATCTTACAGGCTTGAGAAACCGGAGTCTCACCGCTCATTTGAGAGAGGCTTCCTTGATAAAGATTAGCATGACAATCCTTGTTTGCACACGTACTGGCTTAAAGGCTTCCTTCGTTGACAAGCTTGCTGACACCTTAACTTCCTCGTATACCGCTAGGTAGAGAGGATTGAGTGATCTGCAAAAAGACCTGGGCAGCTTCGATTAATTCTTAATCCGTTTTGCTAATGGGTGCTGTGACGTCATATCGGTGGTTTTCTGCACCGATACAAGCTTTCGTTGCGGATTTACATTTCGATAAAGCACTTCTATCCACGTTTTTTGCACCTTTCTCCAAAAGTGAACTACTACTGTCACTTTCAGAAAAGGCGACGAGAAAAAGGTTGACTCTTTCGGAAATCATGGCGCCCATTCTTCTCGTGGCTTAGGCTTCCGTCTTCACTTTGAACTCTTTCCTCCATGCGGCCTTCAAGTGCAACCGAGTCAGAAGGCAGACTCGTTGTCAACTGAATACCGTAGCCGGTAGCTCTGAGGAGCGTTGCGAATCCACCACGTGTCAACCCTTGCATCGTTACACGATCTCACACGCTTTCCCCCTGCTTCTTCCAGATCTCCCAGTACCACTTTTTGGACAACAACGACCCCCGCGTGGCGAGCGTGCACATCACGGTGTACACCGCAAAGTACACTCTGAACGCTGACTCGATCTGGCGCTTCAACCTCGTCAACGGCGCGCGCGTCTGGCAGCTGCAGCAGACTTCCAACCTGGTCCTCGTGCCAGTCTAAACCACCCTGTTTAGACTAAACTACCCAAAATAGTTGACATAATCCTGGTTAGTCGAAGCGGCACGCGAGCTTGCTGGGTGAAGGAACACGTGGCGGAGACAAGGGGGAACGCCTTGGCAGCGCTTTTGAATCATTGTTTTGCAGAGAGGCACTTGATTTCGAGGAGCTTTTCTTAGGAAGCAGGAATAGTCATGAAGTAATCACTTTGTGCTGTTTACAGATAGAATTCGTATTCTAGATCTGGAGGCTTTCGGCTCTAATAACTCCAGGGGCGCCCGGAGTTCAAACACGATTCCCCATACTAGACAATTTTGATGTTTCAGTGGAAGAGGGCTTATATATCCTTATCAACGCCATCATCTAGTGACCGTCCGAATGTGATTGCGCAGTTCGTTGCAAGCGCGAACCTTTTACTTTACATGTCCAAGTCATGCGCGGCACGTTGACATGATATGTTGCAGTGTGGCATGGCGCGGCTTATCGATCGTTCTCAAGCATTCAAACTACGACTAAGTTTCTGATCACCTTTCATAACTGATTGGAGGTTGTGGGCCGGTTGCGCTGTCCAAAATACATGCAGGCCCACGAAGCTCGCAATGACATTTCATAAACTTCTCAATTGATATTTGTATTTCAATGACACTGCGATGATGTGGAACGCATGTCTTCGATCATTTGTTTCATTACCGTCGGCTGGCAGGTCGTATAGTTGTTTGGCACTATATGGTGCATGTCAATATCACAGCTAGTAAGATTTTGCGCCTGTAGGGACATTGCAGAAGACCATATGATTATAGTGACGTATGTCTTTCGGTGCATACCATTATGCTTTGCGTCTCGGTAGGTATATGGCCGCCAAGAGCCGGGCGACAGCAACCGTCCTGATTAATATCCCGGCCCGCTATGGCCTGCCCCAACCATGCTGGAAATCCCAAGCAGTTTCAAAAATCAGTACTGACGGTCATGTAACGAAGAGCTGCCTGGTGTATCAGGACAAATAAAATACTCATATACTTGTGCGTACGACGGTCTTGAATGTGGGAATCGTTGAGCTTCTGCTTTGCTAACATCCATTGCTGCAAAAGGCTGAGCATGGGCTGCGCCTTCGTATCCAACAACGGACCGCTTTTCATACAAAGGGCGCAATACCTTTTCTGTTCTTTGAACAAGGTGCACCAGAACAATATTCAAGTCAAAACAGAATCAGTAATACCACAAGGGCCACCATGAACGAATCACCGTGTTTGCTTGCATATTCCTTTTGGCTCAAGAGAGGAACGTAGTGCCTCGATTGTCTGGTTACGGCCAGATTGCTTGCTAGAGAAACCAGGCCTAACCAGAAAGGGTCCGCAAACTTTTCCTCGCAGTTGCCTCGGTCAGTGTTACCTAAGTACTGACGACCTCTCAACCAATTGAACTCTTCAGTCGAAGTGTTGCTCAAGACATAACTTACTAATTCCCCGGCGCTGCAGATTGAGCTACTTTTCGGCAGTCCGCCTTGTGCCCGTGTTTCCAGTGCCTAAGCTGAGAGACAAAAAGAGCATCGTCAGTGACAAGGTGACAAGTGAAAGAAAGGCTGCTGCTTTCTTCGCCGACTGCGTACATACCCAGAATTGGCAAGGCAGCAACATCCTGGTACCTTTGGAGCTTAGCAAGCAGTTTAAAGCAGCCTGTCCTGACAAACAGGGGGAATGAAAACTGTCTGTTTAGATCCTTTCAAAGCACTGGGCGTTGCGCACTCCTGTCAACAAAGATTGCTCGACGCCGAAACAAAGAGTTCGTTTGCGAAAGGAAGCCGCTCTCTTTGGCATTGGCATCTGCAAGTATCCTTCAGTAGGCGCAGAACTTCGAGGACTGCGAATACGTATTCTTCAGTGCTTACAGCTAGTTTCGAATATCTCTGTGGCCGTTCAAAAAGCGATATCCAGACACAGCCTGATTCCTGCCGCCCAGCCAATTGTGTGTGGTTTTCGGCGTGGAATCTATTGACAAATACTCAGAAAGAACCAGACATAGCCCGTGCAACGACGTCGACAGCTCCCGTTTGAATCTTAAGCTCGAAAGCGGGGAGGGATTTCTTTGCCTTACACCGGGAGCTGATTTGCAGAGAATTTTGGGGTCTGAAATTTCAAGAGGAATCAAAGAAGAGATAGCTGTGAACCTTGAACATCTACAGAGGCCTCACCTGACAATCTTTTGAGCAATACTGCGCTTTTTGGCACCCGCTGCACCGCTTGAACGTCTTCCTGACTGTCTCCACCATGTCCCGCTCGCATTTCTGTGAAAGAGACAGTGTCAAATCGTGTGAAACATCACCTCAGTGCCGGATGAATCAAGAATCTCTTTAAATTCGTCAGCAATCAGCCAATCCGTCTCCACGTCCTCAAAGAAACGGGACGACGATGCCGGAACTCGACTACCTTCGGTAATTCTGTTGTGAGAGAGCGGGATCACTGGGAGTACTGTGCGGGAGTACTGGGCAAGCGTTTCGAGATGCTTAGCAGACAAACCGTCGAGTCCACCGTAACAACGACACTTCACGAGAGTATGAACGGCGGCAGGCAACTAGGTTGCCGCACAACGAAGAACAACAACAAGAATCAGCCAAAGCGACGACCCGCTTCACCATGCCTCTCTCAAGGAAGAAACGTTTCCCCTCGGTAACCGGTTACGGGTCAGGCCACTAAGGTACGAGGAGGGCAGACCCGTTCATGATAAACTGTCATGCGAAGAAAGGGCTAAGAACAGCAAAACTGAAAGCTCACTGCCCGCACCTCAAAGACGACCCAAATCTCTGCTAATTATAATTGATGCTCGTTTAGAACAAACTTCGCAATTCTGCTCTGAGACCGCCTACTCCGTTCCTTCCGCAACACAGCTCTGAATTCTGATGTTCGGACCGGGCTTGGTTAAGCCCAGTGGAGAAACGCGATCGGATCAGACAATTCGGTCCTGGACAGACAAGGCATTGAGCACAGGAGAACATGAGCAGCGCCGTCTGCTCACCTTATTGCTGCATTCTAGAAACCAGAACTCCGCCGCAAGCTCGTCCCACAAGTCGCGCGCGAGCTCCAGCATCCCCGGAACCCACTCCTTGAGCAACGTGGCATTGTTATCCCTGTGACACGTGGCCAGCGCAAGGCGGACCCGCGGCTCCTTCCGCAGAATCTCGGCCGTTAGCTCGACGCCCCCTGCCTCCCCCACCTTACGCAAGAACGGGGCGCGCTCTGAGGGGTGCGCTCGGTGTGACGTCAGCAGGAGGCCGAGGACTGACGTCAGCGTCTGGAGCGCTTCCGTGCGCACGCGCCAGAGCGTGCGCTCGCCCACCTCGAGCTTCGCTTCCGCGGCGCGTTCGAAGATCGCCTCCGCGAGGCGCAGGCCGTGTTTCAGCGAGAGTCCCGCTCTCAGACTCGTTTCGAGGGGGTCGTCTTCCACTGGAGACGGCCCCAAATGCACCCCCCCGTCCCAGACCCCTTCGGCAAACTCTCCATGGGTCTTTCTCACGAGCGGGATCACCGCCTCGACGGCCGGGAGTAAACACTGTTCGAGAACAGCGGGGTCGCGGAAGGTCGACAAGAAAACGGTGGCCGCCTCACAGCACGCGCTTTTGTGGTCCACTTTCCGCAGGGTCGCCCGGTTGAAAACTCTGATTGCTTCGACGGTGACGTCACCGGCCCGCGCTTCCGGCGGCCACGTCGCGCGCCCGCCGTCGATCTCCGCCGCGAGGGTGTCGATTAACGCTCGATACTCGTCCCCTGCGGCCATTAGCGCGCCCCGCCTAAGAAAGGTCCGCTCGCAGGCGTCCATTTGGGCGACCACTTGCGGGTTATAGTCGGGGAGGAAGAGAACTAGAGAAGCGAGACACATCCACACCAACCGGCCGAAAATGAAGTTCTCGACCGGTTCCTGGAGAACCCTCAAAGGGAGGCCCACGAGCTTGTGCCGGGCGGCCCACTTCGCCCGGGGGAAGGTTTGGAACGAGGCGAAAAGGACCTGAAGAACGTCCGCGCGGTTTATGGGAGCCAGGGATTCGAACGTCGGCAACGCCCACTCGAGGAGCCGCGGTCCGAAGCCCTCAAGACCGTCCGGGGATTCCGTCCGGAAGAGGGCGGAACGGAGAAGGAGCTCCGTCCCGACCCCGAGGATCGAGGACATGGCGCGCAGGACCAGCCCCGTCCGCGACGGCCCGGGGCGGGCGCGCTGCCGCTCTAGTTTCGCGACGTCCGTTTCCAGCAGCCGGAAGAGCGTCCACAGGGCGCCGCCACGTGTCAGCTCCTCGCCGTCCGAGTGGACCCACTTGGAGCTCACGACGACGTCAACCAGCTCCCGCAACCTCCCTTTTTTGTGGCTGGCGCTCGGACCCAGACTCGCGAGGAGCCTATGGGCGCGCGCTTGCCGGGACGGTTCTCCGGGAGCGGGCGGCGTGAAGAAGTTGCTCGTGTCGAAGGGGGAGGGCTGGTTCATCTGCCCGGTGTCCATCATGCGAAGACAGTCTTCCACCATCTCCCGAAACTCCGGTTTCCCGGGGGGGCCTTGCAGCTCGAGACACCGTTCGACGCGCCCGCGAACGCGGGCCAACTGGGCCGGTGTGAACAACTCCCGCTCCTCGTTCCGCGAGCAGAGGAGCGTGAGCGTGAAGTAGATGGTGGTGCCGGCAAACGTAACAAAGCTTTTCGCTTCCGTCGGGGGCAGAATCCGTTGGACTACCGCTGTGAAGGCCCAGTGACGATCGAGCCAGGTACCGAGTTCGGAGAGGGTGACCTCGGCCAACACTTGGTTCGTCAGCTTCACTTCGAAGAAGACGAAAAAAGTGTGAAGGAGCCGTTGAGCGTAGGCGACACCGGCGCCGACGGCCTTTGGGGAGAGTCTCGGCAAGAGATGGGGGTCGAGCACAGAGAGCCGCATCAACCGGGAGAAGAGTCTGTGCTCGAAGGCCCCCGCCGCAAAACCCGGGCTGTTTTTGAGAAGGAACTCGATTAGCTCGAGGTAGAGCCTGGTGACCGGGAAGAACTCCCCGCGCTCCCATTCGGCTGCGGAGAGGAGCCCCGGTTGGCTGAGCCCGAGGTGATGAGGGCAGATGTTGGCGAGAGCGTCTGCAGCACCGCAGTCTGTAAGCTGCGGAAGATAGGAGAAATTAGTTTGGGATCTGAGGCACAGCGGAAAAAGCTGAAGAAGGAGCAGGTTTTTGGCGAAGTAATGGGTTGACAAATTGCACAAGACAGAGAGCAGGCTGAGACAACCTCTGACCTCTGCACAAGAGCCTTTGGCCTGTCAAACATTCATTCTGAGCACGGAAATCTCGTTATCTTGTGTGCTAGACTGATCGACCTCCGAAACAGCGAAGAATGCTCTTTCTTGAGAGGAGTCGCCTTCCAGAAGCGGTCATCTGCAATTCAGGAATGTACTGGACACTTTGAAGCAGTTGCGGTCTGAAGTCCACAGCGCTCCACAAAAGAGTTCTAACAAGCCTGTTTTAGATCAGATCTTCGAAGCTGCTCGTTGAAAGCCAGTAGCCAGCTTTGGACGAACGCCAGTACCCACGAACACAACACGAAGACTTGCTGACGTTAGGGACCGAAGCCAGTTCTGCCATCGAGGATTTAAGTTCGTAAAGCAAAATCTCGCCTGGGTCCACGCATGTAGTGATGCTTCTTTGTCCATATCTGCGCATGTTTTTTTGACATTGATGCACAGCAAACTGATAAGTGGCAGAACCGAAAGGATTAGCAAGTGGCTGGATCCAAGCGCTGTGATGTTGCTTACCTGCTTCGCAAACTTTGGGACCAGCGACAACCCGCTTATGCACCACAAGAGCTTTATGCAGTCTGCGTGGCTCCCCCTATGTGAGGAGGTCAGCACAGAGAGGAGAGCGCGCACCGCATCATCGTCGTTCACGAAGCGCAAGACCTGAGACGGAAAGAATGCCCGCAATGGATCTCGCAGCCTGCTTTAAGAAACAGTTTGCAATCGTGACAGATAATCACAGTTTCGGGGGGTCCTTGCCAATGGCGTTCCAGATGGATCGAGGGTCCCAGGAGTCGGGACAGGGCCCGAAATGAAAAGCAGGGTGGTAAGGTAGTCCAGAGATTTTCTGAGCACGCAAGTGTAGTCCCTTAGTGCCAGGCCTTGTCGACCTTAAAGATGTGAATGGTGAAAGATGCGAATGCTTGAGTAGGATAAGTTGATGTAGCCTATCAAGGTCAATCAAGTGCGCCTCTTATGCATCATCCACTGGAAAGCAACTGCATACCTCAGCTGCTGAATGCTAGGTTGAAAAAATTGAAGAAAAAGTCGACGAGACCCCGTTTTGGGGCCGAATGCAAACCAAGCCACTACAGTGGACAGGTGAGACACATTCCATCTTAGAAGGCGAGACCAACAGTACGCTCTTTGGGAACTCTTCTCACCTTTCTGAAGGCCTTGGTAGACTTGAGCTCCGCAACCTTCCAGTCCTGCTCAGAGAACCCGTTTCCCGGGTTGATTGGATCCAGGAGGTGGCAAAGATCGTCCACCGCAATCCAGGGCTTTCCTTCCTCGACGGCCTTCACAAAGCGGCTGGCAGGGCTCGACGCAGGCACCTGCAGCGGAATCCCTGTGTGAATGCAGAGACAGCTCGCAAAGTCTCGCAAAGGCTCTGCTTTTGAGCCTCAGCATTTGCCCCAAAACATTGCTGACATCAAATCAAGGATGAAAGCGGCAAGTTGATGCAAAAGAGCTGACGTTCAAGATGTGCATTTCTCGGTTGCAAAAGGGATGCCCAGTGTTGCAGTTTACTTCAGCAATCTGAGTCGTCATCTTACAGGAGTGAGAGTAATTTGTACTGCTAAACATTCAAAAAGATGGTGTTCTGTGGTCGGTTCCCGCAGAAATCCCTTCCTGAATCAGCTTGCGGCATCAGTAGAGATTCACATTCTGTGGCCTTCAAAAGGTAAGATCGCATATATGGTTCCCCAACTCGAGACGGCATTGCCTTAAACTGCCCCGCAACAGGGCTTGAAACGCACGCAAACCGCAAAGCTCATTTAATGCTTAAAGCAGTCATCTCATGAGCCAACTTACATGAGTTTGAAGGACTGCAAAACCTTACCTGAGCCGAAGAAGCCATCTGCTTCAGAAACTCAGAAGATCTGCCACTGCCAGGCTGAATCCCACACAAAGCTCACGTGAAGCGCAATACACGATGACCGCAACCCGAAGTAACCCCAGGAGAATCAGGCATCGAAGGGAGGTACTTATCAAAGAGCACTTGCTCCATCCCCTGCTTGCACATTATCCACCCATCTTCGCTCTAGCATCACAACACGGCAGCACAAGTAGAGCTGGCGAAGCTGTTTGTTTGGCGGTTCGCAAGGAGGCGGTGGTCCGCAGGGCTCCAAAGGGTCTATTGAGGAGATGCTGCAGCATTGCCTTATCTGCCAACACCAGGGTTCAGTTAGCCCACCCCGCGCCAGGGCCAACGTTTGGCTGGCTCCCTATGCTTCAAAGTCTCCCCACCCTTCTGCTAGCCCCAAATTCAGCTGGGCTCTCTGAGTCTCTCCCCTCCACCAAACTCGCAGCGCTAAATTTTCCATCATATGCTTTGAATTTGTGAATCCAGCCGGTTTCCATAACCCGGGAAACCGCTACCGTAGATACGAGTAACCGGCACGTCCAGTTGTCGTCGTGTGACCGCAAAATACGAACCGGACCGCGAAATAATTGACGGTTCATGGCGCGCTGCTCCCCCACCGAGACATACAGCTCTTTGCGTCAAACCTGCCGTCGAGTTTCCGATGCTCCGATCATGGTTCCTGATCTTGAACCGTTCGTTTGACGACAATGCAGGCATCGGACGGCCCAAGATCAGGAACCACGCTCCAAGAGTCTGGAAGTGACCCAATTGCAAGTTTGACGCAAACAGCTGTACTGTGACCGGACAGCAGATTCGCCGGGCAGCGGGCACAGGATTGAGGCGAAGGAATCAGGATCCATGCATCTTTGAACCCATCTTCAGATTGACGGCGCGCAAGGTCTTCTTCACGATTCTACATCGAAGCACGTTGGAACTTGGAGTACCTTTTCCCCACCGCAAAAGGCGGGTCCAAGAAAGAAGCCAAAGGACCCTGGGGGGGTTTTTAACGGCTCCAGCATAGTCCACTTTAGACAGGCTTCGATGTAGAATAGTGTTAGAAGCTCCATATGAGTGAGGCTTGCATGCAAGTCGATTGAAAACATTCATAAGCGTTGCCTATAATGATCTCGAACCTTTTAAGATTAGAAGATAGGTTGCCTCTAGAAGTAGAACTCGGCGTATACGCCTCGAGTTGCTTGTGGTAGTTCTATGCTCTTTTGGGGATCTGTAGGAGCATAGGATGAGAACCATCGACACAACCCCTATCCGTACCGGTAAAACGGTCGGATCGTATAATAACACCATCTTGCCCAGCAGAATTTTAAGACAGCACCACGAACTAAACTTTGAACTCCTGAATAGAAGCCAGAGCCCGAGACTGAGAGGCCGAGAGGCGCATCTGTGCTTTGCAATGCAGATTGAAAGAGCTGCCTGAAGCCTGAGGCACGTGAAGCTGGCTCTCTCTGCTGGAGAATTCTTGCCCTGCTGAGGTTGGGGTCGTGCGAGGACAACACGAGGGAACTTGGAAACTTTTTCAGAAGTAGCTGGACGGGTGCCAAAATGGAGGCTGCAACATGCGACACCCTGCCCGACGAGCAGTGGATCTCCATCTTCAGCTTGCTGTCTGCCAAGGACGTCCTGCGCATCTCCTTTGTGGACCAGCGCTTCAAGCGCCTCGCGTTGCAAGTTCCCTTCGTAAATAACACAATCCAGTTTTACAAAAATCCTCGTACTAGCAGGAGCACACCGCCTCTCGTTGCTCCAGTGCTCCAGGAGACAGTTAAGCTGTCTCTGATTCTGAAATGGCTCCCAGGGTTTTTGAAGAATGCCATGGTTCTGCGTATGGTAAACCATGGAACAGGGAACCAGCTTGCACAGTGTGTTGGGGCAATGATCCAGGCAGGGGAGGTGCCAACTAGACTGAGGACGCTGGAATGGCGCACGGTGCCAGCAGCGGAACTGGCGGAGATTGCACCCTTGCTGCAAGGCAACATGAGGGAGGTGCTGCTGCAGTTTCTCCCTGAGAGGGGCGGCCTCAGGTATGCACATTGTGCTTTACGATTTCTTTCAGTTTGCTAATTGATGGCTCTCCTGCTTTTTCAAGCTATATTGATTCAAAAAGGCGTAATTCTCGAAATTCACTGTTTTGATATGATTCAATAACTCTGAATCTGTTTTGTCTCTCTTCTGATTGATTACCTGATCAATTCTTGGAGTTGGCCAACATTGGCATCAAATACATTCATCAAACATTTGAGCAATTGTGGGGAAGCGGAGTGCATAATGCACAGCGGTCTTATCAAGGGTGTGTTGAGTTCACTTACTTTGCTAATTCTCAGATGTCCGAAAATGTCAGGGTCACAGATAATCCAAGGCTGGGAGCATTCTATGCTTCAAGCGGTTGAAATTGTCCTGTAATTGTAGTTGCTGATACAGCATTCTGATTCCCATGTGGTTGAGGCTCTTGCGCCGATCAGTAAGACCAAACATCGAGGCTGCTGCACTGCATTTTACTCAATTTGCCAACAAGGAACAGGTTGCATTTTCAAGGTTGACATTGACATTGTCAGAGCCGATCGATGCTTCAAATAATCGGACTGTCTATGAGTAGATGAATTTAAGGGGATTATTCTGGGACACTCTTTGTTGACCAGGTAATTTAACCAGAAGCAAAATGTCCTACAATGATGCCCCTCTGTACTTTGTACTTCACTAGTTCCAGGTTTGACTTTGCCTTCCCCATTGCTTTGTCTAATCAGTCCTTTGCCTTCCTGATTGCTTTCTGTGATCGTTCCTACACAGTCCTCAATTCCTACCCAACTGCTTTGACCAGTTTGGCCAGTGTCATATACAGATCTCCTCGATAGGAAAAAATCTCCATCTGCTCCCCATTTAGTTTTGTCTGCTCGTCGCACGATGTTTGTCTTTTGTAGGATTCGGTATCCACCCTGCCACTTCTTGCTGACAGACAGACCGCTTATCTGCGCACCTTTTTTTCTGCAGTCTATTGGGAGGGTTTCTCGCCGCGGTCGCCAAAGCCTGCCCCCACTTGCAAACCCTGCGCCTTCTGGCGCCGTCGACCAAAATTTCTTCCAGATACCCCACCCCTTCACATCCTTCTGACGGCCCTTCAGACGGAGACTCGGACGACGACGCGCCCCCCCGCTTTGCTGACTCGGACCTTGAGGAAGAATTCAAGGTCGACGACATAGGCCAGATATTTAGGAGCATGGAAGACGTATACGACCAGATGCCGGTCCCAGGGGAACCTATCCTGCCAATGCCAGCAGGGGGTGTGTTTCCCGGGATGTTTCAAAACCCAGGGGATGTGTGTGACCAAGACGAGGACGAGGAGGTAGAGTCCGACGAAGAGAGCTTGCAAACAATGTTGGAGGAGGAACTCCGGGCGCAGGTTGCTGGCAGCGGCGGGAAGCGGGGGTGGGGGGGTGGGCATGCTGGGGAAGTATGGGGGGGAGAAGAGCAAGGTGACGGAGAGGGGGATGCACCAGGGTTCCCAGTTTTCGACTCTGCTGATGTTAGCGGAGGGGAGGAGAATGCTGAAGAGGAGGGGCCGTCTGATGAAGATGGGGGCGGCAGAGGACCGCGGGTTCCTGGGGCAATCGACGCAGGGAGGCGGGTGCAGCCCCCTCGTAAGCGGGGTCGGGTAGTGCTAGACCAAGGGCACTACCGCCTGATACCCCCCACTCGCGGTAAGGCTCAGGATCCCCCCCACCGTGGAGGTCGTGTGGCGGCACGAGACTGGCCGTCCGATCCAGGTTCCTCAGATAGTGAGGGTGAGGGGGATGATGGGAGCAAAGATGAAAAAGGGCCCGAACAAGTAGGCTTGCCTGGGGATCTGAACCGCGCGCCTGGGGGAAAAGATGCAAAGGAAGCTGGGGGCGAGCAATGGCCGCCAGGAGGAGGGGGCCCATCGTCTTTGGAAGACTCACTCAAAGCTGCCATGAAGAAGAACCTTGATGCGCCTGGAAACGAGCAGCCAACTGATGGCGCGGACCTACCAAGCTCTTCGAAAGAAGGGGGCCTTGGAGTGGCTGCAGAAAAGGCTGTGCCTGTTGCGGCGGATGCTCCGTCCGCTTCAGACGGGGGGGCTGCGGCCAGTCCCGCGAGCAGTGCCCCAAGAAATGAAGCAGTGCCGAGTTCCAAGAGTGTGGGGGGTCTTGGCGGGCCACCAAACAGGGCCCCTGCGCTGGCGGAGTCTCCAGCCATGGGGGCGCTCGACAGGCTGATGGACACTCCCCCAGAGGATTGGGAGAAAACCTATGAAGAGCAGTTCTATGCCAATCTCGCGGACTTGGCCCCTGGGAATCTGGGCCCACTGGCGGCTGCCGAGGCGCGAAAGCACAAGGCATGGGAGCGCGACCCGAACGGGCGGAGAGCGCTGCTCCGGGGGCGGCTGATGCCCCCCGTCAAGAACTTCGACGAGGCGGTGAGGCGCTTGTTGCAAGGGTGCAAAGTGTTGAAGACGCTGGAGCTGCCGTATGGAAAGGTGGAGCACTTCTCGATGGTCCGTCACACGCGGCTGGAGACGCTGAGGGTCAAGGGGATGGCCGACGTAGCATACTGTGAGTGGCTCCGGGACTTGACTTTTCTGACCTAAATTTTTCAAGACTTTGAACCAGGATTCTCCGAGACTCTGAACAAATCGACACACAAATCTATGCTGGTAAATATCAAATGGTTTGTAGGAGATCAGGTGTTTAGCACTCCTATTGAGGCTTTAAAGGGCAATCTAATATCTTCGACTGCCAAGGGGTTCCTCCGTGGGTTATCGGTGAAGCGGCTTTCCTTGAGGCATTCGGTGTTTGTGATTTTAGCTTCTGTGTTTGAATGCTTCCACTGCGACTGAGTATCCAAAGCAAAAGTATTTTTGTTGCCGGTCCGTGATAATTTCACTGCTCCTATAACGTCAGTGTGACCTCATCATCAGGCCTTGCCGCCATCTAGGTCAATCACGGCATTGCGTACCATGATGCCACCTGTCGCTTTCGTGCTTCACCATTTCCGATGGATCTTCCCAATAGCTTCCATGTCCTGCTGACGGCACCATGACCTCATCACAGGCACCGACGCCGTCAACGCGCTGACGCACCAATTCCGAACGTTGCGCCACCTGTCACTTTCCTGCTCCAGCCGCCTGCCGTGGGGCTACTTGCAGGAGGTGACGAGCAACCTGGGACCGGTGCAAAGCCGGCACTGTGCGTCGACCACTCTCGAATCGATCGAGATGCACGGGTTTATTTACCCGGGCGACATTACACTTGACATGCCTCGCCTCAAGCGACTCGTGTTGAAACGCCCGTACAGGTGAGGGCCTTGAAGCCTTGTTTTCGAAAGTAGTGCTGGCGGATGTGACTAGCGGGTGAGGCTGAAGTAGAAATGTAGCAAACTGGACAGATGCAATTTAGCGCCCGGCATTTGCCCTTCCTTCCAGAGTATCGAACCTCGCTTGAGAATGCCACTTCTCTACTGCAGTGATCGCCTCACTTCCTTTCGGTCCATGTAAGACTGCTGAGTGGATTTGCGCTAAAAATCTCTCCATCAATTGGAAGCTGCCCAATCATTACTGATTCCGATTCGCTCTGGAATCTGGCCCCATCTCTGAAAGGCTTCGACAGTCGCCACGAGAATGCCCTTGCAAATGCCCGATTAAACGGAGTCCCCCGGCTACTTTCATTTGCACGTCGTTTAAATGAGAGTCCCCGGTGACGAAACGAAATAGTGTCAAACGAGTAAGGCCATCGTTTCTCTTTGCAGGCCTGGCGCTGGGCCCGATGAGGAAACCGAAGTCGAGTCAGACGAGGAGCGGGCGCCTGTGTTTGATCTTCGGACGCGTCTCTCCAGAAAGGACCGCCCGAAACCGTCCGACATGCGTGTGTTGCAGCTGAACTGCCCCGCCCTGGAGGTGCGTACCGTTTCAGCTTTAGAAACTTGCTCGCTTGCGCTGGACAGCGAGTTATACAAAGGGATGAGCGTGCACAGAATTACCTCCTTCTGCGACCTGCTTCAATGCTGACAATCTGAAAGGGTTTCATCGGGACTTGTCCAATCTAGAAACTACCGTTCAAGCTCTTAGAATCTCAATCATCCTGGCTGTTCTACTCGGTACCTCGTACTTAAGGACAACTCTTTTAGAAAGGCCCCTACGAAAGCCCCCAAAACCCGGAAAGTGCGCAACCCTCCGGTCGCTTCCCGCACAGGACCTCCGCTTGGGCTTCCCAATCAACGGCGCCACTCTGTCCGAAGCCGGGTCCACCCTCCCCGCCCTCCGGACGCTCGTCCTCGACGCGCTGTTCGAACCCGAGTTCGTCCTGTCCGGCGGTTTCCCCGCGCTCCGTACCCTGCGCCTCGGCCTCACCTCTTCGTGCGCCACGTCGCTCACGGTCGAACACCCGACGGTGCAAACCCTCACGGCGGCCCTCGGCAGCTTCGCGAAACACCTAGACGGTCGCAAGCACGTGGCGATTTCGTGCCGCCGGCTGGAAGCTCTAGAGGTTCGCGGGCCGACCATGCACCGGCGGTTCTTTCCCGGGGCGGAGCCGCCGGACGCGGCGACGGACGGGTTTCTGTCCGAGATTTGGGCGCCGTGTTTGCGGACGGCGAACCTGCCGGGACGGACGGCCGCGCTGCCGGCCACGCTAAAGTTTACGCCGGATGTCGAAGAGCTCAAGATCCACGTGAAAACAGCGCAGGTGAGACAGGGGTTTGCACATTGATTTCTTCTTGCCACTTGGTCATGCTGAAAAATTCGTGCGCTTCTCGAATCTGGTTTTTCCGGTGCGCTTCCTCAGTGCGCATCCGTACCCAATCACCGTTCCAAGGTCCGATCAATCAATACATGATCCAATGATCCGGTCTGCCAACAAGGGGCGGCAAAAAACGATGATGTTATTTGTTAGCAGGTGGCACCAAGTCGACGAACACGACGAACACCTCATAAATGAATATTTCAGCATCCAGAACTGATGAAATCAGACGCTGGGACGGTATGTAAATGTACCTATGCTGCTGAAGTCCACATATCTGATTGTGCAGGACACAGCGGTGCTGGGTTCCCTCCGCAAGCTGCGCAAGCTGCAGATCTACTGCGACAAGGGGTGCGACGTCGTCGCAGTCGACAGTGAGAGCCTCGTCGAGTTCCAGCTGGTGGCGCACTCGTGCGATCTCCGACAAGTACACGTGGCAGCGCCTCAGCTCACCGAGCTCGACCTGTGTAACCCTAGGCACCTACTCGTGCACCTGCGGCAGCTCAAGCTGGCGCTGGGGCACGTGACGGTGAGTGTGACGTCAGCCTGACGTCGGACGCTGACTTCAGCGTTGAGGATTGGATCATCGTGGGGCTGCTTGGACGCAAGATTTATCCCTATCACCCAGTCCTGAGCAGTGCGTTTCTTTCATAGATTGGCGCTTCTAAAATCGGCGCCCTCTTGATGGAAATTCCGACCGTGATCTTAGAAACCATGTTTTGCTGCGATGCCACTGTCTACCATGACAGTTGTTTGTAGATTGCTTGCTGCTGTCCTTGTAACCGACGCACTTGTTCAACGCCTAATTCTTCCCTTGCTGTGGCTTAAGGCAGACAGCGGCATAGGCATTACGTTCGTGCGGCATGCGCCTCTTTTCCCCTCGACTTTGTTGCTAGGCGCTGGAGTCTCGTCGCACCAAAAAGGAACCGCCCACAAGCCCAACTCTTGTTCTCGTTTCCAGAGTTTCGGGTACCATTGGTGTGACATTTCCTGACATTTGGAACGTAATCACACCAAGAAGGAACTGCAAACAAATTCAGTTCCTCGATCTGTCTCCAGGAGCTCCTTGTGCCGTTTGGTGTGACGTCACTGAAGTTTGCAGCGCAGTGCCCGCGTCTCGAGAAGGTGCAGTTGCTTGCGTACCTGGGGGACGCTGTGCGTGTGGATTCCAGCAGCTTCCCAGCGATCAAAACCCTCCAAATGGAGATGCCCAAGGTCAGAAGCAAAGGACACTCTTTGGCGGTTTGCTGAGCAGTGTTTAGCACATTCAAGATGAAGTTGGTTTCTAGCGACTCGAGCTGTTGAAGCTGCATTCTATTAGCAATCTGAAAGACTTATAGGAATTGGTAGGCATCATTTCATACAAGCGTGAACCGGTCTGCATAGTGAAGGAATGTGACATCAGCACGGCCAAGCTGCTCTCCGATCGGCGTTCGCCTGACGTGAGGGTACCTCTCTACTGTGCACGGCAATTGGATCCAAGGAAGATTGCCTCGAGAAAGGCAAAACAGGGCAACTAGTGAGCAAACTTGCTTGAAGTTTCTTGCAGCAGCCGCCCAGTGTCAAAATCTCGCACCTCTGCTTTGCTGTCCTTTCAAATCTCCTAACACTCTGTCCGACCGTCTGAGGACAAAAAGGATGGAAGATTTTTGTCAGCAATACCCGCAGACGTGCCAAGCCGTTACACTTCCGGTGCTCACAATGAGACAGTTGAGGAAGAATCATCTTGTTAAGGCTTCAAACAGCTTCAAACACCGACAAACAGACTGCCACAAGACCACTTTGCAGAAAAAAGTAGTCGCGAAAAGCGTCGTTCACCACCAAGGCCTTTCCTAGGAGAGTCAGGATTTTACACGGCCCAGGAAGACTGGATCAAAAGGGAACGATTAGCCCTTTTTTTCCGTTCGCAGGCCAAGCCCCACACTCTCACTGTTCAATCCAAGACGCTGGAATGCTTCAAGCTGCTCGCGTTCCGTTCCTTCGGCAATCCGTCCACGTGCTCCTTCGCCTGCCCCGAGTTAACGGAACTGCACCTCAACGTGCTGCCGCCGTCGCTGACTGCGATCGGGGTGAGATGTCAATCGAGCCCGCGTTCTGTCGGTCTTGATACTGAGCTTGTTTCTATTCTGTCTCGTCGCGGTTTTCGTCTTTCGCTCCTCGCTTCTTATTTGCCAGCAGCAAGGGACCTAGCTGAGTCTTCAGAGGGCGCTTCTGCCATCCTTCCGTCAGAACCTTGTTTTCTTTGGCTCTTGAAACTTCTTTTCAGGTTCTCTGGTTTTCTGTTGAAAGCACGAGCGAGACGAACGGGTGCAGAAAGCCGGCGCTTTTGTCAGTGTAAAGCATCCGCGCCCCAGACGGCAGTCTGAAAACGAGCTAAGAAGCGTCCCGGAAGCCTGAAAAGCCGACCAATGCAAAAGTGATTTGTCAAACTGGAAGCTGTAAGGCCGCATTATCCAATTAAGTACAATCTTTATGCCGCTCGAAATCTTGAAGGGTGAGGACCATAAAGGGTAAGTGGAACGGATGGGTTTAGCTTGGGGGCTTAGGGTGGGTATGGGTGCGGAGCGTGTACAGTGTGGGTTTAGATTTTCAGCTAGGTGTTGCTGTTTACCTTCATGGCGCTTACCCTTCATAAAATCGGAACTCACACATTCGTTTTCCACAGGCGGGATGCCCAAAGCTGGAGACGCTAGTGGTAGCGGGGGGCCTGCACCTGGACCCGGACGCGCAGTCCGACCCGAAAGTGGTAGAAAAGCTGACGTCACGGCTGACGGGGCAGGACGCGCTCGAGCAGATCCGCAGCCTGCGGGACTTCCTGCCGGATGCCCCCGACATGAGCGCTTTTCTCCAGGTAGGAAAGCTTGATCTGACCTGACCTTTTTTTGGCTTTGAAACGACCTTTGACGCTCGCTTTCAGTGCTAGATTTTCCATTTCCACAAACGATTAACAATAAACAGGCCGTTTGCAGATATCACAAGCCCACCATTAGCTGGTCCGTCTCCAAAAGAAACGCCTCAAAACAATTCAAACTTGTGAGAGCTCCGGGTTCCAAGGTTAGTTGTTTCACGACGTTTCGCACTGAGCGCGTCGCCGAAACGCTTAGCTCCGGCCGCTTTGAGCGCCCGTCACTGAGTAAAGCCGCGAGAAAGTCTGAAGCGAAGAGAGCCTTTCTGGCAGAATGGCTGGTTTATCCGACCGGTTTGGAGGTAGAGGGCTTTCGATTGGAAGGCAGCTCATCCAGTCCTTGCGACGACGCTGCAATCCAAGACTGGAACAGGCAATCAGCTGACGTCACGAGTTGCGCGCTCGAAGTAGGGCGTCCAGTGCCTGCTCTATACCCGAAGATTCGAACTTGCAATGCGCGAAGCAAACCCTCGAACCGTTTGGTCTGCAGGACAACGAGGCGTTACAGTCCATGTTTGCGACCGCAATGGAATTGGCGGACCCCAACAACTTCATTCCTGAGGCAAGCCGCCGCCAGATGTTCTCCGCAATCCGCGCCGCCATGCCGAGCCTCCTTCCCGCGCTTCACAACGCCGGGGGGATCCCCCTCGACCCGGAAGCTCTAAACGCCCCCGTGGGCGAGGGGAAGGCTAAAGGTTCCGCGGAGGAAGAGGCCGCTCCTGGGGGGGCAGCGGAGCCTGGCGAGCAGGGAATGACGAATGGGGGGGAAGAGAGCGGGGCAGCGAAAGGCGCCAAAAGGCCGGCGGAATCGGAAGCCAGTGGATCGGCGAAGCGGGTACGACTGAACGACATGAACATGTTTGAAGAGAACATTCTCAACGAACTGGATGGCCGTTCAAGCAGCGAAGTGAGGGGAGGGGCGGAGAGACGGTTCGATCCACTTGGGCTAGGAGCGAAGCAGTCGAGGAAAGGAAAGGAGAAGGTTGAGGAGGGGGGAAAAGAAAAAAGGCGGACGAGGTGGGGGGAGAATAAGGTCGTGTGGGAGTACCAGGCCCTACTGGGAGAAGAGTTTCCGAGCCTGAAGGAATTGCATATTCAGGTGAGAGGAGGGGAAAGCTCTTTCGCATTTTGTGGCTCTGCTCTCTGCAACCGAGGGAGCTGGGCAGTCTAGCGAAGTGGGTTCGGCCTGCTTGATGCTCTTACAACTTACATCACGGGCTGAATGTTCAGAGGTTTCGTGTCAAAGGCGTGTGGGAAGTTGTAATATGAGCCCATTGCGGACTGATCGACGGTTGGTGCTTTTGGGAAGCTTATGCAAGCCTGCTGGCGCTCTGTAGATGTTCCCACAACACATCCGCTGGTATAACTGGATCAGACATTCTTTACTTTCTATTGGATCCGCGAAAGCCATCAGTTGCACACGGGGTTCGGTAACAAAGCCGAGTATGGTTCTGACGAAAAGCACCACAAACGACAGTCCAAAAACACATAAGGCCTCGGCATGTGCAAGTCCAGCTTCGCTTCCCCATCGGCCTTCTTCCAGCGCGTTTCAGTCACCAGTGTAATCGTCTCAGCCTGGCTGCGGCTTCCGGTTATGCTTTCAATCAGCCTCTCAAAAACACATCATTGTTTCAGAACGAAAAACCGTAGTGCACCAGCAGAAGTTCTGTCTCAGCTTGACAAGTATCACACGATCAATTCAACATGCATGAGTCTCTCAGCACCGACAAAACAATTTCTCCCTCTCTCCAGTATCACAGGATAAATCCCAACCTGACCGTCACCTGTAAGGACACCAACAAAACGTTTTCAGTACAGAGTCTGTTGACGAACCTTTTCTTATGAATATACCCCCAATCGTAGTACTTATGGTCAATGGGTTAAATAAACCACAAGTACACAAAAGAAAATAAATGAAAATTTGATTTCTGCTATTTAAACAGGTTTTTAAATGTTTGACAAATTACTTGCAGGTTTGGACCGTGGCGTCTCCGGCCCCCTCTTTCCAGCGCCGCTTCCGCCTCAGTTCCGACCACTCCTGGTGCATCTGCCCCGGCCCGTATTCGTCTCATCCCACGATGCACAACCCGTGGGAAGACCCGTTCCGCCGCATGTTTGCGCAGCCAATGCGGCGTCTCAACAATGGCGGGTACGCCCCGTATGGACTCCAGGACGGAGAAGAGTGAGCAGACTTGCTTTCTTCTTTCCTTCTCCAAAACCTGCTTGTTTTGTTCTCGGCTGAAGTCTACGCTTAAGCGTTGCAGTCGCCTAGATTAAATTTTGCCGCAATTGCGCAGTAATTATGCGACAAAAAATCGGCGGGTATGCTCCGTACGGACTCCGGGACGGAGAAGGGAGTGAGCACATTTGCTTTTTCTTCTCTCCTTTGCTTTTTCTTCTCTCCAAATCTTGCTAGATTTGTTCTCGGCTGAAGTCTATGCGTGCTGTCGCGATGGGAGAGTCCGTTCCGCCCCAGATTGCGCAGTTGATACTGCGCCTCAACAACGGCGGATACACTCCGTACGGACTCCAGGATGGAGAAGAGTGGGCAGGCTTGCTTTTCTTCCTTCGTTTTAGAAGGTGATTTCTTTTGTCCTCCGCTGAAGTGTCCGCTTGAGCGTGCTGTCACGATGCGCATTCCTTAGAAAGATCCAATCCGCCACCTTTTTGCGCCGCCGATGATGTGTCTCAACACGGGACAACACAATCCGTACGGACCCCAGGACGGAGACGAGTGAGCGGACTTGTTTCTCAAGTCTTCTGGAAGACTTTTTTGTTTTGACCTCAGCTAAAGTCTACGCTCTTTTCGTAGTGTCTCGGCTAAACCTTTCTAGGGCTTTGGTCGGTCGCGCTGGTGTTCCAGACCATTACAATACGTTTCCAAAATTCCTACGCAACCAGTAACGCTATCAAGACCAGGCCTTCGACGGCTTGCCTTAAGAGCAAGTGCCTACAAATGGATCTTGTTATTAAAGCAACAAAGCAAGCCTGGGGGGCAGCAAAGAAAGGGGACCCTCAATCACGACGAGCACAATTACTACACCCTCTCTTTGATGCATTTTCTGTTCTTACCCAAGGGAGACTCATACGAACAGCGCACTCATGGAGCTATTGCGTTTTTGTGCAGCCTGGACGCTTATTGCAACTTTCCCCCTGCGCCTTTCCTGCCGGACTACATGCTAGGTTCCTACAGCATGAATGGTGAAGGGAGGGCGGTAGGGCCCTCGACCTCAACAGCAGCGCCCCGCGCCCCGCGTTCAGCTGCAACACAAGTCGAAGGGGACGGTCCGGCCACGGACGCACCCCCGCCAGAAGAGCCGTTTGTTTCGCGCCTCACACAAAAGGAACCGATCGCGCGTGGGGGAATGTACGGAGCCGTGCCGTTGCCTTCGATTGACCCAAGGAAAGCTAGAGATGCGCTCAATTTGTCGCCTAACGGTCCGTCACTAGTGCTGGATGTGACGTGTCCGAAGCTTCGCGAAGCGCAAGTGTTTTCGGATCTGCAGTTACGGTCCGCAACGGTTGCTTGTCCGGAGTTGAGATGCTTGAGGGGCTGGATCGCCGCAGAAGGGGGGAGAGGAATCAGAGACGGCGTGAGATTGGTGTGCCCTAAAATGGAGAAGATGGACTGGCAAATTGTATGAGAAAGGACATAATTAAACAGTAGCCTGACGAACTCCATATATATCACTTCTTCGTTGCTTTGAGGAAGTTTTCAATTTTAAATGCTGTAGTCCGGCCGTGACGGCCTGCCAGTAATTTTGGCAGTACCAGGAGCATCCAGTTTCAGTACGTAAGACAGGGAACCCTCGTCCAACTAACTGTTGATTAGCCGTGTTGAACTCGTTTAGCCGTACTTATGGGCTACAAACTGGGTTGGGAAGCTGACTGGCTCTAAGTCACCTTGCAGATGATCGAGGTGATAGTTTGAGAAAATCAGAAACGGAACTTACAACGTTCAGGCATATACGCGGACAAAGGCCATGCCCGTGGATAGCGTCACTGCATGACGCCAGCTAGCGAGGGCGGGTCGCAACGAGCTCGCGTCATTGACGCTTCATATAGCATGACTAGCTAGATCCATAGCTAGCATGCATGCATGCGCCAGTCATCATTGCGCCTTCGTAACTCGCGAGAACCATGCAAGTAATCACATTGGCGCTATATAGAGTCACAGAGCTCATTTGCGCATCTGCATATCATACGTCGTCACAGCATACCGGCCAAGCCTCATAATACGTACATTAAACTTATATCCGACAATTCTTTGTTTGCCCTAGCTCGATGTTCCACTCTCGGTCTCATTGTGGGATAAGACGTGGGCCGTGGGCCGCGGGCCGCGCTGTAAGGCAGTACACCTTCGCTTGACATGAGTATCGCGAGGGTACGTAACTCCCAACGCCTTAAAGAAGCTCATTGCCTTTACTCCAATGGATTAGCGATTCTCTGTCAGACTTTCGATCCGGCATTTGCTCCGAGCTTTGCACATGCGCGACTGCCGGCCAGCTGCTTCCACATGACTATCTCGTCAGAAATCTGTAGATTCACACTCGCGTCTTGATCGGCCCCTTTGATTTGAGCACCCGGATCTCAGCCTTCAGCTGTTCCAGCTCTCCCGCCTGGTCGTTTACCACCTGCATAACAAAGTTGACAACGAGGATGGGTTAAGCACAGGGTTAACGGATAATGATGGTCAGGTCAAGACCAGAGAGTCGTGCTTAATGCAGTTTTCTTATCAACTCAGAGCTTACGTAAGAGCAAAGCGTATCAAACCAATCAAAAAGATAGTTGTCTTCGTTGCGGACTTTTGCATTGGCTCTCGACATCGCCCTTCTCGTGTTGTCCCTCTTACGGAGTCAAAAGATCAATAATCAGACCGAGTCCTAGCTCGTTTGATGGCCGAGAACGAGGGTGAAACACCGTGCAAATTCCTATTACCATCTAGGAACAATGGAGGGAAAGCAAGGCGCCCGACCTGCACCATCTTGTCTCGCTCCTCCGCTTCTTTGCGTTTCATGGACACGGCATCAGCCAGCACCGAGTGTTGCGTGGCGACCAGCCCCTGCTCCAGCCGCTGGTGCTGCTCGCCCAACTCGGCCGCCCGGTTCAGGCACGCCGTGTTCTCCGCAGTCACGTCTGTAAGGTAAGATTGCGCGCATTAGAGGGCGGGTATGGCACAACTGCGTCATTTGGAAACACATGACCGGATGAGATAGTCTTAGAAACCTTTTCAACTTTCAGCACATCATTCACTGGGGAAACGTAGACCCCTCAACCTCCGCTTTTTGCAAAACGGCCTTTGCGCCTTCTCACCACACGTCAGATCCCAGGTCTTGTATTTAGACTCAGCGCCCTATCAGATAGGACAGTCTTACAATCTTGTCCGACGTCAAAACCCATCATCCTTGAAAATGTAGACCCCTCGACCTCCTCATCTCGCAGGACGCCCTTTGAAACTTCTCACAACACTTCAGATATTTGATGTTCAGTCTTTCCAACGCCAAACGGCAACTCAATTGGAGCATTCTGACGCTTCTCCGTTTAAGGAACTCAAGATCCCCTCACCAGCCAGCACGTCCGTCGCGCGGTCGATCGCACGCTTCCACTCGCCTAGCTCGCGCGCGTGCACGCGCTCCTGCTCGGCGAGAGACGCGCGCAGCTCCTCCGCGCCCGCGCTGTCGCCCACCGCCTCCAGCAACTTCAGGTCGATCACCTGCGCCCGCATTTTCGGCTCAGCGATCATCCCGCTTCTGCTGATGCTTGCGGACTGGCGTTACCGGCTGCTGGACTGAAGTTGCACGGGATCAAATAGGTGCGAGAAGTACACTGCGCGAGGTTGGGAGTGGGGGGAAGATGCTTGATTGAGAGGGACTGAAAAGGCTGGCTTTTCAGACTGCCAAATTCTGAACAAAGTCGCTCCGGTTCCGGAATTTCCCCCGTAATCTCCTTACAAAACAGTTTAAACTCGGAATGTCCATCTCCACGGCTGCAGCTCGATACTCTCGTTCGTTTCCTCCATTTCACGGATAGAAGTAGGTCGGATCTAGCGCCTCCTCAATTCACGGAGAGTATTCTGCGACCTTGACAGACACCCTGGGAGACCCTTACTAAGCAACCAGGAACCCACCTGTTCGATCTTGAGCATCTGGAAGTCCACCGCCCGCTGTTGCCACTCCGCAATTTTCAACTCTCCAAAACAAAGTAGGCTGTGTCCAGCTTCCTTTCCTGGTTCTGATACGTCTCCCTTCGAAGTGGACTGTTATTTCCAAACGAACATCTTTAGCGTCTCCCAGTAGCAGCAAAGACACTCACCTGGCCAAATCTCAGCATCTGGACGTTGACCGCTCGTTGTTTGCAGTTCCGCAACTTCTTCTCCTTCTCCAACTCGCGTTGAAAAACTAGTTCCAAATTCCAGCTTCTTCTGTTTCCGTTTCCTTCCAAATGGACTTTCGATCTCCAAGTAGACCTTGTAACTTTCCTGTCAGAAAGCACCAACCCACCTGGCCAAACTTGAGCATTTGGACGTCCACAGCCCGCTGTTGCAGCTCCGCGATCTTTTTCTCCTTCTCCTTCTTCTGCTTATGCAGCCCCAAGTGCTGCCGGTGCAAGTCGCGCTGCGCGAGCCGCAGCGCGCTCTTCTCGTCGCCCAGCTCGCGCACGCGCGCGCCCAGGCGCGCGAGCGCGCCGTTCGAGAACACGAGCGACGAGGAGAGGTCGTCCGGGAGACGGCCCTCGGAGGAGAGGTGCTGGATCTGTAATAAAGGCACAAATGGAAACTTTAGGAACAGCGCCGAAGTTGCACGCCAGTCTCAAATCTGTCCGTGTCTCTAATCCAGTACATATTTCCTTTCGAGCGAAGTTTGCTTCGCTATGAGCGACAGAAACGATGATCCCAAATCTTATCTTGTCTCTGCTCATCTGCGGTTGAACATGACATAGGGCGGTCAAAAGGCTCGTGGTCTTATGACAACAAAGCCAATTTGTCATATTATTCCCCAAACACTTAGATCGCCATGCGCTTCGATCCCTACCATCATTTGTGACGCCCACAAGTTCGTCGTTACTCTAATCCACTCTCATAAACGACCACTTCCAACAAGAATTTGGCTTGTTCGACGACAAATGCTAAGGGTTACCTGGTGCAGGCTGAGCGTGAGCGCGACGTCGATCTGGTTGAGCGCGCCCTGCTTCTCTTTTTGGAAGTCGTCCATCTCCTTTTCGACGGCCTTCATCGCGGCCTCCACCGTCTTGAGCTTTTTGGCCAGCGCGTCCTGCTCGCGCTTCAGCGCTGCGGCGGCGAAAAGCGGGGTTTGAGGTTTAGGAGTTGGGGTTTAAGGTTTGGGAGTTGGGGTTTTAAGGTTTAGGAGTTGGGGTTGAAGGTTTGGGAGTTGGGGTTTAAGGTTTAGGAGTTGGGGTTGAAGGTTTGGGAGTTGGGGTTTAAGGTCTAGGGGATGGGGTTTAAGTTTAGGAGTTGGGGTTTGAAATCTCGGGGGTCAGGATATGTTTGGCTTGAGGACATTCTTTGGCTGTACATTGAGACGCAAAAGTAGCAACTTAGTCTGCGCCGATCGCTTATTTCGGCTGGCAGTTCTACAATAAGACTCTAGTGCTGGGTTTGCTTCAAAGATACAAACGTAGCAACTCAGGCTATACCTGAAGTAAACCTGATTGTCAGATGGAATTACATATCTCACATGTATCCCCGCTCCTAAAGTTTGTATGATTGCATAGCCTTTGCAACTCCTTTCAAACCGCGGAAGCGTACATTAACAGAGCAACTGCGTCAGATGGAGCTTCTCGTGGAGATCCAATCGCACTCTATCGTCTACTCAGGTGATCAAGTCACTTGACGTCTCGCGCACCTTCCATGGCCTTGGTGACGTCAGCGATGAGGTCATCCTGATCGAGCTTCTTCTCGCGCAGCTGGCACACGTTGTCGAAGGTCGCGCGCTCGCAACCAGCAGGACACGTGTCGCCCTCCTGGTTCACATAGGTGGAAATGGCGTCAGTAAACCAGTGGAGACCGTTTAACAAAGGATCCGCGGCTAACCCTCTCTCACAGCGCTTGGGCCATTAACATGGATCCGAATGGGAGACACTTCGAGAGAAATCAATAAATTTTCGTTACTTTTGCGAGAACCTGGTTTGCCGTGAGCCTTCGGGCGTTTCTACCAAAGTAGGGAGTCCGTCTTTGAGATTCTACAGTCAATTTCTAAGCCAAGATTGAAAGAAAAGGGATTTTGGCACACCCGAAATTACCGCGCCAAGGTCAGACAGGACCAAACTCTGAACGACAGCCCTCAAACCCCAGGATTTCAAACTCCAAATCCCACTCTCGAAATCGCAAACCAAAATTTTCCAATTCAAACCCCAGCCCACAACCCCGCGAAGCCCCTCACCTCATCGTCATCCAAATCCTCGTCATCGCTTTCTTCCTCGTCGCTCTCATCTTCATCTTCGTCCGCGCCCCGGTTATTCTCCTTCTTCTTGACCCGCTTAACCTTCTTATTGTAAACCTTCAGCAGCGCCTCCCGGTGTGAATGCCCCGGGTCCACCAACCGGTCGAATTCCGCCAGGAGCTCCGCCTTGGCCGCCGCTCCGGCGGAAAGCTCCGCTTGCTTGGCTTCCAGCTTTTCGTCCAGCTCGTCGGCCTTTTTCTGCAGGACACGTGGCATGAAAGGCGTCAAGGTGTCAATCCTGTGAGCCTATCAAGGATTGCGGCAGTGTCGGGTGCTGAGAATTTAGGTTTCAGACGGTTGCAACTTGGACAGCGGTTCAAATTCTGGTCCCGGTGATGTGTAGAAAGCGTTTCCGAACGTCCGCCCACTCATAAGCCAGCTAGACTCAAAACCATGATGCAAAAACCCGGCACGACCTTGGGAATCAAGAACAAGATTGCAGGTAAAAAGCCCTAGTACATCATAAAATACCGTTTCTAGGACATGAGATGGAGACTGTTAAGCATAGACTGCTCATGCTTCAGGAAAATGAGTCCACGAGGCGTCTGTAACTCACCCCGAGTTCTTCTTGCTCTGCCTTCTTCGCGGCGCTCTTGCTGTTGAGCATATGGTCCTTCTTCTCAAACTCCTTCAGCAGATCCAGCTCCTGAAGACGATGTCACGACATTCAGTGGTTGGCTGGCAATCTGGCGGGATTCAACTAGCTTATAGTTCGTAATGCCCTCTTGACATACTTTTCGATTTCATGTTGACTAAGAGCATGTTGACTAAGGACAGTGCTCGGGACAGAACAAAACTCAAAACCTAAACCCAAACTCAACACGCTCCGCACCCGTACCCACCCTAACCCCCAAACTAACCCTACCCGTCCCCCGGGCGCCCTCCTTAGTCAACATGGCCCTTAATCAACATGGAATCGAGACAAGTCCTCCTGCGACATACTCCAAAGCCTTAAACATACTCTCGGAATCGCGGCTTTCTCGCAGAATCCGACTGAGCCACTTATGTCCGGACAGACGACAAGCCAGAAGCATGTTTTGGACCGAAAGGTGCGCGCGCGGAGATGAGATGACGTCACCTTTTGCATCACGAGCATGCGCCCCTCCGCGGCCTGAAGTTTCGCCTTGAGCGACAGCTTCTCCGTTCGCAGCCGGTCCACGTCAGCGTCGAACCCCGCAATCGCGCGCGCGACCTTCGCGACCAGCGCGGCCTTCTCGTGGCGCAGCCGCCGCTCGGCCGCGTCTTGCTCCGCGATCTGCCGGGGTTTAAGGAAGGGTTTGAAAAAGCTGTTTTTATCTTTCAGTTAAAATTGTATTGGAAAGACAGCCTCGTTTCCGCAGCGTCTTGCCGCGCGAGCCGCAGAGGTTTAAGCCAAAGACTTATGCAAACCAACATGTTGCTATTCGAAGATAAAGCAGGGTCAACGCTTCAAAGAGTGTATACGGCGGAGTATGTGGTGCTTTCTTGCTGCCGTTCGGTAGCTTCTTGCTGCTTGAACGTAGGCTTAAGACGGGCACTATTGAACAGTGGTAGTTCCTAGGCCAGAGAGCTCTCTCTCTTCCGATTTGATTGTAAGTGAGTTAGTAACGAAGCAATACATCAGAAGAGCTGACACAACTTGACAAAGCGAGGCTACCCGTCACAAAAACGCAACAGAAATGGTCGTCGGCTGATAAGCAAGAAATGAATGCACCAGGATGTGCGTGTTCTCTTTTTCCATAATCAATCAGCCAGCACTTCAAAAGGCAGTGAGATCATTACCTCAAGGTCCGACTTTCGGTACTCCCGTCCCTTCTTCCCCCGCCGGGGCGTGTTCTCTTTCCCCGAGGACCCGGCTTTGGTCCCCGGGCCGTGCTCCGCGGTGTTCAAAGTGGTCGGGGAAAGAACCCCGGGCTCTTCTTCGGCGTCGGCTTCGGGCGACGAGGCCGCCTGTCCGCCGAAGCCTCCGAGGCCTTTACCGCCCTGGTTCTGCAAAGAGAAGGGATCCACTTGGTGTGAGATGACGTAATCCGATGACGTACCCGGCATGAGAAAATTGGGGAATCAGGCAAGGCGGACTCGTTAGCGGATGCCTGACAATTATTTTTGTAACAGAGCCAGACATTGGAGAAACGTACGACAGGGCGAAACGCTGGAGCTTCTCACGGCATCAAAGTCTACCCAGTCATCCGTATCAAGTCGACCATCACAGAAATAAAGTTTGATTAGGCCGTGCTCATCAAAGGACCAGTGGGGTGAAAATTTTCGCAGATAAATTTCATTGCAAAGCACGCAAAGTGCAAGTGCGGAGATGAAACGAAAGCGCCAGCGACATTTAAGAAGTGAGGAGTCTTTGTTAGTTGAGCATACCGTTTCTTGAAATCACCTCAGGAGATAGAAGATTAGCAGAACCATACTTACTGGGGAGAACTTGAAATGCAAAGCTGCGGTGTCAATGTTCCCCTATCAGCTGCTACACGCTGAAACAGAAGTTCCGCTAAAACGGATCAACAGCAACTTCCAGAACGCGCGCGCTCGCGCCGCGTACCTTCGCGTCGCGCGCGGCCTGTCTTTGCTGCTTGCGGAACTCCGCGAGCTCGCGCTCGCCCACCTCCTCGCGCGCCTCCGGCCGCTCGCGCGCGTTGCTGTGCCACTCGAAGAGCGGAGGCTCCTCCAGCCTGCAACCAAATCAGCCGTGTTGGTCGATCTGGCATTGTCCTGGATTATTTGGACATGTCGAATAGTACTCAACTGCGTGTCTGCCGTGATGAATTAAAATCTCTTGGTTGTGATTGTTCCAGACAGATTGATCTTGAATCAGGTTTGATGCTTAGGTGGGCTTCAGCGAGATGCCCACTATGGGGGTCTCCGAGCGCTGAACGTGGGCGGCTTGAAACCCATGGATCCATTTTCAGCTTCCATGGCATCAGGCGCCTCTTTCAAGTGCTTTTCTTTTCAACGAGTATGACTGAGAAGATAAGCACGTGGGCATATAAGAATCATGAAAGAAACGGACGCTTGCTTAGTGTCTCCGCATCAAAGCTCCCGACTCGCGTTCGACGATTTTAAAACATGAAAAGAACAACGCGCGTTTGTTTCCTACCCCAGGAGCTTGTTGATCGCGCGCACGCGCTCGACGTCCGCCTCGAGCGCGCCCCGCGCGCCCTCCCTACGCGTGCGCAGGTTGAGCACCTGCAGGTTGAACGCGCGCGTGTGGCGGTGCATGGCCTCCGTGAGGCGCAGCATCTGGGCGTGCTTCTTTCCGGCGTCGATTCGCTGCGCCTCCGGAACGATGTACTCCGGATCGGACTTGAGCTTGAAGTCGCCCAGCGTGTCCCACCCAGCCTGGATCGCCGCCAGGTCCGCCGGGTTCTCGTACGCCTGCGCATATCAGACACAATAAACTCAAAAACCATTCCCATTCTAGTTCGCATACTCCAGCTTTTCCCACCCCGCCTGGATCGCCGCCAGGTCTGTGGGGTCCTCGTATGCCTGCGCATAGAGAGCCAATGTTTTTGGATGTTTCGCTCGTTGAATATTTGAAAGGTTCTTGTTCGCACAGTCTAGCGAGTCCCACCCCGCCTGGATCGCGCCGGGTTCTCCTAATGCGTACGCCGGAGGTAGTATTGTGTAGATGCATTTACCAGGACTTTTGACTCGTTCTTGTTTGCATATGGGAGCGTAATCTGGTTCGGAGCAAGGGCCTTGAGGGTCTCGCAGGCTTGCAAAGAATGGAGGTGGAATCGTAAGGAAATGTCCAGTTAAAGTTGTAGGCCCACTCCGGTTTCCATATGCGAGCGTGATCACTCCGGTCTCAATCGCGGCCAAGTCTACGGCTTCTCGTATTCAGGATCTCGCGTCTTCGCTGTACGTGCTATGATTATGATTTGCGCTTCATTCTCTCCGCTCAATTTGAAACCGCTCGGCATTATCCAATCTTAAGAATGTTTGCAATCTTGATGAGGCTAAGACCTCTTGTCAAGCACGCCGTTAAAACCCTCTGATTCGTTTTTCATTTGGCAGGCTCTCCATACATCTGTCAATCTTTTCAAGACCGGAGGGACGCAACAATTGCTATGACATCACGTCTGTATTCAGCTATGACATCACGTCTGTATTCAGCTCTCTAAATTTTCTCACCGGGTCCGGCCGCGTCTTGTTGAACACCGCCCACTGCTGCTCGCGCACCTCGCGCATCTCGCGCAGCTTCTTGCGCTGCGCCTGCTTCGCGGCCGCGCTCTCCTCGCGCACTTCCCGGATGCTTTCCCCGGAGTGGTTTAGATGGGGGGACGGCGTATTGGGGTAGCTCGGCGAAGGGATCCCCTGGGCTTCCCGCGTGCGGCGACGGCTCCCCGGAGTCATCATGCTGGGCTGTCGCCGCAACATCTCGGACGCGTCTAAAGCCGCGATCGCGGCTTGCACGTCGGCATTCAGGCGGAGGGTCTGGAATGTGGACACGTGGCGGCCGGAGGAGAGAGCGTCTACGACGATGCGCTCCGTCTGAGGAACAGGGGAAATGTAGTCGCCGTGAGCGACCAGCGGAAACAAATGGATGATTCGATTGAGGTGGCACAAAAACAGGATGCGATCTCACACGCGCGATTTTGAATCGATCAATAATAGAATACGAACCGGTTAAAAGTTGGAACACAAAGCTTAGAAGACGACGATTTTGTCTTCCGACAATAGTACTGAAACTCCTCGTAGCCAACCGCTCAGAAGACCATCTTGCCACTAGATTATGGGAAATAACCCGGCAGATAGTCTAAGGAAGACGCTGTCTCTTCACCCTTTGCTCGCAGCTTCAAATCAGCTCACGATTGATTGAATCGAACCTATCTTAAGGTATTCAGGGCAAGAAGAGACCAGACGAGGTACTCAAGTTCACAATATTGAGGATTCGGAGGTTATGGGGATTCGATTCTAGACCAGCCTGGAATTCGATTGTAGACCAACCTATCCCGGACTCGTCCAATAGAAGCGCTCGATTGTCTCACCTCGAGAGGTTCCAGGAAATGCCGCCGGAGTTTCGCCAGCGCCACGTTCGCCTTCTCCGTCTCCCACTCTAGCTCCCGGTGCGCGAGCGCCACGTGGGACTCCACCTCGGCGGCCATCATACTGCGAGGAGAGGACAACAACTTCGTGGGCCATACTTTGATTTTCAAGGAGCTTCGATATTGCAAAATCTCTCCGCAGTTCTTTTAATAAAGGACTCTGCGTTGATTTGAGTTGAGAACGAACTCCAAGAAGGAATGCCGCTACCCGTCTGAAGAGCCAGGTGTAGGAAAAAGTCTGGTACGGAATCGGAGGTCGGTTTCTGAAATCGGAGCCGCCCGTTCCCTCACCTTCGCAGCCCAGGATCCACTTCCATCTCCTCCGGGGCAACTCTCTGTCCGGGGGGCAGGTTCCGGTTCCGCTCGATCTCCTCCCGGAGCTCCTGCCGGATTTCCGCCAGCTGTTCCTTGACGCTCATCTGCCGCCGCAGCGCGGCCGCGCGGAGCTTGTCCGCCTCCTCCTTCTGCTTCGCGTCCTCCAGACTGTACGCGCTCTCCTCGGTGATGTCCGCCGGCTCCTGCCCCGAGGATTCCGCCGGAACGCTGTCGGGGACGGAGCTCCGCTCGGCGACCCCGTCGAGGCTCAGCCGGTGGACCAGCAGCACGCCGCTCGCGCCGCCGCTGAGCAGGAACGCGTCGTCGAAGCTCGCGGCCGCCAGGCACGCGCCGTCTTGCGCGGGGCTTTGCCAGCCCTGCGCGCGCGCGCGCTCTGGGCTCCCCCAAGGCTGGACCCTCACTTTCCCCTCCTCGCCCCCAACCGCCAAAAACTGCCCACCGCGCGAGACGCTGACCCCGCGCAGCCCCCCGGCCTCCAGCAACTTTCGCTCGACGATCTCCCCCCCCGAAAAGTTACACACGTACATGCCGGGATGCTTCTCCCCCCGGAAAGATACGTAGAAGAAATTAGGGTTCTTCTCGTGGCGCAAAAGCGCTCCCACGGCGGGGGGGTCCTCTGGCACTGACTGTGAGGGGGGGGCCGGCGGCGCAGGCTCTTCGTCAAGTGCGAGACCGTCGGGGTTTTCCTCCGCGCGCTTCTTCGCGGCCGCCTCGCGCTCCGCGGCCGCGGCACGGGCGGCCGCGGCTTGTTGAGCCGCCAGAAAGTTGAATGTGGTGGAGGGAAGGTCCAGAGATAGGGTTCTGCTGGTGTCTTCGTTACCAACTGCGGAGAGGGAACCTTTGTAAGCACTAAGCGAAAACACATTTCGTGAACGAATGCGTTTATAATCTGCTTCGAGGCGTTTTTGACGGGGTTTATCTTCACATCTGATTGTTCAAGTAGCTCTTGAAGAGGACATAAGAGGATCTAGAGCAGGTGCAAAAGAGCTACGAGATTCAGCTGACCTCGAAACGTCACGATGTGAAATACTTTGGGGAAACAGTGTCCTGTCGAATGCTCTGAGCTTCTTTTATGAAAGACGATGAAAGCATCCCATAGTTCCGTCCTCTAAGAGCTTTCTCACGCTTTTTACCCGTGAACTCTTCAGCCTTACAAACCCGAGAAGTCCTCCCAATCGTGAGGACTTTCTTGGTATCACAGCATGATTCTCAATCACGGAGATCTTATCTATTAGAGAGGAAACAAGGAGGTCAGATCGCTAACCAGGTCTCGTCACTTCGGAGATGTGTCCGCTTCGGCAGCCGACGAGAAGCCGCTGGCTGTCCGCGTGCCACGTGGCGCAGCTGACGGGTCCAGGGGCCACGAAATACCTGGCAAAGGACTGCTGTCAGCATCTTATCGACTTCACACTCAAATTGGAAAATGAGTTGGTTTCTATTTTTGTTGCGGCCGGAGTCTCATCAGCTAAGCATTGTTTTTTAAGCCTGTCTCCGTTACCACCGAAGACTTGTCTATCTGGAGATAGAGGCTGCCGATGAGGATTGCACGTAAACTACAGAACAAAGACATCCGCTGCGGTCGGTACAAGACTGACACCGTGGGACCCCAGATCTGTGAGAACCGTTCACATCTAAGAGTTCTCGACGACTTACCCCACAGGATTCCAGCCTGATTCAGCCGCTTGGAAGAAGAAAATTGTGCCGTCGTCCGATCCGGTGGCCAAGTGCTGACCGTCGACGCTAAGGGCCAGACACGTGATAGCGCCCTGGGGAAGAGAAAAAGCAGTTGAGAACACTGTTGAGGAACGCAGGTAGACAAGGGGTCCAACGGTCGACCGTAAAGTGCGGCGCCAATGCTGCTTCGTCGAGGGTGGAATTTCAGAAGTGAGAGACTTTCTGATATCCTGTTCTGCTTTGAGCGGAAGGTATTGACTCCTGAAGATGATGCGTTGCGCCACTGAGACGCCGATTGCAAAATTGAGAGCGACCATGTTCCTCATTGCAAACAGACAGGCCTCCGTGGGAATCCGAACCTGAACAGACATTCTTTAGCGCAACGCGCAGCGGCGGCGGTCTCACCGTGTGCGGTTTGACGACCTGCGCGAGCCTCCAGGCGCCCGGCGCGCGCGCGAGCGCGCGCAGAACGCCGTCCGCAAAGCCCACGAGTAGCGTCCGCCCGTCAGGCGCCCACGCGCAGCAGCGGGCGCCGCGGTTGAACGCGCGACACAGGAGCTGCTTTTGCGCGCCGTCGATGTAAGAGTACAAGCGGACCTGGTAGATGGGAAGGGAGGAAAGTGGTGATTCGGTTGGACTCATGAGTAACGAAGGCAGCGTACGAAGGCAGCGTTAAGGAGCCGGAGAAAGAGAAGGCGAAGCTTTGTCGCAAAATCATGCACTTCCAATACTGAACGTACGCGCGCAGGCTTATTTTGATACATCATCGCAAGCAGGGCTGGAACATCGGACAGTTTTTTAACCCGAAGTTTGGAGCACCTCTAACCCGCCGCTACTTCCGCATTGATGCGCTCCTTTGAATAAACCTCCTGATTTTGAAGCCGAACCCTAGAGCAACTGGCACGCGCGATCTCTTCTATTTCTCCATCGAGTACCGAGGATTGGGCTCCAAACAGGCACGATTTTGGGCCCTCGATCCAACCGACGACACTTTCTCAAATCGCACTTGAGGCGCTTCAGGGGCCAGCGACTGCAAACTAGGGTATGGAAACTTGTTATGCAGGGAGTAACATTTTCGGGTTTTTGAACGAGAGGCTCACCGTGGCGTCCTCCCCGGCAGTTGCGACCACGTGGTCCCCCGGGTGCGTGTCCAGCCCGGTTATCGGCCCCGAGTGGAACTCCAGCAGGCGCGTCGAGCGGAACGTCGGCAGCGCCACGCGCAGCACCGCGCCTCGCTCGTCCTGCAGACCAGGCACTCACTTAAGTCAATACTCTGATTATTGCTTGGTTGTATGTCGTAATGTTGACGATTTAATCATCGTTAATCAACCTTGTACAATCAAGCTGATGAAGCCACGGTGCAAAACGGGGCACGGAATGACGACGGAACCTTCCAAGAGACTTGGACTTGGAAAGCGAGAGATTGAACGTTCTTCTCTTTGAGAGACAGTTTGGGCCCAGTAGATTTTTGGTTTCAGGATGTCGGGTGTCCGGGCTAGAGACAGATAGCCCCGAAGTGATGATGAAGCTTTGCTCCGCGTTCTGTGCGCCAGTCTCACAATCAGCGCTCTCTCCTCGTCCAACAGGGAGGTTGCCCGCTTACCAACCACGGCTTTTTGGACTACTACGGCGTGAGGCAAATTGCCACTACTTTAACTTCCTCATCTACAATCTCCAGGGTGAATTCTCCCCCCATAATGAAACATTCCGATAAGGGCCTCTCATGCGCGCGCGCTACCTGCACAATCCAGTGGTCCTGCTCGCGCAGCAGCGTCTTGCAGCGCACTCCCTCGCCAATGAAGTTTTCTTCCAGGGGGGCCATCTCGAACGTCGGCTTGTCGTCCACCTGGTCCGCGCCGTCCAGCGCCTGCGCACGCGCGAAAGAAACCGAGTCAGGATTTCCATATTTTTGGGTTGAAAGGGGTTTCGGTTCCTTCAGCAATGAGTGTTTGGTCTTTTCAGATCGGCTGAATGAATCGTCGGCTTGTCGTCGACCCTGTCTGGGCCGTCCCTGCGCGCGCGGATTGGGAAAGGATCAGGATTCAAGGGATCTACTTCTCCTGAGTTTTTTTTCCTCAGCCAATCATAGAAGCAGCAAATCAAACGATTTCTGAATGCGGACTTTGGTCTTCGTCACAAACCGCTTCGGATTAAATCAGGGAAGCAATCATTGGCCAAAAAGGAGAGGACTGCTTACATCGAAGTCCCAGATGCGCGCGTATCCGTCGTGCCCCGCCGTGATCAGCTGCCGCCGCTTCCTGTCCAGCTGGACACACTCCACGTTGCCCACGTGGCAAGGGATCCCCCCGGGCCGCGTAATCTCGCACTTGATGAAGCCGCCGTCCCACAGCAGCAGCCTGCCGGACTCCGTGCCGGACAACACCTTTCCGTCCGGCAGCTCGACGAAGCCGGAAATGTCACTCAGCGGAACCGCGCCGAACTTGCCCAGTTGGCCCTGCGGAGGCAAATTCGAAACGGAGTTGAGCTCGGACGAGACAAGGCCAGAGTTTCCAGCGACATGTTAATTACTCTATCCGGCTTCGTTAGAACGAGGTGACTTGTGATTCCTAGCTTCCAAGGGCTTGGTAACGCATAGACGTCAAAGTCGTTACCGTCCATGCCACTACCATTTCGTATAGGGCAATCAACCAGATTGGTCTCAAGATTTGCAACCTGGCGTTTGTTTCTATTGGAGCATAACGGCGCAAAGGTTGCGCTCAAAAGTTCAGTACTAAGTCGGCCCACGCGGACTCAAAGCTTCGAATAAGATGATGACAAGATGACGAGATGACAAGATTGCCAAAGAACCAGCAATGCGGTTTTACAAACAGCATAATAATCCTTGACTCCGCTGAAACCTCAGGGGAACGGTAAGCCAAGTACCGCGCGCGCACCTGCAGTTTGAGCCCCGTGAAGGTGGCCGCCATCTTCCAGAAGCGGATGTGGCCCGTCCCGCTCGTGATCAGCTGCCCGGCGAACGAGGGTGAGAAGCACACCTGCACGGGCAGGCCCGAAATCGAGATCCAGACGTGCAACTGGCTGTCACAATGGCGACAAGAGCAATGCCCAGTGTGCTCGTCGGTCGCCAGAAAAACCGGTTCCGCTGACGCCGGGTGAAGACTTGAAGGACGCAATGCCTGCAGCGCTTTGTGCAAGATTGACAACATTCCAGCGGTTTGACTTCGCACTGGGGAATCGGGTCAGAGTCTCTTTTCCAACTCTTATAGTCGAAGCAAAAGGGATTCGCGATGACTTGAGCACCTCTTGGCGGATGCGCTTCGGTTAAACTGGCTCCACCCGTGATTTTGACCCACCTTGAAAACGTCCTGCGAGAAAGCCTTGGCTCGCAGCTTGATTGCTTCGTGGCGCCAGTCCCAAACTGTAAGCCAGTAGTCGGGGTAGCCCCCGACCGTGGCCAGTTCTCGGCCGTCGTGACTGAAGACCGCGCACCCGAACAAGCGCTCCGTGCCGCCCCGCAGGATCTTCATTTCGAGGGACAAAGTGTTGTTTCCACCTTCCTGACTCAATTTTGTTCCACAATCTCGACTAGTTGGAGGTACAAAGTGTTTTTTCCACCTTCTTCACTCATTCGGCAATCTCGTCTTAGCTTACTTGAAAGCACAGAGAACAGAGAAGATCGGGATGTCGGGTGTCCATACAACACGTTACAAACTGAGGACAGCAATTTGCAGAGGTTACGGGCAGGCCGAAATTCTTCTACAACAGCTTCTTAAAAATCTAACCGAAGGAAATATCAGCTTCGCTGATATCCGCTGCTGATGACACAGGTGAAGGCCTGAGAACCGATCGAGTGCGATCCACCGACTCTCCGTTACTCTTCCCGCTCTCCAGCTCTCAAGGGCTCCGAAGAGAGAACAAACCACGAGAGAACGAACCACGAATCGATAAACAACTCCGGCTTGACCAAAGGTTAAAAGGTAACCGTCGAGGCCACTCTCATCAACTCAGAATGCGGGGCAAAGCACTCTTCTGTTGACTTGTTAACTCGCCTTCTCAAATGAACCGATGAAACCCTGATACTTACTCCGGTAAGTGTGGTTCAAACACTAGCGGCGTACCTTGTACAATTGCAGGGCTGGGTACGTATACATAAAGACCGAGGGGTTGACTCCCTTTTCGCACACGGCGAACCACTGGCGCGACGAGTGCACAGTTATCGTCGAAACGCCCTGGCCCACGAAGATCTGCAACAGGGTGGCGAGGTTTCGGGGGCTGCGCAGTAGCTTTCTTTTTTAGGCTCATGCTTTGTATTGAATGCGCTTTTTGATGCGTACAAGCGTTGTAGACTGCCTACGGGCGAGAAACCAGCCGTTGCAACTGGGGTTTGTATGAGGCTGTGCCAAGGTGCGTTTGGAGTTTGTCTGATGGATAGTAAACGCTTCCCTGTACACCCATCAATGGTCATTAGACTCTCTAATGTCAAACGCCCTCGATGATTGTCTCGATGGAACTTACAGCCAGTCTTGCTACCATGGCAGACGCTTCGACTTCTCCTTCTGCACATTTATTCTGGTCTCTTGTAGCATTGGAAGCAATAATCTGAGCTGAGTAGCCACACGTCTATTGCCGCTTCTCGTGTGCCTCATGATTTTCAAAGCCGCTCCGCCTCAGGGGGCAAGCTTTGCTGTCAACAGATTATCATCAACCTTGATTGGTTCGTGAGACTTGACGCCCACTCTGAACTCGCCCTCATGGCGCCAAGAATCGCTTTGCAGCTCTAATAGTGCTTTTAGTAGTACTCATCCCCCTTACCTGCATTTGTATCTGGACCATTGTCCGCACATTTAACGTCTGCACCGTGTTTGCTGCCGGGAATATCAGAACGTCCTCTGCAATGTAGTCCATGGCTCCCCGCTTGCTTCCGTCCAAACCGAAACTGCAAAGCAAGCGCCCGCTGCTGCTCGGAAGTTCCGACGGGCCCGGAGGACTGTCCAGTGTGGCAGGGTCGTAGTATCGAGGCTCCTCCTGAAATGAGAGCAGGGTAATAGAGCATTTCATCGGTTGGACAATTAGAACTGTTGGTAAAAGGAACTTGACACGGTTTCGTTTGTGAAGAAATACATCATAAAGTGGCAGTAAGGGAAGCACTGGTTTGGACTGAAGTGGCGTAACCATCAAAAGGAGGTAGACAATGTTTTCACTCACAGAATCAACTAAAGGTGTCCAGCTAAAGGCACTGTTTCTGGAGTTTCATTCTCAGCCTGAAGGTGCACATTGGGTGTCTCTGTTGCGACTGAAAGGTGCACACTTTGGCTTGTCCCACATGCTGCGCTGTGCCCGTAAGGGGCCACATGAACCAATCTGACGACGTTTTTTCACAGAATTACTCCGGATACATCGTAACGCTAGAATGTAAAATGCGAACAGTGTTTCATCAAAATGTGCACGAAGAAGGGTAGGGTGGTGGGAAGCAAGTTGGTGTCTCCTTGAAGCTTCTTCAGCAATATTACCAGTGGTAATATAACGGTTGCTCGATCAACACCTGATCGAGCAACAACTACAAGTTTCCAGCCTTGTTTGATACAGCCCTGGGGTAAAAGTGGCACGCTTGTGGTGGTATGCTGAACATTTTTATGGACCTAACAAAAGCACTCAAACAGAACTGCATTGTGAGCTCACCTCCTCCTCCTCTTCCTCCTCTTGCTGTTCCACCTCTGCGGCACTCTGCCCCTCAGCCTTTGCTTCCTCCCCAGTGAACCCCAGCCTTGACCTCTGCTCGATCCTCTCCATCCTCGCTACCACCTCTTCACTCTCCACAATCTCTTGCTCTTTAGTCTTGTGTCTCGCCAAGAGCTCCAGGTCCGTTTCAGACTGGACTTCATTTTCTCGATTGGCGGCGAGCTTTGTTGCCCCTGAGCTTGATCCCTCAGTGTCTCCATCTTTGAAACTTGCATCCTCAACATTGCCGGCAGACTCTGATGCAGCTGGACTTTGCTCCATGGACTGAGACATCACGGAGTTGGCTGCTGCCAAGTCTACATCATCTCCTAGCAATGCACCTGCAGCAGGTATCGAGCTAGCAACCAGCTCTGTAGGTCCATCAAAGAGGTCCTCCCGGCCGGCTGCCCCTTGTTCAGCTTCTCGTAGCACCAATTGATCAACAACCTCTTCCACCGCCGCATCATCGGCGGTGGAAGGAACGGGGTTCTCGGCCATCTTTTCTGTCAGAGTCAATCCGCTACCTTTCAATCTTTAGGTAGCTCTCCACCCTTAGGCAGCCATTGTGAAGCTTCCAGTCTCCAGTGAATTACAGCTCACCACAATGCATGGACTCTGCTGGCAGTCTGAGCTGAAGTGTCTGTGGTACAGCAGGGAGCTGAGGGCAATATTCCTGATCAAGCACCATGTTGATCTCACTGTGATACTGGTAGCGATGAAAAGTTGCATGTGTGATGTGAGCAGCATACATACAGACCTAAGTAAGATAAGAGTGGGTACTCAAGTGTGCATTGCCCGAACCGTTTTCTGATTTGTTGGGGTACGAAGGACGTGACTTGCTTCTCAGAAGTTCTCTGCCGTCGATCAATTCATCGCACCAGTATCGGAGGGAGATCAACATGACCGGTTTCGGAGCGCGGCCGCGCTCACGAACGGCCGGCGCGGCCGTCACGCGCGTCAATGCCTGCCGCGCGCGCGCGCTTATGCACCATTGAACTTGTGTCAAGATCGATCGGCGGGATCAAGGAGAATCAGTAATTTGGCGACCGGGGCTGGGGGTGCTCAATCTGTTGGAAGGGCTGACGTGGCGAGGTTTGAGGTTTGACCCGAGACTCCCCCAACAAGATTGGTCGAGAGCAGCCCAACCCAGGGTTCCGCCTCTAAACCCCGCCACGTCAGCCCTTCCAACGTCCCCGGCCCAAATTACTGATTCTCCTTGACGTGACCCCGCTCTGTCAGTGTGTGTTGGCGGAGGGTTTGCCTGGCTTGACGCATGATTTCAGGGTTGTCACTGCGTCGGTGTTTGCCTGGCGCGTGACGTCAGCCTCCGGTTAGCATCTCCGACGGCGTCAGAAATCCAACAACCCCAATACCACGCGGGGACCACGCGTACGTTACGTGAAATGGGCCTATCGTGGTATAATCGAACACCGCGGGTTTCCTTTTCAATTGCAGAGAGTAGAGGTCCGAGTAGAGCACCACTCCTTGCATGGAATTAATGGCATACCGCACTGCCTTAAGGCACCGTGACTCCCCCTCTTCTTCGGGATCACTGAGTCGTCCGGTCATGGACCACAATGATGATCATTTGTGCCAAGTGACAGCCAGGTCGATATGCAGATCCAGTATATCTTGCTAGACATGCGGTCGACTTTGCATTCATGGCCATTATGCAGATTATGTGGCATCGACGATGCTGATATTCAGGCGGACCAGAATTCATGTATGTTTGACGGCTCAATTTCCATGGTCACCCACATATAGCTGACACCATACTTGGCATGTAGCTTATCTCCACTCTCAGAAGTTTGACATTACTGCCTGCAGTGTACACAAGTTGCGCTGCACACATGAGAATGCACGACCGCGCGTGCGTAAGAACGGGCCGCGATGAAAGATGGCCAGAGTACGTCAATATAGTATATCAAGACATCAACATACTGAACCGTCATCATTGATATGAGCCAATGATCTGGCTTCACGTAGTTGGCCGGCGGCTGACAAAAAAGGCCGTCCGCGGATGGAGAATCTGTGTAGAGGGCGACATTCAATGCATGATCAAGGATAAAATTCCCGCTCTCAGCCAGTGTCTTTAAATGATTCCCCTCGTCTGATCACAATCGCAATGTAAGCTTCATCTGGCAAGGCAAATAGTGCCAGCGGTGCGGAACAGTGATTAACGGTTAGTATACCTGCAATGTGCAACTCAATGAAGGGTGAATGTCAAACTGCTGCCTTACGGAACTTCTCGGGCATGACATCTGGTTATCTATCTCTCTGATGCGCGTCTACTGCTAAATGACTATGGAGGGCGTTGATGGAGGGTCTCTCTGTTGCTACAAAGCTAGTGGCAACGACATTTTGACACTAGAAAGATCAAAAGCAAACCTAACCTTATCCTGGTCTCTAACTTCTCCGATTCGCGTGCGGCTGTGCACCTTCACTCCATCGCTTATGCTCTCCTCGCCATCTCCTATTCGCAACATGCTCTACGCAGGCTTCAGGTGTCAGCGTGGCCTTTACAGGCGTCACTCTCGAAGCGGCCCGGGGCAAACCCCCGGGCAAAGAATCATCTGTGCGTCAATCATGTGTTAGGCAGCTCATTGCGTCGATCAAACCTCTTCTGCTCTCTTTCCGGGCTCACTCTCTCATTCGGCCGCTTTCCCCTCCCCCTCTTCGCTCGCGTCCCTTTCAAAGGGGGTATCTGTGGCCGCTCCGTCTGCCCCCTGAATTTTGACAGGGCTCTCCAACTCAACGGCCGCCGCCAGACCGGCCTCCCAAGTCCCTTCGTCTTCCGCTTTCTCTCCTGCACTGCTCGCACCATCATTTCCGTCGACTCCTTCTTCTGTCGTCATCTCCTCGCTTTTGATTCCGTCCCGATCCTTTGCTTCGGAGTCCGTGACAACCTCCAGTTCCTCGCCCCCCCCCTCGCTTTTCGACTCCGCCTCCTGACCCCCGCTCAACGCCGCACCTTGCTCCCCATCTAGTTCCATCGGCTTATCCCCATCTGCCTCTTTAGATTTGTCATCAGTCTCGACGGCTTCCTTTTCACCCCCCTCCGCTTCCCCTTTGGCACCCGCTTCTTCTCCGTTCCCATCTCCCGCCCCAATTCCGCCCAACCCCGCGTCCTCCTTCCGCTCCTCCGCTGCCTCGTTCCGCTCTTCCGCTAGTCCGTTCCGCTCTTCCGCTAGTCCGTTCCGCCCGTCTGCGTTCCCGTTCTGCTTGTCCTTTCCGGCCCCGTCTGCCTCAGCCTTCAGCCTCGTCGCTTCGGCTGCCTCCGCCCGCGCTTTCTCGTCCTCTAAGTTTCCCATGTACGCCGCATACTCCTGCTCTGCTTTCAGCTTGTTCTCAATCCGCATGAGGTCCCAGCGATCATCCGCCGACTCCAAAATGTCCTCGTTCTTCCCCCCTGACATCGCACCCGTTTCGGCCCCCCCGGCGGGACCCGGCTCGCCCAGGGCCCTTCTCGCTTCCTCGATAAGCCTCAACTCAGAATCGGAGGTCTCCCGGGCACCCCCACGGGCATTTCGCAGGTTGTGCAACACGACGGACGGTTTCGACTGCACTGTCATGTCTTTCTGGGCCGTCTGGTTTCGCAAGCCAGGCGCCGCAACGGTGCTGACATCAGCTTGGGACCCCCCCGCTTGCCTAATCCTCGGAGAACCCGCCAGAAAGGAGCTGAGCTTTGAAAGCACTCCCTGCCGGGAGAGAAGCCCAGTGCGCGCCCCAGGACCTCTGACGTTTGCTGACGCTTCCCCAGTCTTCCCAAGCACGATTTCCTCCTTCACCCCACCCAGATCATCGACTGCGGCATCAGCACCCGCCTTCTGCTCTACGGATGCGCTCTGCCTCACCAAATCGGCGCCGGATACCGCTGGGAGTGCTTGCTCATCACCTATTTCACGCTCAACCTCGGAGGCTGACTCGTCTTCCAAAACACCCCCAGGACTTTCCCCGCGTTTTGCACCCTGCCGCTCTGCAGGCCGCTGCCCCCGGAGCTTGTGATCTAGCAAGCGGCCCAACACGTTGCCCGCATTGACAGCGGGAGAGGACAGCTCACCCTCTACAACTTTAAGAGGCATGTATTTCGAACCCCTCCCCTCTTTCCTTTCATGCTGAGGATCTCCAGATACGGCGCCAGTTGACAAGCCCTCCTTACTAGTTATTGGAAGGCCTCCGGAAGAGCTGCCCCTGGAGGCTGCCATTGAGAGCAGGGAGCGCCGATGATGCAAACCTGCAGAAGAAGAAGCCTGTCAGTGTTAGGGCTGTGGGGGTTTAAGCTGGTATAAGAGGGTGGCCATGCTGGTGTACTGCAAACCGTTTTAGGAGATTCAAGGGAGATAAGTGAACTGCTGTGGCTAAACCATTATGCTTCTTGCTTCGACCTGCTTTTATCTCTGCTTGTTTCTCTTTAAGTGCCTCGAAGCATCGTGTGGACGACTGGTAGATCTGCACAGGTAGACTCTTTAAGCAATTGCTCTGCCATGAGAACATCAAAGCAGAGACTTGAAGAAGATAAAGTACTCCAGCACAGAACAATTTACACACGGACTAGGGATTATAGCTGCGTTCTACATTCTTCAGGACACAGTACTTTGTTATGCTGGGTGGTACACACCAGGGTACTCTGAACAATTTTGCATGTCCAGACATGCAACCGAACCCAGACACTGAAAACCACCAAAGACTTAGATTGCAAGACTCCCTTGAGCTCCGTTGCACCCGTATCCAAAAAGCTTGGCAGCTCCTAAAAGATGCACCCTTCATATAGCAATATCAGAAGGCACACAGGCACAATGAAAGGAGAGATCCATGCTGTTAAACACCTTCAGTCACCAAATTGATTAGCTTCTCAAGCTCATCAAAATTGCTTTTCATAGTAAAGGCCTGAGCTTCCTATGAGCTTGATCTACGTGTTTCAGGAAAGGTAGTGCCAATGCATGGCTGAAAAAGGGAGTTGCTATGTCTTGGAGGTACAAGACATGCATGCTGGTCGGTGGTGGAGTTTGGGACACAAGTGATTGCAAGTTCTTGCCATAGGAATCCTCTTTCCACAGAAGCGCTTGACTCCATCAGCTGGGTGTGTCTTTCTCTAGAGACCTTGTGCCAAGAAACCTGTCACATCATCCAAGAGCTCTAGATAATGCTCTGTCCTATACTCTAGGGAACGACCATCACAGCAACGCAATGCCCACTTCTCAACAGCTTGTTGATGCCTCCATCCCATCCAGACATTCAACAGAAGTCAAAGGGAAGATGAGTCTTTGCACAGATCTGTCCTTGCAAAAACAAGCAACCCGCATGTGAGGCCCTGTAACTCACCGTGCGGTTGATTGATCAGCCCCTCTGCAGTGTGAAAGTCCAGCATCGCGTGGTTCCATAGGGCCCCGCACGTCAGAACTGCGGCGCCAACAATCAGGATCAATCGAACAGGGGCCAATCTCCTACGTGCTTTTCGTCCCCCCTTCTGCCCATCTGTTCCTCGCTGATCCTTGCTTCCCCCACCCTTTTCTGTCGTTGAGCCCATGACTGATTGGGGGGGGCACATGAATAGGGACACAACTGAATCAATGATCAACCAAGCAATCGATTGGCTGTTAAGCTCTGCGCGTCAAAAGAGTCTGCTTGACAGCTGGAAGAAGTCGAAGCGGAGCGCTGTCAAGATTAGTCTTGTGGTGCCTAAAGGGGTGCAAAAACATCACCAAAGGCCTCTCGGGCCAAAAGCCATCCCTAATGGTGGCTAATCTGCTCTACAGAATGCTTTCCAACCTTGCGACGCCCCAGCCACAAAATAGATGGGTGATGTCTGCTGGTCTTCCAACCAGACAGCTTGAATCAGAAACCTTCAAACAATGTTTGACGACTTTGACTGCTATTTATATCACGCTCCAAGAGATTGGGGAAAGTATGACATATGCGCCAAGTGTGTTTGCCACGCCAGAGGCCCCCTCATCGATCTTAGGAATCGATACAAGTACAAGGTAGCGATTGCAAGCCAAGGAGGAATGACTGGCTCTGGAGACTGGGGCCTTCAACGAGCTCCCGCGAAGGTCTTGGCTCGTTCAGAGTGGACTGGAACTTGCGCGTGTTCCTGAATAGTCCTAGTTCCAGAAGGCTTCGAGTTTGTCCTGCAAAGAACAACTTTCCCGGGAATCCCGAACGTTTCGTGAGCAGTATCGCTGGACAGAGAAGCTGCATGGGGAGTCGGACTCGGAAGCTCCGCAATGCAGCGCTTGAGGGAGCCCCCAGATTGTGATTGCAGATTTCACGGGATTACGCAAGCTGGTTTGGTAGGCTCAATCTGGAACGTTGGCCGTCGATGAATTTGGAGTCAAAGCTCTCTGCGGCTCAAGTACCTACGTCGGTGCACTGGTGCTCCGTGAGATCTGGGATCCTCCGCGAGGTTTTCGCTTTCGAATAAAAATGAGACCGGACTCCGGTCATATCAGTGATTCCGGTGAGGATACGACGGAATGGTGGATCATGATCTAGGAGTCTCATGTCAATTATATCCGGCCCCGGATTACGATAACAGAGCCTGTATCGAAGTCGAGGGTCACATGGAACCACGTGGTATGTCAAGAGTACATCTGGACCACACCCTTATCTAACCAAGTGCAGTGTTTTTTGCTAAAGGCTTTTCAGGTCGCCCTTCATCCACAATTCTGCATGCTGCACCTAATAAGAAGCATGCTTGAATGCCATCTAATACCGGTAGTCCCTTTCAGTTGGCGAAATGACCGAGGATGCAGGACGAGATAGCAATCCTACATTGCCGGAACCAGGTAGAAAGCTAGACAAAACCCTAATCGTGCGGTTCACAGGCGTGCATGTGCTATAGAGCCTGGTTCGACGCGCTGAGTTCGATGCTGAAGTCCCAGCCATTTCGCCCCTGGCAAAGTGCAGAATCTGGGACCGGATATAACCGACATGAGAGTAGCTCCTTGCAATCTCATCCGTTGATTGAAAATGGACGGTCAGAATCAGGAGAAAGTCGATGGTTCGACCCTTCCTATGCGATGACTTTGACAGTGAGGAAGTTCGCCCCACACAGAGATATCCATGGAGCAACTCTACTTGCATTTCATTGCCGGAGAGTAGTCTAAGCTTGCAAACAATTGGACTCGCAAGTATTGAAGCCGTCAATTTTGGTACTTGACGTTGAAGTTGCACAGCTGACTCTGGTCCAGTCTCGACTTCCGATCAGCCTGGACTTGCCACGTGGAGGCCCGTGGCCGTGGCCTGGAAATTAGGGTTTGTCACCGTTTGTGCGAGAGTGACTCGACCAGGGGTTCTGGCGGGGCGCCAAACGGGGCGCAGAGCGCCCTGGGCCGCAGGCCCCGCCTACTTTAAGAAAGTTAGATTCAGGCCGGGAACTCTGGTGATCTCTAAGCAGAGCATTGCCTGCACATATAATCAGGACACAAGGAGGCCCATATAGTTCCATTATTTGGGGATAAGCACTCACAATTGACTGAAAACGAGTAAAACGCGACGGATTCCAAGTCGAGCCCTCTACACATACAGTTAGCCGAGTCTCATGCTTCAATGCTTTAACCATTCATCTGCAAAAAACTGCTTCAATAAGAGCAATTGTTCCTGCAGTAGGTACGGTACTTGCTTTGGATAGGGGGGCACAGATTTGGGCACGGATTTTTTTGACTTTGTGCCCACTGCCGACCGCTTGTACCGTTGACAAAAGCCCAGGACCGGTATGCACAAATTCGGCTCGGTTAAACACAGCTTTCGCCGGAATACCCATTGCACCGGGCGCTGGCGCCCGGGCTTAGGCGCCCCAGGGAAGCTGGTCGGCGCCCCGGGGCGAAGCGCAGGGGCGCCTCAGCACCTCCGGGCAAAATCCTGCTAGAACCCCTGGACTCGACCGTTGCCACTCAATAATCAGGAATCACATGGCGTTGACTTCTAGCTGCACCACGTTTGACAAAGCTGGGGAGGAGTCAGGACTCAAGTCTCAGGAGTCAGAACTCAGGAGCCTGATACCGTACATATAGGGTACCGGTACCTATATGTACGGTACCGGTTTCGAGTTAAGATGAGGAAGGTCGACGACAATGC